TTTGGTAAAATCGAAAATAAAAATTTATTTTTTCCAAATTTAATAATTCTAATCGTCTGAAAATTACCAGAGTTCTAGTAGGGTCCGAGCCCCACTAGATTCTGAAGAATAGAGAATTTTATTTCAATTTTTAAGTAGTAGCAGGTCCACCCGTACGCCATCAGACAAACGAAATTTGGTAAAATCGAAAATAAAAATTTATTTTTTCCAAATTTAATAATTCTAATCGTCTGAAAATTACCAGAGTTCTAGTAGGGACTGAGCCCTACTCGCTCCTGAAGAATAGAGAATTTTTTTTTTAATTTTTAAGTAGTAGCAGGTCCACCCGTACGCCATCAGACAAACGAAATTTGGTAAAATCGAAAATAAAAATTTATTTTTTCCAAATTTAATAATTCTAATCATCTGAAAATTACCAGAGTTCTAGTAGAGACCGAGCCCCACTAGATTCTGAAGAATAGAGAATTTTAATTCAATTTTTAAGTAGTAGCAGGTCCACCCGTACGCCATCAGACAAACGAAATTTGGTAAAATCGAAAATAAAAATTTATTTTTTCCAAATTTAATAATTCTAATCGTTTGAAAATTACCAGAGTTCTAGTAGGGACTGAGCCCTACTCGCTCCTGAAGAATAGAGAATTTTATTTCAATTTTTAAGTAGTAGCAGGTCCACCCGTACGCCATCAGACAAACGAAATTTGGTAAAATCGAAAATAAAAATTTATTTTTTCCAAATTTAATAATTCTAATCGTCTGAAAATTACCAGAGTTCTAGTAGGGACTGAGCCCTACTCGCTCCTGAAGAATAGAGAATTTTATTTCAATTTTTAAGTAGTAGCACCATCACCCGTACGCTATCAGACAAACGAAATTTGGTAAAATCGAAAATAAAAATTTATTTTTTCCAAATTTAATAATTCTAATCATCTGAAAATTACCAGAGTTCTAGTAGAGACCGAGCCCCACTAGATTCTGAAGAATAGAGAATTTTAATTCAATTTTTAAGTAGTAGCAGGTCCACCCGTACGCCATCAGACAAACGAAATTTGGTAAAATCGAAATTAAAAATTTATTTTTTCCAAATTTAATAATTCTAATCATCTGAAAATTACCAGAGTTCTAGTAGGGACCGAGCCCCACTAGATTCTGAAGAATAGAGAATTTTAATTCAATTTTTAAGTAGTAGCAGGTCCACCCGTACGCCATCAGACAAACGAAATTTGGTAAAATCGAAATAAAAATTTATTTTTTCCAAATTTAATAATTCTAATCGTCTGAAAATTACCAGAGTTCTAGTAGGGTCCGAGCCCCATTAGATTCTGAAGAATAGAGAATTTTATTTCAATTTTTAAGTAGTAGCAGGTCCACCCGTACGCCATCAGACAAACGAAATTTGGTAAAATCGAAAATAAAAATTTATTTTTTCCAAATTTAATAATTCTAATCGTCTGAAAATTACCAGAGTTCTAGTAGGGACTGAGCCCTACTCGCTCCTGAAGAATAGAGAATTTTATTTCAATTTTTAAGTAGTAGCAGGTCCACCCGTACGCCATCAGACAAACGAAATTTGTGTAAAATCGAAATAAAAATTTATTTTTTCCAAATTTAATAATTCTAATCATCTGAAAATTACCAGAGTTCTAGTAGAGACCGAGCCCCACTAGATTCTGAAGAATAGAGAATTTTAATTCAATTTTTAAGTAGTAGCAGGTCCACCCGTACGCCATCAGACAAACGAAATTTGGTAAAATCGAAATTAAAAATTTATTTTTTCCAAATTTAATAATTCTAATCATCTGAAAATTACCAGAGTTCTAGTAGGGACCGAGCCCCACTAGATTCTGAAGAATAGAGAATTTTATTTCAATTTTTAAGTAGTAGCAGGTCCACCCGTACGCCATCAGACAAACGAAATTTGGTAAAATCGAAAATAAAAATTTATTTTTTCCAAATTTAATAATTCTAATCGTCTGAAAATTATTAGAGTTCTAGTAAGGTCCGAGCCCCACTAGATTCTGAAGAATAGAGAATTTTATTTCAATTTTTAAGTAGTAGCAGGTCCACCCGTACGCCATCAGACAAACGAAATTTGGTAAAATCGAAAATAAAAATTTATTTTTTCCAAATTTAATAATTCTAATCGTCTGAAAATTACCAAAGTTCTAGTAGGGACCGAGCCCCACTAGATTCTGAAGAGTAGAGAATTTTATTTCAATTTTTAAGTAGTAGCAGGTCCACCCGTACGCCATCAGACAAACGAAATTTGGTAAAATCGAAAATAAAAATTTATTTTTTCCAAATTTAATAATTCTAATCGTCTGAAAATTATTAGAGTTCTAGTAGGGACCGAGCCCCACTAGTTTCTGAAGAATAGAGAATTTTATTTCAATTTTTAAGTAGTAGCAGGTCCACCCGTACGCTATCAGACAAACGAAATTTGGTAAAATCGAAAATAAAAATTTATTTTTTCCAAATTTAATAATTCTAATCGTCTGAAAATTACCAGAGTTCTAGTAGGGACTGAGCCCTACTCGCTCCTGAAGAATAGAGAATTTTATTTCAATTTTTAAGTAGTAGCAGGTCCACCCGTACGCCATCAGACAAACGAAATTTGGTAAAATCGAAAATAAAAATTTATTTTTTCCAAATTTAATAATTCTAATCGTCTGAAAATTACCAGAGTTCTAGTAGGGACTGAGCCCTACTCGCTCCTGAAGAATAGAGAATTTTATTTCAATTTTTAAGTAGTAGCAGGTCCACCCGTACGCCATCAGACAAACGAAATTTGGTAAAATCGAAATTAAAAATTTATTTTTTCCAAATTTAATAATTCTAATCATCTGAAAATTACCAGAGTTCTAGTAGGGACCGAGCCCTACTAGATTCTAAAGAATAGAGAATTTTATTTCAATTTTTAAGTAGTAGCACCATCACCCGTACGCTATCAGACAAACGAAATTTGGTAAAATCGAAAATAAAAATTTATTTTTTCCAAATTTAATAATTCTAATCATCTGAAAATTACCAGAGTTCTAGTAGGGACCGAGCCCTACTAGATTCTAAAGAATAGAGAATTTTATTTCAATTTTTAAGTAGTAGCACCATCACCCTAACGCTATCAGACAAACGAAATTTGGTAAAATCGAAATTAAAAATTTATTTTTTCCAAATTTAATAATTCTAATCATCTGAAAATTACCAGAGTTCTAGTAGGGACCGAGCCCTACTAGATTCTAAAGAATAGAGAATTTTATTTCAATTTTTAAGTAGTAGCACCATCACCCGTACGCTATCAGACAAACGAAATTTGGTAAAATCGAAATTAAAAATTTATTTTTTCCAAATTTAATAATTCTAATCATCTGAAAATTACCAGAGTTCTAGTAGGGACCGAGCCCTACTAGATTCTAAAGAATAGAGAATTTTATTTCAATTTTTAAGTAGTAGCACCATCACCCGTACGCTATCAGACAAACGAAATTTGGTAAAATCGAAAATAAAAATTTATTTTTTCTAAATTTAATAATTCTAATCGTCTGAAAATTACCAGAGTTCTAGTAGGGACCGAGCCCCACTAGATTCTGAAGAATAGAGAATTTTATTTCAATTTTTAAGTAGTAGCACCATCACCCGTACGCTATCAGACAAACGAAATTTGGTAAAATCGAAATTAAAAATTTATTTTTTCCAAATTTAATAATTCTAATCATCTGAAAATTACCAGAGTTCTAGTAGGGACCGAGCCCCACTAGATTCTGAAGAATAGAGAATTTTATTTCAATTTTTAAGTAGTAGCACCATCACCCGTACGCTATCAGACAAACGAAATTTGGTAAAATCGAAATTAAAAATTTATTTTTTCCAAATTTAATAATTCTAATCGTCTGAAAATTACCAGAGTTCTAGTAGGGACTGAGCCCTACTCGCTCCTGAAGAATAGAGAATTTTATTTCAATTTTTAAGTAGTAGCAGGTCCACCCGTACGCCATCAGACAAACGAAATTTGGTAAAATCGAAAATAAAAATTTATTTTTTCCAAATTTAATAATTCTAATCATCTGAAAATTACCAGAGTTCTAGTAGGGACCGAGCCCCACTAGATTCTGAAGAATAGAGAATTTTAATTCAATTTTTAAGTAGTAGCAGGTCCACTCGTACGCCATCAGACAAACGAAATTTGGTAAAATCGAAAATAAAAATTTATTTTTTCCAAATTTAATAATTCTAATCGTCTGAAAATTACCAGAGTTCTAGTAAAGTCCGAGCCCCACTAGATTCTGAAGAATAGAGAATTTTATTTCAATTTTTAAGTAGTAGCAGGTCCACCCGTACGCCATCAGACAAACGAAATTTGGTAAAATCGAAAATAAAAATTTATTTTTTCCAAATTTAATAATTCTAATCATCTGAAAATTACCAGAGTTCTAGTAGGGACCGAGCCCCACTAGATTCTGAAGAGTAGAGAATTTTATTTCAATTTTTAAGTAGTAGCAGGTCCACCCGTACGCCATCAGACAAACGAAATTTGGTAAAATCGAAAATAAAAATTTATTTTTTCCAAATTTAATAATTCTAATCGTCTGAAAATTACCAGAGTTCTAGTAGGGACCGAGCCCTACTAGATTCTGAAGAATAGAGAATTTTATTTCAATTTTTAAGTAGTAGCACCATCACCCGTACGCTATCAGACAAACGAAATTTGGTAAAATCGAAAATAAAAATTTATTTTTTCCAAATTTAATAATTCTAATCGTCTGAAAATTACCAGAGTTTGAGTAGGAACTGAGCTTTACCTATGATGATGAAAAGAGAATCTTAAGAAGATAATATTGTTCCTAACAATGATGATGATGAAATTGATGATGATTACTAATTAAATAATTATTACTAATCAAATAACAAATAGAAACAACCTTTTAAATACTGTTTATCTTCTTTTAGCATTTGTTCTCTTCTTTTATTATAAGAAGATAAAAATACTTTTGAAGTTTTTTCTTTACCTTGAGATTCGGAAATTGTTTTCTCCATCTTAGATGACTGAACATGTTGAAAAATAGTCAAAGGAAGACATGTACAAATAAGAATGAAAATTACAAACTTTTTTGATAATGAAACATTAAAGAGCTGACTTATTCTTTCCATTTTTGATGCTGCAACACAACTGATGAAATGTGTCAAGATCCCAATCAAATGATCTTGATCTCATTACTTAGTTTTTTCATTATTTTTTTTTATCATTTATAGTGTACTAAAAAATGTTTAACAATATCTTTTTGCCACTGCCACTGATAACAATATTTGATTTTAAATTAATAAATTCAGAAGAATGATTACAATTCTCCTCATATTAAAAATTATCTATTCTTTAAGATAAGATTTTAATATTTGTTTCAGACTTTAAAAGTAGTATTCTATTTTGTTTACTAGTATATTTACCATACTGTTATTATAATTATTTTTAATATCTTGAAAAAGGGTATGCATGAAGAAAAAAAAATTACGTAACTGCATATATTATTTTTAATATTATTATTGTCATTGTTCTTGTTGTTGTAATTATTGTTGTTATTTAATACTAAAATATTAAAATATATAAATATTATTACATATAATACTTCTCTTTTTTAAATTACATTTTAATTTTTACGCACAGCAAAAGTATATGTATAATTGTACTTTTCCGGGAATTTTCGAAAAAAGTGCGGTAGCATAAAACAAAATTGCAATTGCAAATAGTGTATAACTGATACTAACTGGTTACAAATTATGAGGATATAAAATTTGCACACTGAACTTTCTCATGTAGCTTTCTGGTGATTTTGTATTCTTGTGTGGTTCATTTCACGATTTCCTCGTCCGACAATATTGAGATTCTTACTAGAATTCCCAATTAATGTGAATACGAAATTTTAACACATTTGCGCTACAATATCAAGAGGAGTGCTTTTTTATTTTTCTTTTGTTTTTTTTTGTCGTGACATTTCCTTTCTTTTTTTCATCCAAGGACAATTTGTAATATGTTCCTTCTCAGAATTTTGGGAAAATTTATTCATAAATAGAAATTTATGGATATAGTTGTGGAGATTCTAAATTGTTCTGTTTCTTTTTTTTGTAATACTTTTTTCTTCTTTTTGTTGTTATGATTCTTATTTTTCTTCTTGTTCTTGTTTTTATTCTCGTTTTTCTTGATTCTTTTTTCTATTTTTATTCTTGTTTCTTTTTAAATTTTTCTGTTTCTTGTTCCTCTTCTTTTTCCTTATCACTAAAAACTTCAAAAAAATTTTCATATTTTTTGTTGAATAATCAAAGAACAAAATGAAAAAAAATTTAATTTTTATCATAATTCGAAATAATTTATTATTATAATGGAAATAATTTATTATTAGTCGAAATATAATATTTGAATTGCATTATTTATTTTTTCGTCAAGACAGAATTAAATTCCAAAAGTTTCATCTGTAAAATCTTATTTCTATTTAGTATTAAATTGTCCGAAAAAGGGGATTTGGAGAGATAATTCTTTTCCTTCGTGACGAGCTTATTAAAATAATGACGTACCTGAAAAAAGTACTTCCTGTTTTTAAAAGTCATGAGTGTGGATATATCTATTCTTAAAAAGGGTCTGCCTTTTGTTTCATATAAAAATTTCTGAATAAAAAACAAAAAAATTTTCTTTTCAAGGTCTCCGCATATGTAATATAAAATTTGAGGTGTAACATTCTATTGAAATTTAAGTGGACAAATTAATTTCAACGTTTATATATTACATGTTTTCATAAAGGTCGAGTTAACATATCTTTTTTTAAAATAAACGTTTTTACGATGTTTATTTGAAAAAAAGATTTTATTTAATTTAAAAATTTGAATTAAATTCTCAATAAATTTTTTTAAATCACAAAAAGAAATAAAGAAAAATTTTCTGTTGATTTCAAATTTCTTTCTTTAATAAAATTAACTTTTTTTTGATAAACTTTTTGTTATTAAATTTTGAATTCTTATTTTATTTTCTTTTCATTTTTTTGCTTCAATTGTAATTTTCGATTCTGGAAAACTTTTTTTTATCGCTGTTTTTAGAAATAGAAATCATCAATCTTGTGGATCAATTTTTACTCGTAACTGACCTACCATTAACTCTCATCAGGTGTTTGTATTTGATACGTGAACGAGAAAAACATGAAAAGAATATTTCTTTTATATCGATTCTTCAAATTTTTCTCGAACACATTATTAAATTTTTGTATCCCCCCCTCCCCCCAAGGCATTTTTTTCTACAAAATCTCAAAATTCAAAGCAAATATTTTTATGAAAATCATTTTTTATATTTTGAATTTGTTGTTTTATATGTTGAATTTTTATATTTAAGAAATTTTAAATTTACAATTCTATTATTTTTCAGCTTTCAGTATAATTATAAAAGTTTTTTTTTAAAAAAAAGAAAATTTAAAAAAAATCTGTTTTTTGAAAGAAAACACTCTTATTTTTTCGAAAAATCAAAGTACCTGAATTAAATTTTCCCTCTTTTTAAAAATTCTAAAAATATAATTTATTAACAAAAATTGTAATTTTTACTAAATATTTTAATAGAATTTTTATTTTTTTTATTTTTATTTTGCTATTTTTTATAGAAATTTGGGATAGAAAAAATTTCCTTCCTTAAAGAAAGTCAAGGGGTGGAAGCAGGTAAAAAATTTTCAAAAGAATCAAATTATAGAAAAGCAAAAAAAAAAAAAAAATTTGAAAAAAGAATTGGAGGTGGATGAAGTATAGAGAGCGAGGGAGAGAGTAGGAGAGTGAGAAAGAGAGAAGAGAAAGAATATATATAAGTGACTTGAGTGAAGAACATTCATGTACTCTTTCTTTGACCCTGGTCAGGTGTGCACCTTTCCTTTGTGGATCCTTTACTCTTCTCATCGTGGTGTGCTTCCCCCCACCCCTATTTTTTCTCTCCCAAGGATCAGGATTTCAAGTTCGCGGTCGCGAAATTAAATATCCATGGTTTCTTACTACTAATAATTATTATTGGTTCACAACGAGTGTGCAATGCATGTTATGTTTATCAGTGATTTTTAATAAATGTTTCGCCAAGTGTGTTTATTATTTTTAAAACAATTTTTTATTTTTTTGAAAATCAATTATTTTTATAATTAAATAAATAAATTTATAATAATTAAAAAAAATTAATAATACTTAAATAATAATTTTAAAAAATTAATAACAATTAAATAATAATTTAAAAAAGTTAATAATAAATTAATTCTGGTGATGAAATTGAAAAATAGTAAAATTATAATTAATTAATAGTTATAATAAAAGAATAATTCTAACTAACTTCTAACTACAATAAGTTAAAATTTTAATAAAACTACGAAATTTGGTGGAAAAGTTCCTTCGATTTTTTGAAAAGTGATAAAAAGTTCATTTTAACGTTGAGTGTGATGAGCCAGGAACCGGAAGTGACGAGAAACTGAAGTGCAGACGATGGATCTTCGACTCGTAGGTTTCATTTAAAATTAAAAATTTTTTATTTATATTGACAACTAAAAACTATAAATATTAACTTTTTAAATTATTTTTTTAAATAATTAAAATTTTTTAAGATCAAACATGTTTATTTTGAATACAATTTTATTTTTTCGATTTTATTAGTTATATACACTCTTAACTCAAAAGTATCAAACTGCAACAAATTGATACCAAAAAGTGGATTAAATCATAATTTGATCAAACTTTTTTGTATCATTTTGATGTAATTGGGCATCAATTTGATACTTTTCAGAAAACCGTAATAATAATTATATTTTTTGAGAAAACAAGTTTACTGTAGAAACTGGATATTTTACTATATAAAAATATTTATCCTTGTCGACTAAAGATTTTTAACTAATTATTTTATTTATAATTAGCTAGTCGCTAATTATTTTTAAAAATTATTTTTAATTAACATATGTAAAAAATTAATAATATAAATTTAAAACTGCTTAAAAATAAGTACTTTTCTACCGCAGGAAGTCAGTCACTACTACAAACAATTCTAGAAAAAAATGTAGTCAATAGTTGATTATTAGTTTAATTTATTTTAGAGGAAAAATTAAATATTTCCTGTAATTAATACATTTAGTCTAATTTCAATTTTTATACTTTATCTTCCTATGCTAATAAACAGTTTTCCTAATAATAATTTTTAAAAAAATTTTCGCGTATGTATAGAAAAATTTAAAGTATTAAAATTCTATTAATATTTGAGTAAAAAGGAACAAGTACCAAAAAAAAATTGAACGAAAACGAGAAATATGGATAATTAGCAAGTTCATCGAGAGTAAAAGCGATGACTAGGTAATTTTTATTTTTTTGAAACTTTTTTTTAAGAAACTTTAATATATCTATATAATAAAGGGAAAAACACGATCGACCGTGACCTGAATCTTTTGCTTATTTGTAAAGATTCATTATCACGAAGCTTATAATCATTCTTGTACAATTTCTTCCCCATTTTTTTTCTCGTTTTACTCTCGCGCGGTCCATTGTGTTTTAGTCTCCATGTGCGCGCGCGATCCTGTTTCACCCGCGCAAATGAAACTCTCCTACCTTTATATATATATACACACGACCTCTCTTCCTTATATTCAATTTGGTTTCCCTCGCGTGAGAATTTGCTGATTAAAATCGTCCCGCATATAGAAAGCGAGAGATCCCCATTAAAGAAATTATAAAGTCTCCTCGAAAAAGCGTTTTGCACGTTTTGATGAATGCATTAAATGTATACACTATATATATATATATATATTATGTAGATGTATTTATGTACATGAGGCGGCAACTAGGAAGTTTAGTAAAATAAAATAGCCTATAATTTCGTGACCGTCTTTTTAACCTTCGCTTATAGTGAAAACGCAATGTAATTATTATCCAGTTTCATTCATAAACATCACAGTCTCGTGATATTATTTTCTGCATGTTTCTCGATATGTTTATTTCTCCTTTTTTGTCGGAATTTAGTTTACGATTTATCTTTATTAAAAAACAACTTTTTTTTAAAGATGGATCTTACGTAGCATCTTAAACAGAATAAAAAGAATTAAGTTTTACTCTAATTTTTCATATACTTTACCAAAACACTGCGTGGATTTGAAATCTGTCGTTGGGGTTTGTTCTGGTCACAATTAATTTGCGATCTATCTTTATTACAATCCTCTTTTTTAAATCTTCAGGATTTGCTATTATAAATTACGATTTAGTCCTTTCATAAAAACCCTTTTTGTAGTTTTAAATAGTTAACTGTATTTAACTTACCATTCAATTCTGACGAAGTCTTCAAGATTTGCGATGACAAATTACTATTTTGTTCTGTAACGAAAACCATTTTTGTAAATTTAAATAGTTAACTGTTATTAAGTTACCATTCGATTCAGCCAAAGTCTTCAGGATTTGCGATGACGAATTACGATTTAGTTCTTACATAAAAACCCTTTTTGTAGCTTTAAATAGTTAACTGTAATTAACTCGCCATTCGATTCAAACAAATTCTTCAGGATTTGCGATGTAGAATTACGATTTAGTTCTCTAACGAAAACCGTTTTTGAAATCTGTCGTTGAAGTTCGTTCTGGTCACAATTAATTTTCGATTTATCTTTATTACAATCCTTTTTTTAAAGGTGAACTTTCTTGAGCATCTGAAACAGAAAAAGGAATTAAGTTTTACTCTAATTTTTTATACTTTACCAAAAAAAAACACCAAGAGTTGCAAATTTGTCGCTGAGTTTTGTCCTTGTAACAATTAATTTACGATTTATCTTTATTACACCCCTTTTTTAAAGAATGAATCATCTGCAGCATCTGAAACAGAAAAAAAGAATTAAAATGTTTCTCTAATTTTTTTTCTACTCTACCAAATCACTGCGTCAATCACGAATACATCGATGAATTTTTTTCTTGCCATAATTTAACGATTTATTTTAACAAAACAATAACCTTTTTTAATGATGAATTTTCTGCAGCATCTGAAACACAAGTAAAAATAATAAACAAATATGACAATAATATATAATATAAAATAATATAAATAATAATTTTAAAACAATAATATAAAGTAAGCAATACTCGAAAACTATATGATGAAATAAATAGAAAAAATAAATAATAAAACAAAAAAAATATTTTCTTATTTTTTCTATTGTTTATTTACATCCTTCTATGAAGTAAAAACAATTAGACGTAAACAAAACTAAAAAAGAAATTTTTTCACCTACTGAAAAGTAACAAGAAAAGTATTAAAGTTTGAGCGAAAGAAAGTGCTTTTGTCGCGCATTGTAAATTTAAAATTTATGGAAATCCTTTTACTTGAACAAGAATTTAACATATTTTATCAATTAGCATACACCTGTATCGTAGACTTGAATATGCGAAACTTCATTTTCAAGAAAAATGATTTGCTTGACAAAAAAAATACGCTGATTATTAATTAGTGTTTTCAAAGACTCTTTTGTGTATTGACGTCTAAATAGTAATTTACAATTTGATTATATTTAGGTACTATAAAAGATTAATTTGAGAAAGTAACAAATTAGGATTTTGTTTTCTAAAAGAAACCTTCTTCTACTTATTGTAAATAATTAATCGCAATTTGGAATTAAAGAAAAAATGAATTAACTTACAATAGAAAATTTGAAAGAAAAAAATAATCTAATCATAATCTTTTTTGAAAAAGCAAAAGTTTTTCTAAAAATTATGAAAAAATATTAAAAGTTATTAAAAAATAATTAAAAACTTACCATTTTTGATGATTTTCCATCTGCTTCAGAAGATTGGCAAAATTACGATTTAGTTCTCTAAGGAAAACCACCTGTCTTTCACTTACATTCGGTGTGTTTACCTTACAATTTTGAGGTTAGACTTTGACAAACAATCAATTTCTTCTGCGCAAACTCGGCAATTTTTTTCTTTTTCCTTTTCCCTTGTGTATGTCATTTTCAATATAAGGAGAAAGCGAAAATCAAATATTTAAGAGGCAAGATTACTGTTATTATTATGATAAATTAATCTTCACGTGAGAACACATGAATAACCGCATTGTATGATGATAAGAAAAGTAAAATAGAAATGTTAAAATAAAAGGCAAATTCGCATATAAGATAAGGACTGAACTAATTTTTCTGGGAAAAATATGTTTTATTTTTAAATTAACGAAAAGAGAAATTAAATGTATTATTATTGTTTTATTTTCAATTATTATAATTATCTTTTATCTGAATTATAATTTTTATTATCCTTCTCATAAAAAGAGTTCTCTAAAAAGAATCTTATAAAAATTAGTTAAAAGCAGAAATTCTTAAATTTTTGTAAGACGGAGTAACAAAAGTAACGTTAATTGAAGAAAGACGTTATTTTCACGAAGATTCATTTTCATATGAAGAAGCAAATAATACTTATTATTAATACTATTATTGTTTTTGCAATGTCATTATAAGTTGAATTTCCTACTTTTTATTAGGAAATAATTGAAAAATTCAGTTTCCCATAAATTATTGATTGACCTTTAAAAAATAAATATAGTATATAAATTGATCGTATACATCGGAACCAGAAACGTGAGACTGTGCTCTTCATCTCCTGAATGTTTTGTGTGTTGGAGGTTGTAGCAGCGACCGATTGTCGTAACTCGTAATCCTCACAGCCCACTTACCTACATTATTCTCAAGTATACAGTCTCAAATACTCTGTCTTCGACTTGTTTGCACACTCTCAATTCAGAACTATCTCTCTTACGCATATATAATCCTTTTTATGTATAAAATTACAAATCTATATTTGAAAGCAAAAAATCATCCTCTCCATTGAACTTATAATTCTTTGAATGTATTGTATATTATGCGGATGTTCGATTATGAATAATTTCATTTGTATACATTCGAAGATTGGTAAGCCGCCACCGCCGCGTGTTCTAGAAAGATGAGTACGATAGGAAAAGTGGAATATCGATTAAGTGAATAGCATATCCTTCCTCTTTGGATTCCATTTTTTTCCTCTCTTCTTTTGATGGAATATTTTCGATCAAATGAAATCAAATTGGTACACTTTTCGGCACTTTCTTTCTTTTATTATTGCTGTTTTAAAACATTACGATGATCATGATTTTTTACTGATTGCTCAATTTTTGAAATTTCTGTGCGAAAATGTACTTTCTTTCTCAAGAAATAATTTTTTTTTATTCTTTCCCAGAAAAAGATTTCATCGAAAATTGACTTACTTCTTAAAACAAAATTTCCACCCTTGAAGAAGTGGGTTAAAAAGAACAGCAAAGAAGGATTCAAAAATAGCAAAAAGGAAAAAATGAGAGATTAGAAACAATTATAATGGATTAGAAATAATTATAATAGTTATTCATTAATCAATTTTAGACGTCGTAGTAGGTAACCTATTCATTTTGATTTCATTATTTAATAATATATCCTCGAGAAGAGATAAGTACATTGAAAAATGATTCATTATCCATGTTGATTTCAATGGAACGTTGCGCATAAATTATAAGGAATCTTTTGTCACGAATTCTCTTTTTTGCGCTTAAAACATAAATATATTCCGTAATGTATATTCATAAAATAGGAAATGTATAATGCGTACAACTCTTTCTCTTGTTTTGTCCTCTCGTCACTTATTTCACTTTCCTCTTTAACTTCAAGCTTCTGGGACAACTCGGTCATCCATGCCATCTTCTTGCGTATTATAACAATCTGTGTATACATTGTTTCTTCACAATGTGTATATGAATCAACACATTTACAAGAACTATAAAATACACGTGTATATGTATTCTCTAGCCATACAATTCATTTATAATACGTGCTCATATATTCTTGGTACGTGAATCTTCTCTTTTCTTGAATCATCTGCATGGCGCTTCTCGTCTCTTGTGAACTTGAATGTATGAACGCATAACAGGTATGCGGTAGTTAAGTACATTTATTTCCCAACACGTAAATGGCACGTAACGTTCGCAAGACTCTCTCGTGATGACGAATCTCACATTACTATTATTATTATAGTTTTATGGGAAACATGTCTGTGGATCCTTGGAAAAAATCTTTATTTTGTCCCATTTAGGAAGTTTCTCTTTGAATTAAAATTTTTGCCGAAGAGTTCTCTTCTTTAACAAGGGAGTAGATTCAAAAATTTATTTCTGTTCCCGTCACAATTAATTTACGATTTGTCTTTATTAAAAACAACCTTGTTTGTAATCTTTAGAATTTATGATGACGAATTACGATTTAGTTCTCTAAAAAAAACCGTTTTTGTAGCTTCAAATATTTAACTTAGTAGTTAAATAGTTATCTGTAATTAACTTACCATTCGATTCAGCCGAAGTCTTCAGGATTTGCGATGTCGAATTACGATTTAGTTCTCTTACAAAAACCGTTTTTAAATTTTGTCCCTTTTTAAAGATGAATCTTCTGCAGCTGCTGAAACCGAAAAAGGAATTAATTGTTAGTATAAATTTTCTTTTACTTTACCAAAACGCTGTCAGCTGGAAATCTGTCATTGTATTTCCTTTTGGTCCAAATTTCACGATTTATCTTTATTAAAATAAACTTTTTTTAAAGATGCATCTTCCTCACCATCTGAAACAGAAAGAAATAAAATTATCATTTCTATACATTTTTCACCAGTAGTCTTTCGGAATAACGACAATTGTTATGGGAGTGCCCGGCATTCCAAAAGATCACTGCCTGGAAAAATGGTTTCCTCAGCTAATTAAATAAAAGATATTAAATATTTCTCGCAGCTAATTGAATAAGATACTAAATATAATATTTTTAATTATAATTCAGTTTCTTGTATCTATTTCTACAAGAAGTGATGCAGAAAATCTTGTAAGACAACCTAAATTTTTATCATGATACAAAATGTTACAATAAAAAATTTCATTTTTCAGAGTGATAAATATGTGTGAAAAAAATGTTTGTTACAGGGGCTGTCGCTGTTGCTCTTGCTTACCTATTCATCCAGCATACAATCCAAGAACATCAGGGATGGCCCGAATCCTCGATCGCGGCACACCAAAAGAGCCACTCCCAGTGAATATTTAAAACCTCCGGCTCCGGTTGGGAAGAATTTTAATCATCATCCTTCTACAAATTTAGCACCCCCACCTTTTATTCTTCCACCTCCAGGCGCTTTTAGAAATGGAAAATTTATCGACAACTCAAGACATCCCGGATCGAATGACTCGAGGGGTTATTTTTCCCGATTAATGAGTTGGCTGAATCCTTGGTCCACTGGTAATAATAGTCCTTTACCTGCTCAACAAACACTAAGAAACCCATCAGCGTAAGTATTTTTCCCCACAAAAATATTTTATTAGTTACTTTAATCCTAACAAACAAAATTTTAAAAAAATATTTCTATTTTACTTTTTTTTCTCAATTTTAAGATAATGTAATTAACTTACCCCAATCGTTCGATTCTGCCGAAGTCTTCAGGATTTGCGATGATGAATTACGATTTAGTTTTTTCACACAAAAACCGTTTTTGTAGTTTTAAATAGTTAACTGTAATTAACTTACCATTCGATTCAGACTAATTCTGCAGGATTTGCGATGACGAATTACGATTTAGTTCTTTCACAAAAACCGTTTTTGTAGTTTTAAATAGTTAACTGTATTTAACTTACCATTCGATTCTGACGAAGTCTTTAGGATTTGCGATGACGAATTACGATTTAGTTCTCTAACGAAAACCGTTTTTGTAGCTTCAAATAGTTTTTTTACAAAGAGAAATCAAAGATTATTTTTGTTTTGTAAAAAGTGTCAAATATGCAGTTTCCAAAAAAAAAATTAAAAACATTTACAGATACCCACCGGAGGAACAAAGATCAGTTCCATTACAAGGACCTTTTAATCCTGACAGACGTTGCAATCCCTGCAATGAAGAACCTTGGATTCCAATTCGAAGTATCGTCAGTCAGCCTTTGAATTATCCACAAAATTACAATGATGGTCGTCATTTACCATCATCACCATCACACGAGATTCGTCAACCTGACTTCACCTATTCTCCACTGCAAAATGTCTATCCACCACCAATATTCACCAGTCATCCTATTCCAAATCCGCACATCTATCCGGGAGCAATGCCACCACTTTACAAGGCAACGCAATTCTCCTCCGCCGGTAGTGACAGTCATTCGGCATCAAATTTCCAAATTGGCAAATTTGCTGAAAATCCTTTACCCCTTGACAATGGAAGTTCCAGTACAAACGTTCAAGTCAAAACTGAAGGTCATGTTAGTGAACCGGAAGTGGATGACTCGCATAATGTAAGAGTTAATGTTCAAGACGAAGGTCTTCTATCAACAACAGACAGAATTCAAGGTCAGGAGAGTCAAATACAGTCTCAAGGTCAAGACACTAAGGTTCATGGGGCAAAAATACAAAGTCCTCCACTTGACCAAGAACATCACTTCGAAGGACAATTTCAAGGTTTGTTTGGACAAAAAATTCAAGGTCAAGGTCCCGATGATCCAAATCAGATCAAACATCACCATCAGAAAAATTCACCACTTGAAATAATACCATCAATCGGAGGGCAAGTTTCTTCTGAACAAATTCATTTTGAAAGATCACCAATTATAGATCTTAGTGTGTCCCCGTCTCCATTACCTCCATTATTAACTGAAACTTATTCCACTGATGAATTTCGGGAAATTTCCACAAAACCATCGAGTTTAATTGATTATCTCGTCGCTGGTTACGATGACAGAATTCCAATTTCCCAATCAAGTGTTACGAATAGAAGGCCAATTATTGACACAACAGAATCGGGTGAAATTGATTATTATAATTCGCCTCACAGCCAAGAGGAATTGGGCTACAATGATAAGCAACCATTTTTAGAATCACTAATGGAATCCTATTATAATTTTAAGAGGCAGGAAGAAGTTGATTCTAAGGTCAGTGCCACTAATTCGGCGAATAGTGGTTTCAGTGGTGGGGATAATTTACAATTTACTGCACCATCGAGTCGGACTGGGAAAAAAAATAAACAGGTGATTATAGTTCAACTTTGACATTCCTAGTTTAAAAATCAATGAAAAATTAAAAATTAAAAAAAATTAGATTAAATTAAAAATTAGAATGAAAATAATTTTCTATTTTTTTTTAATTGTTAAAGTAGAGAATTATTTTTATTCTTGTATTCTTGAAATTATATTTTTATCCTGTAGGCTAAAAACACTAGGGACGTTAATTATGATACACTGCTGACAATCTAATAAAAATAAACATAACCTATAAATTGACAAAATTCTCTCCATACTGCAAACAGAAAATAGGTTTATTAAATAATAAAAATAATTTAATTTTCAGTCTCCACTGTCCCTACTAAAGAGGCTTGTAATCAAAAACTTTCTCGTGCGCACATATTTATTTGTTATTGCTTATAGAAATTTTTGCGCATCTTGTCTCATGTCACTGTTTTATAGTTGCGATAAAATTAACTCTCCTCTCTCATATATATATTTATGTGAAAGCACATCGGGGGAAATTTGTAATTTAATAATAAATCATGTAGTCTAAGCTTATGTGCGTTACTCTCTAGGATAAGAAAATTTTTCCCCCTCTCAATGACCTTGAAATTAAAAACTATCATCTGACAAAATTTAACTGGATTTTTTGAATTTATTTTTTATAATATAAGTAAAAATAAAAATAATAACAATAAAAATAGACAACAATAATAATAAAAATATACCTTACCTAAACACTGTCAGATAGAAATCTATTGTTGTATTTTCTTCTTGTCACAATTTTACGATTTATCTTTATTAGAAAACAACTTTTTTTAAAGATGAATCTCCCTCACCATCTGAAACAGAAAAACAATAGAATTACTATTTTTCTACACTTTTCACATGTGGTCTTCTTCGGGAATAATTTTTCTAACTGACAACTAACTTGACAAATGAAAAGAGGTTATGTTTACTGAATGAATATAGTAAATTTAATAGAGCTCCCTCTTTAAAAATTTTTTGACGGGAATTTTCAAAAAACTTTTAAATACTATTATTAAATTTTACATTTGAATTATTTTTATAATATAATTATATTTTCTTTCAGGTTCAAATAATAATTCCCTACACGTCTCAATTTACACCGAGTCCATTTCATTCGTCAATTATCGACGAAGTGAATAGAGGCGAAATAGAGCAACAATTACCAAGAAAAGTGCCTTCTGATGTTCATTACGATCCATTTGATGAGGGTGTTGTTGCTCAGGAGTCAAATACAGTTTCAGTCACGTCACTTCCGGATATTCATTCCACATCGTCGGCTCCTTTAAAGAATAATTCTATTGACGTTCAGAGACTGCAGAAAAATATTGACAACTGGACTATTCAGGTTTTGATTTTTTAATATTTTTTAAATTTATTTTTTAATTAATAATTAATTTAAAAAAAAAAATTTTTTTATTTAATTTTATTTATTTTTATTGAGATATTTCTTATTACTAAAAGAATATTTTATTTTTTTGGTAATTATTAATTATTAACACATCAATCGGTTAATTCAATTTATATTTAATTAAGAAATTAAATTTCAGGAATATTCCAAAGGACTAATTCCTAGTACAGTTAGTGTGCCAAATGCAACTCATCCTCATCTTTCGCGATCGAAAAATATTCCAAACGAATATTTTTTGACGAAACAATTGAATAGTACTTCCGAAGAAATTTATGATGACGAGGACGTAAAAAGCGGTTCATCAGAATTTGATTTCGAAGACTATAAGCAAATGACGACTTTCGAAATATCTCGCGTCACTCAGGTAATTTTTAACGATACTTTTTTGAAATAAATATTATCGACCATATGATAAATATTAAAAAAAAAATGTTATTTTTAATAAATATTAATATTATTTTTATATTAATAAATAATTCCTTACTTTCGTCAATTATAAACCGTTTTCTTTTCGTCTTTTCAAAAAGGAACCAAAAATGACAATAAAAAATTTCCAAAGTTCAAATGACAATGATCAAAAACAAATTGAAACCAAAGAAAATGAAGTTTCGCCCTCGAGGAATGAAAGTGACATCAAAGATGTTTTTAAAATCGAGACAATATTTGCCAATGCAACGACGAATAAGAAGGGGGAGAAAGTTTACGTCGTGACTCCACTGCCAATTGGCGAGAAGGAACTGAAGAAAGCTTTTGAAATTGAACTGAAGAAAAAGCCAAAGAAGAAGGAAATTGAAAAAATCGAGAGAGCCTATCAGGTACTACCTCAGGCGGTTAATAATTTAGCGGTAGCGTCCACTGGACCCGAGAGTGTTCCCCTTTGGGGCATTATGGAACACGAGGAGTACGCTTCTTCTAATTTAGACACTGAGACGCAACTTCCGGTTCTCTACACTGGCCATTCGAAGGTAAGGCAGATTTTTTTTTTTTTTTTTTTTTTTATGCCGTCACTGTACAACATTCAGTCAATTAACTTCGAAAACAAAATATTTTCCTTTTTTATAAAACATCCGTACCCAGTAACCTCAAATATCATCAACGCAATAAAAAAAAAATTCAAATTGGACCATTAAATTAAATGTCTTTATATTCGTATACTTTCACTAAAAAAAAATTCCCAATAAAGATAAAGTTCCCAAAGTACATATTAAATAAAAACAGTTACCAAAGAAATTAAAAAATTTTTTTTTGTCACTAAAATTTTTGATATATTTTTTTTCGCAGGTTTCACATGCGAGACGATGACGTATGTAAATACCAGTCTTTAATAATGAGGAAAAAAAGCAAAATTAAAAATACGAAGAAATGAAAAGCAGGAAACTGCGCGTGTGACACGTATAGAGTGATTCCTCCATTTACTACTGTTACTGTATTATAACTGTACCTGGAGTAAAGGTATAACTAACTGGAAGCCAAAGTGAGAACTTGACTTCCTTTTTCTCTCGGCGTTTTATACTTATACATATAAGATCGCAAAATCAGGTTTTGCTATTTTTCGCAGAATTGCATATACGAGAGCAATTCATAATAGTCACAATTTTCAAATGGCGTATATAGTATATTACGTGTGTTTTCTAATAAGGGAACCCCCCCTCCCTTTTTTCCGCCATTATATGCGCGAAAATTATATATATTACAGAAAATAAGTGCCGCTGTTAAAATTGAAAGTTATTTCCTCATTCAATTATATCTGCAATTTTACCCCATATTATCTCATTATTAGAATTTATTTTTAGTGAGCAATTGAAAGTTTGTTTCTATTATTGCGTTTATTGGCATTTAGTATTTTTCTCAAACACTTACTTTTTCTGTATTTTTTTATTTAAAAAAAAAATTTTTTTTTATTTTAATTTTTTAATTATTTTTTATTTTCTTTTTCATTTTTGAATGAACTATTTTCTAAACATCTTAAGTGGCGAAAATAATAAAAGAATTGAGACTTTTTTAAATTTTTTTTTAATTTTCATATTCTTTTTGAATTAATTATTTTCTAAAACATTCTAAGCGCAAAAATAATAAAAAATTGAGACAGTTCGGAGAGATGGTTTTTTTGTTTTGCAAAAGCAAAAAGTGGCACTTACATAGACCAGCTGTCGCGGTCGGTTTATAGTCATTATTTAGGATCATTAGATAAACGATGAAGAGTCAATGTGCGACAATGTGCAAACTCATCGAGAATGAAGTTTCCTCTCATATAATATTTATTATATACATGCGATTAAAAGAAAAAAAAAAAAAGAGGAAATAAAAAAGGGGGGCAGAAGTAAACGTGAAACTATCTCGCGAGAAACGGGACGAGAGAATATTCGCGAGAAAGCCTATTTTATTTTTGCGAATCAGTAGACACAAGATGTGACCCCGAGAAACAATTGGAATTTTTCCATTATCATTTAAATTCACAACTTTCGATTCTTTCCTTCTTTTATAATTTTAATTTTTTTTCAGCAACATTGAATCTTGAAGCATTGGATAAAATTTCAAAATTAAATCATTTTTGTTAAAATAAAAATTAGAAAGTAAAAGTTTAAAAAACATACCTATGTAAAAAAATTTGCAAAATTATTTAATTTTCTTTTTAATTACTATTTGCAAAAAGAAATTTTTGTTTTTCTTTTTTTCCTTTTCTTTAAAACTTCTAATTAAAATTCTCTTTGTGATTTTACTTTTTCTTTTTTTTAACTACTTTCGCGAAGAAATGACATTTTTTTATTTAAATATATATCTATACACTTTTGGCGACTTTCCATTGTTTCTTTTCTTTCATGGATTTATTTTTAAGCAAATTGTTGTCGTTGTTTGGTGAATAATAAACGATTCTTGACACAGCGAAAACCTCGAATTGATGAATTTTATGCACTTTCGCTGAACTAGAATATTAACAATGTACAATTGAGAAAAAAAAGAATAAGAGGAAGAAGAAGAAAGCATTTTTGCAATTTGAAAATTCGAGCACGTTGCAAGATGTGTCTTTCTTGCAAAATCGACATCAAGTTCAATGCAACTTTTAACATAAAAAAAAATCCCTTCCTTTAAAATTGATCAATGTGAAAAATTTTGAATTTAATATTTAGAAATCGAATTTTTATTTATAGTTACGATTTTAATTCTTTGTATATATATTTTTACCAAACAAAAATCGTAATTTGTTTTTTTTTTACTTTTTACAAGTAAGTTTTTTTTATCTATAAACAAATAATGGCATTTTTTATAATTTTTAGTCGAATTAAGTTTAGTTTACAGTAAGAAAAAATGTATTAATTAGTGATAATTAATTTAATGTGTGACAAAAGTGTGATTAAGTGACTGGATAATAATTTTTTTTATACTCGATTTTTTGATATTTTGTATAAAAAAAAATCCGTAAATAAATAATAAATGAAATCGATATTTGAATTTATGTATTTATATGCATGTGAATTAATCGACTAGTAACTAATTACAAAAAAAATTAACTAATTAATTATTATTTTTAATTTTTTTTTTTTTTTTTCATTAACAAAAATACAGTGAGAAGATATGTTTCAAAGAAAATTTGCGAATTTTTCGATAAAAGATTATAATTAATTAATTTATTTATTACAGAGCGAAACTGAGGAAAAATAAGATTGAAGTCACCTTTAGTGAATAAGATGATGGGTCACTAGGGTAAAATACTTTTGACATTCTCTCTCTGTTAAATGCGTGGGAACACGTGGGACCGGAAAAAGTTTATGGGAAAAGTGTACAGTATTGTTTTACGAGAGACGACTCGAAATCTCCCCCCCAAACAACAAACTTCCTTAAAACGAGACCAAGAATCCTCACCGCTAATTAGATCCGTTCCAAAAGCAAAATGGGATTCAACAAGGACACGACCTTAATTAACAGCTGATGACTGTATAGTAAATATAATTGAACATTAAAACTAGAAAACGATATCAAACTTCATTTTTCATTTCAATTTGAATTTTAATTTTACCACTTTCACGTATATGTGAAAAAAGAAATGCATTCAATAGTAATTAATCTTTATTATAATATATTTTAAATCAAATCACAGTCATGTTATATTAATTACAATTTTTTTTCCTTTTTTTTTGTAAAAAAAGATTTTCTTCATGTAATAATGATGAAGATAAAATTTAATTATCTATTTGGTTGTGTTTTATTTTTCGAAGGAACTAAAAACATTTCCATCATCCACATGAATATTGTCAAACCTGTCATGCAATTTATGAATGCAATTCCAAGACTGTAACTTCCGGTTTTGTCTCTAATGAAACCTGTAACAATTATATGATGTCATGTTTTGTCGATTATTAAAAAAAATTTTTTTTTTTTTTTTATTTGCAAGAAAAACGAAAAAAGTGACAAACCTATTAGAGGACCAGCTCCCATCGATAGAAAACCGACAATAATTTGTTGAAGACTACTTGCAGATGGGAGTCTTTCAAGTGGAACATAACTGGGAATAACGAGGACCGAATAAACAGCACGAATTCCCTTTGCAAAGCCCATCCAGGTCATTACTACCAAAAGTGAAATGTAACCTGTTGTGAACATCAACACTGAAACAGAAATTAAGTTTGCATTATTTTTAGAGACGGAATTCGTTAAAGCATCATTTTAATTTTTATGATTTTTTGGATGATTCGAAATTGTCAGATTAAAAAAAGTTTAAGTTGACTAAAGTGTTCTGAAATAGAATTGGAAATTAAAGAAAACAATGGTATTAGAAGAATTACTATTAGTAATAAACAGAACAAAAGAATTACTATTAGTAATAAACAGAACAGAAGAATTACTATTAGTAATAGAAAGAACATTGTCGTCTATTACCATCTGCAGAAATTTAAATACCAACACTTTATGACAAAAGGATCGACATTTGTTGCAATTGTTCGTTGTCATCATCTGCTACCAACTTCAAAAATTATTAGTGTCGATACTTAGTGAAAAACATTGATATTTGTTGTAATTGTTGGTTGTTATCATCTGATACCAACTACACTAACTATTAGTGCTAATATTTATTGACTCTCGACGATTTTTGTCATCTTTGTTGGTAGTTGTCATCCTCTATTATCTGCAGCATTTATTAGTACCAACAGTTCTTGACAATCTCTATCTTTATCTGCATCTTTCTTGATTTTTAATTTTCATCAATGTTCCTTGTTGTTATTATCTTTCACCAGCAATAACTTTTAGTGCCAAAAATTTGCAAAAATCCTTGATTCCAATCATTGTTTTTGATTGTTGTTATCTTCCACTGTCTGCAAAAATATTACTTCCAATAGTTTGTGACAATCATTGGCATTTATCACAGTTGTTGTTCGTTGTCATCTGCTATCATCTGCAGTAGTCATTAGTGGTGATACTTAATAACAATCGACAATTTTTGCATCTTTGTTGGTAGATGTCATTCTCTACTATCTGGAGAATTTATTAGTACTAATAGTTAGTAAAAATCGTCGACATTTAGCATCATTGTTAACGGTTGTCAGCTTCTGCAAAAATATTAGTTCCAATACTTAAAGACAATCATTGACACTTGTCACAATTGTTGGTAGTTGTCATCTGCTACAATCTGCAGCAGTTAGTAGTGAAGATGCTTAGGGATAATCGATGATTTTTTCATTCTTGTTGGTGGTTCCTATCCTCTATCACCTACAGGAGTTATGTGTAACGATAAATATTGTCAATCGTTGATATTCATCATCATTGTTGATGGTTGTCATCTTCTATTATCTGCAGCAATTATTAGTAGGAATAATTATTGTCAATAGTCGACAATTATCGACAATCCCAAACAACTGTCATCACTGTTGGTGAAAGTTTTTAAATTTTCAAAACAAGTCTATAGATAATGACTAATCGATAACTTTGTCATCTGTACCAATATAATTAGTGACTATCATTATAGTGTTTGTCACAAAATTGTTGGTGCTTTTCAAAAATACTTGTGTCTTGTTAATAATATTTGTCCCAATGATAATTGTTTTTAGGATATCAAATTCCAAATGTTATCTTCATAAAAATTTACTGATAAGTTCCTCCATTAACGCCAAGATACCAAGGTCAGTGCTTGTAATAAATTCTTCGGTACCGAGTTTCCGATACTTTGTTTAACTGTTTTATGATTTATTGTTTCTTGTCGTGAGGAACGTTATCAGATTTTCTACTTTTTTAACTTTCCTCTTCCTGTGAAATGTAATTCATAAAAATCTTCCTAAAAAATTCCAAAATTCCGAACATTTTTTCCAAATTATAAAGTATTTAAGGAAACTATCAATCTGAAATTATAATTTACCACTACAGTAGCAAACAACGCTTGATAAATTTACGACCCAAATTGTTGGTAAAGCAGCCTAAATCTCTTGTAAATTGAAAAGGTATTGTTAGTAGATAATTAATTAATAAAACTAATTATGTAAATGGTGGGAAGAAAAATAAAAAAATGGTAACAGTGATAATTACATGTTCTGCCAATGATGAGAAATGCCAAACTAAATAAATACATGGTCCTCGGTGATTTCTTCAATTGATGACCAATAAATGGACTGATACCACGTAGAAGAAGATCCATTGTTCCCAATAGGCTCATAACAATTGATATTTGCGATGTTGTTAAATGCATTTCCTTAAGAATAATTGGCAACAATGATGAGAAATTTGTTTCAGCAAAAATTGCCACCGACATTCCCATAGTGATATTAACAAATATCAAATCGCGAAGTAAATCCAATCCAAAGAGATAAATTATTTTTTCGCGTCTTGTTTTCGGTCCACTGTAGATTGCAATTTTTATTTAGGAATTTTTTTTTTGTCATGAAAAATAAGAGAATATAATTATTATTACACAACTGATTATATTTCTATTTGCGTTTATTTAGAATAACTATAGAGGGAAAAAAATGATATGACCTCACCCTACTTTTTCTTCGATATTCTCATTGATATTGTCAATGATAAAAAGTGTACCACATTTAACGCAAATTCTTTCAGCTAATTGACAATGTCCATTAGAATTATTGATGATTTTTAATGGTACATCTTTAACATCGTCTGATGATTTTGTTTCATCAAAAACGTTTAAACTACTCCCTAAATTAACAGACTGTACTAAAAAAATTAAAAAGGGAAAAATTAGTATTGAAAAACAGAATTAAAATTTTTTTTGCTTTTTTCGTTTATTGGAATTCTAATTACCAAGATCGATTGCTTGTAATTCGTAATTGCTTCCTTTCTTTAAATTCATGTTTGAATTGTTCTTTTTCTCATCTTCCGTACATTCGGGACATATTTCCTGAAGAAGAGATTTATATTCTGGAAAAAAATTAACAAAATAAATAAATAAACAAGCAAATAAATAAACAAATATCTAAACAAACAAATAATTGAGCAAATAAATAATTAGACAAATAAAATAATTAATTATGAAATTAAAAAATTATTAGTAAATTAAAATATAATTACGTGATTCGAAATTTTCACCCTCGTCACAAATTTTCTCCTGTTTCGAATGCCATTTCACTGGTTGAAGCAGCATTGCTCCAATTAAAGCGTGTAAACTACACCCTCCAAGAAATAACATCGTCCCCTAAAAAAATTTTTTAATTTACAAACTTTTCAAAAAGAAAAAAAAATATTTTATAATTTTTGTAATTTGAATTTTTAAAAAAATATTTACAATTCAAAAAAATTGTCACTATCGTCAATTATTGTAAAATTTATTATCCCTATATTTTATTATTTTTATAAAGTTTACTTAAAAAAAATACTTTATAAAAAATATTTTATTACTGATTTTCACCTGAGAACCATAAAAATAGAGTAAATATGAAATAATTAGTGGAAAAATAATTGGTCCAATTCCAGTAATAGTCATTGAAATTCCCATTGCTCGACCCCTTTTTTCTGCGAAATATGAATTTAGCGCGAAAAAGAATGATGACATCGCTATTCCCATTCCTAGCGCTGAAAAAGTTTTTAAAAATTTTGTTAATGAAATTAAAGATAGAAAGTTTTAGAAAACGTATAACTTATATTAATAAGTATTAATTATGGTAATTATAAATTTATTTTATTATCTATTATTATATTAATTTTTATTAATTTATTAGTTTTTTAATATTTTTTTAATATTTTGTTATTTTTTTATTATTATTTTATCATTTTTTTTATTATTTTTTATTATCTTTTTATTATTTCTTTATTATTTATAAATTATAACTTTATTAATTATATTAATAAGTATTAAATAACAAGTCGTAAAGTAGCGTACAATAAGTCTCAAAGCAATACGCTAAAAGTGTTGCGCGCGCCGAATACGGGTGAGGGGGATTCCCAGAATACTCTATCCCCACTCCTCGCGTACTGCGCGCGCAAACTTCTCATATATCAATTTTCTTCCTATTCGACACAAACGAAAAGAAAAAAAACCGCTAATTCGCAAATACCTAAAAATAAAAAAAAGTATTTGTAATTTAATTTTTGCTTACACGTTAGCATTCCATAACCAATGATGAAATCTAAAAATGTTGATGAAAATGCAGTATACACGACTCCCAATGTGAATACAAGAGTTCCAAGAATTGCCGTTTTTCTATAGCCAAAAATTGTTATCAATGGTCCATTAAATATTCCCAATATCATACCAAAAAAGGAATTACAACTCATTATTGTTGTCACTTCAGTGGCGGTTAAATTTAAAACGTCAAATCTTTCTTTGAATATCAATGCGAAACCTTGTAAAATTGGAATTGTCACCATCTGAAAAATTGAATGGAGAACATTTTTCAATTCAAAAAGAATGCAAACTTTATTTAATTACAATTGATTTTAATTATAATTAATTATTACTATAATTATTTCTAATTAAATTAATATTAATTCCATTAGAATTGAAAAATTAATTTAAAAATAATATTATAGGGTAGGGTGGGGCATTACTATTCTTGTTTGGATTTTTGAGTCTATAAAATGTATATAAAAAAAAATAAAAAAATGAGTAGAACCGTTTGAAAGCTTGACTTCTTAGCTACAATTTTGCCATGTATCATTTTGCTGTAACTCGATTCTGTTCCGAACTACAGCGATTTTACGAAAAAAAAATTTTTTTGATGTCGAAAAAAACGAGGGGCGTAACTATTCTTGCAGCTATTAATGATATAATACTAAAAAAATATATAAATTAATTTGTTAATTGGAGGATTTTTTCTGGTTTTTTTCTTCCAATTTCTTACAATTCTAACCTAGAAACAAGCACACACAAAAAAATACACTGTTTTGTAGTTTTTGCTGTCATCAGTGGAAGAATAGTTACGCCCCATCCGCCCATTTTTTGAAAAAACACTTGTAAAATTTTTGAACAATAGAATATCAAAAATCCATTATGATATTCGTGTTCAGCACTAAATTTGACTTTAGAAATAATTTTTCCGATAATTTTTCCGACCGTTTATCACTATTTACAATGGCAGACTAAATGAGTGAAAACAAGTAAGCGAGTATATCAAAATCACATTTGGGTACCTAACTCCAATGATAGATGGCGCCAGAAGCTCAAATGTGGCGTACAATGTTCATTTCACATGACAAGTATACAGTGTAAAAAAAACTTTAATCGGATGAATAGTTTTCTCTCCAGGACAAAGAATAGTTACGCCCCGCGAATAGTAATGCCCCACCCTACCCTATAAACAGAATATCTATATAAAAAAAAAATTAATTAAAAAAAATATATATAAAGTAATAAATTTACTTACGCTGTTTAAAGCCGTTGCGAAAACAATAACCCAACCCCATCCACCATCAGGTGCCTTTAAATTATTCTTCTTCATGATTGACATCTTTTTCTTCTCTCAAAAATTATAAAAATTTAAGTCCAAGTGGACCATCAGAACAATAAATATTTGTCCTTTTCATTGAGTATTTTTTCCCTAGGTCGATAATTTTCTTTCAAAAAACTAAATTTTAAGAAAAATACTTTATTAGAACAATAATTAGTAAAAAAACAAATTATAATAATTTTAATAAAATTTAAGTTGAGTAATTATTTATTACTCGAAATTATTTTTCGAAATTTAATGCGTTCAATAACAATTATCATTGCAAATAATAATGAATTTTAATTTATAATAATAAACAAATAAACTTTTTATTTACTATTTCATTTTTTAATTATTCTATTTTTTATTCATTTTTATTTATACATATAAATAATTATAATAATTATTATAAATAATTGTTTATTATAAATATATTTTAAATATTTGGTTTTATTATTTAATAAATCTATTTATTAACTACATAATAAATATTAACAATAATAATATTATAGTAATGATGAAATTAATAATTAGTAAGTTATAAACAAATAATTATATATTTTTTATAATTATAATTAATTGAACGATTTATTAACTAAGAAATATTAATAATAATAATAATAATTAAAATATAGTTATAATACGTAATAATAGTAATAAACAAAAAGTCAAAAATTATATATTTTTTACAATTAATTAATTAATAATTTATATTATTGTTATTATTATTGTTTATTAAAAGCAAAGCAATGAAATCGTAAATTGGAGTTAAGTTAATCATCAAATGCACATGCAACAATAATAATTAAATACATGCATGATGATTGTGAACAGAGGGCAATGAAACATACCAATAAGAAATTATTTTAATTCACTGTTCATTCTCAATTGATAAGAAAAAATATATATATAATATTTAAAGCACTTTTTATTATTATTCATTCACCTCTTAAAATATCATGTTTTTTCACTACGAAAGAAAAAAGTAACTAGTTTAATAAAATTTTTGCTTAACACACATACACATTATTATTTTATATCGACAATAAAATACATATTTAATATTATGTTCATGCAACTGCTGGTGAAACGCAACTAAAGCACTGTCACGTACAATTTGATAAGACACACCAGCCACTGAGCCACTAATCTTATCTCGTCGAATCATCTTCTTTATTATCAGCCAAACAATTTCTATTTCTATCAAAAACATTTCATTTTTCGAAAAATTTTTATCAAAATTAGGTTAATTTTCTTTGAACACACATTTTTAATAGAATATTTTTAATGAAAAATTTTTATTGTTGCAATTTTGTTATATTTATTTATTATTATTTTTTTAATTTATTAGTCTTTGATGTAACAATTATTTTACATACACTATGCCTGCAAAAAGACTAATTACATAATCACACTATTATTATTATTATTATATTATTTTTATTATTCTTATTACTATTATTATTATTTTATTATTTTTATTATTCTTATTATTATTATTATTATTATTATTATTATTATTATTATTATTATTATATTATTATTTTTATTATTCTTATTACTATTATTATTTATTATTATTATTATTTTAACTAATTATTTTTTATTAAATTAAATTACATAAAATAGCGTTTTTTAAATAGAGTATTTCAAATAAGCGCGCCATTTTCTACCAATGAGAAGATTGGAATGGCGCAAGCGCAGATGCTTCTGGTAACGGTCGTTGACACTTTTCTTCATTACCAACCCCAAGTAACCTTAAAATGCTTAATGCAGATTTTTCAAAAGTCCCTAATAGATAAAAATATGTCTTCTGTGAAAACTTACCAATGTCTGTAAATATATCACATAGTTGTTGTCTGCGAAAAATTTTTATTTTCCACGTATTTTGAACTTTACGTTCAGTAGAAAGTAATTTTTATAAAATAAAAATTAAGAAGACACCATAGTTGCACCTTTCCATGTTACACGACTGACTTAAGCGTCAGTGATGACTAACTGCAATAAGAAGAAGAAGGAAACGAAAATATGCATTCTGCGCGACCGGCATAAAATAGAAAGTTGTTGTTCATTTCGACTGCAACCAACGTCATTGGTAGTTTACTTTTAAGAATTTTTAACATTCATTGTCATTTGTGTTTTCTTGAAGTTGTAAGAGCACTGCAAGGTAGGTCCACCCTTCCGTATTAAAAAATTTTTATTTTTTTTATAATTCAAATTATTATAAAACATGAAGAAATCAATTTCTCCGAGTCGAAGACTCGATTTCTTGAAGTTTTATAACAATCTTTTTATCATATGTTCAATTTCAAAAATATTTTCAGCCAATAAATATATAATTAATTTCTTTAAAACTATTTCAGAATCCAGGAGGGTTATGAAAACATCACCAGAAACTTTTTTTATCACCAAAATCTCCTACAAGAAAGCTTTTCTAAAAATAATTAAGAATTGGTGGAAGAAAACATTCAACAACAATGATTAAAAATATTCTACATTCAAGTGAAATACTTTTGTTTCGAGAGGATTTTTCCTCTAAATATAAGATTACTAATTCATTTTTTCTGTGCATCAAGTAAAATGGAAAGAAACTAAAACATAAAACTGACTTTTGAAGGTCAAAGTGATGACTAATAACTGGAAAGAGAAGAGGGAGAAGAGACGAAAATCTGAAACCATGCGACCGGCATGCACAATTGAAATATGTTCTTTTTGTCAGTGATCAGCGTCAAGAGTAGATCACTTAAAAAAATTCGAAAATTAATTCTCGAAATATTTATAAATTGTGAGTGTTTGTGAATACGTGAATCGAGGTAGGTCACACCTTAGTATTAAGAATGTAATATTTTTTAACAAATCAAATTTTTCTTTTAAATGATAATTTTGTAAATACTACATCTGAAATATTATATTGTAATGAAAAATAGTAAAACATAATTTTAACCTTATTAAAATTTATTCTAGAAATAGTACTAGTTGATAGATATTCTAAACAGTTATTTAGGTTTTATTTTTTTTTTAAGTAGGAAAATTTATTTTATATTTGTTGCCTTGTATAAGAAAATAATATAAAAAATTGTAGGCTTTTTAGAAGATTTTATTAATTCAAGGGGAGAAAAAGGATTAGGTAAAAAATAATACTTAAAAGAAAAATAATAATTTAAGTACAAAAGATACAATCTTAAGAAATTAGTAACAGTCAGAACTCAAAAGTCATAAACTAAATAAAATAAATCGAGGGGGATCAGAGTCTGCGGTTTGGCGACACTCTAAACCAAATGCTCCTGTGAACAGGGACGCAGATATAAAAAAAAATGTTAATTGTGATCACCGCCTGAGTTTTAGTTATAACTTTTTAATTAAAATATTTTTTTTAAATTTGTTATAAACAAATAAACAAACAGTGTTTTTTTAAAATTAACAGTACCATTCGATTCTACTCAAAAAATTACTACAAAATAATGTATGACTCAATGTTTTTAAATCTCCCTTCTTGTTAAAAAATTATTATAAACAGTTACAATACAATTATTGTAAATTAAGATTTAAAAAAAGAGAATTAAAAATTATTAAGGAGATTTAAAAAAAATTGAGTCATACATGTTTTTGTAGTAGTTTTTTGGGTAGAATCGAATAGTACTGTTAGTTTAAAAAAAACACTATGTATTTGTTAAAAAAATTGTTAAAACAAATTCTTTAAAAAATTTTGATTAAAAAAATTAATTTTTCTCTCTTAAAACAACAATTTCAGGATCGATGAGGATTTTATTGACAATTCTTCACCTTCAGTGATCAATTCAGAAAAAATGAGTACATCTAAAAGTTTGGTACAGTATATAATAATAAAAAATAATTAATGCGTCATTAATGAAAAAATAAAATATTTTTAAAAAATATTTAGATTTTATATATGTTATTTTTTATATTTTCAGAAAGATTGTCCTGATATTGTAAAAATTCTGAAGAAAACATTATTGACAGAAAATTTCAAGCCGAAATCAATTAATAGTACTCTTAAATTATATTCAAAGACAACTCTAGAGCTATATGAAAAAACAATTCAGGATTGGTGGAAGTTTTGTAAAAGAGAAAAATGTGATTTTTATGATGGCTCAGCGTCTGATATAATAGACTTCTTAACGGAAATTGGCGAGAAGAGTAATCAAAATCAGAAGACAATTGAAAACAGCAAGTCAGCGTTATCAGCAATATTAGGCAAAACTTCACCATTTTGGAAATTTGTCTCTCAGGAAATTTTAGCTGAAGGGTAAGATTAGTATTAATTAATTTTTTTATTTTAACGCAAATTATATTCATCTTTAAAATCTTTATTTAATTAATTTTACTCTCTTAAAACAACAATTTCAGATTCGATGAGGATTCTACAGACGATTGCTCATCTACAGACGATTATTCATCTACAGACGATTATTCATCTACAGACGATGGTTCATGTACAGACGATGGTTCATGTACAGACGATGGTTCATTTACAGACGATGGTTCATTTACAGACGATTATTCATCTACAGACAATTGTTCATCTCCAGCGAAGAAATTCAAAAAAACGGATGAATCTGAAAGTTTGGTACAATATATAATCCCAACAAAAACATTCAATTATTCGTCAAAATGAAAAATTTCTATTAAAAGCAATTTTAAGATCTTGGCGTCAATACTTTCATTATTAGAAACATTATTGACGCCAAGATCTTAAAATTACTTTTAATAGACATTTTTTATTATGACGAATAATTGGATTTCATTAGCTATGTTAATCATTAAGTTAAATTTTATATTTGTTACAATTCAATATTAAAACTTTAGTTATAAATTTTACTTGGTAAACTCTTATTTCAGTAATTGTTTGGACAATTACAAAAACTTTACTTTTCGGAACTTTTTTGAACAAAGATGTTTTTCTTGGGATTGAAATACTTTTTGCAGCATTAATAAAATTTTAGGGCACTTTACAAAACCGTTTAGAAGAATAAATAGAAATAAAATATTTAAAAAATATTTACATTTGATATCTATATAGTATATCATGTTATTTTATTTTTTCAGAAAGATTATCCTGGTATTGAACGAATTATCAAGGATACATTGTTGAAAGAAAATTTCTCGAAGGAAGCAATTAATAGTACTCTTGATTTATATTCAAATACAACTTTAGAGCTGTACGAAAGAACAATTAAGGATTGGTGGAAGTTTTGTGGAAGAAAAAATTGTGATTTTTTTGATGGTTCAGCGTCTGATATAATAAAGTTCTTAACGGAAATAGGAAAGAAGAGTAAACAAAATATGTCCACAATTAGAAACAGCAAGTCAGCGTTAGCAGCAATATTAGCCAAAACTTCACCATTTTGGAAATTTGTCTCAAAAGATTTTACTGATAGAAATAAAGCTAAAGTTCCGTTATATAAGAATGTCAAGGTAGAAAAGAAGAAGAAGAAGAAGAAGAAGAAATAAATTTGTTTTCATTTTATGAAAAATATTATATATGTTTATATTAAAAATAAATATATTTTTCTTCCTCATATTTTGTCAATCAAAAATTTTAACTCTTGCATTTTTCTATAAAAAATTCCAGAGTGATTATATTGTCGATGACAACGATTTAAACCTTATGTTGTTTGCTGAAAAATAGTTGCAATTATAGAAAATGAATAGGAAATTTTTCTAATTTTTCCACTTTCATAAGACTTAGAACTGCAGCAGTACATATTGCTGAATACATGCTGAAATCTGAATTGTCAATTGTTAATCAAATTTATAAAGAACGCAATAATTTTTTTACTTATTTAGGTTTCAAATTTCTATAAGATACGGACTTAGGCGAATGCACGTGCTTCAAAATTTTGTTTAATTTATCCCTAATCTATTAAAGCTTCGACACAAAGAACTTGAAGAAGTCTTAAAAATCAGTATAGGACTTAAGACAAGTCAAGTGAATTACTTTTGTTTTTGAGAGAATTTTTCCTCTAAATATAAGATTATTTTTTTGTAAGTACATAAAATGGAAAGATACTAAAATATTAGTTCGCGCATTTAACAATTAGTGAAAATCACTAATAATAATACTATAATTATATAAATATAATAAATTATTATTATTATTATTATTATACTATAATTATCAAAACTGATTTGAAGGTCAAAGTGATGACTAATAACTGGAAAGAGAAGAGGGAGGAGAGACGAAAATCTGTACCATGCGAGTTGCGACCGGCACAATTGAAAGTTGTTCTTTTTGTCAGTGACCAGCGTCAGTATAGTAGTTCACTTTTAAAAATTCCAAAAAATTAATTCTCTATTTATAAAAATTGTGTTAGTGATTACGTGATCCAAGGTAGGTCACACCTTCGTAATATTTTTAAATAAATCACAAATTTCTTTTAAACTGATAATTTTGTCATCATTTAATTGTTTTTTTGTATAAAGTATAAACCTTATGGGTAAAAAATCATGTTCGTTTAAAAAAATTTCTTACTTCTTAAAACGTTTTTACAACCTTTCATGTTCTAAATAATGTCCAAATAATGTCTCCAAAACATGTTCAAATAATTTTCTTGAAATGTTTTGAAACATTATATTTGGCGGACAAAAAACGTTTTAAGAACTTGTTTGGAACGAACATATTTGCCCAAAGGGAAAATCCTAAAGTCTTGCCTAAAATTAACAACTTTTTCTGTTTCAGATTTTTAAAAACATTTCCATTTGGAAAAAAACTTTTCTTTAAAAAAAAAAATGGGTCGTTTAATAGAACTGGAACATTTATTTTACGTTTTTCAAAAAGTTATGGAGCACATTCCTGTTGGAAGAAATGCTGTTTCTAATGTTCATAATGTAATAAAGAGCAATGATGATGAGGCAATAGTTAAAATTGAGGCTGATTATGAAGATAAAACAATAAACCAAAGTGAGCCATTTAAAATAGAGATCGAAATAAATAGAGAAACTATAGAAGTTGCAGAAAAAATTGCAAAAATATCCTGCTCATGTTCACCAAAATCGTCGAAGGAGAATATTTGTCCACATACCATGGCAGCACTTTTACTTATTGAAAGGTAAGATTAATAGAAATTTGGTATTTCAACAAAATTTTTTTAATTTTTACCAAAAAAAATTTTTTGAATGATTCAAAAAATTTTATAAAAACAATTAAAGTAATAAATAATGATCAGATAATAATTTTAAAAAACCTTTTCAGAAAATGTGAGGAGGAAATAGACTCTAGCATGGAGAAGGAGTTGAGTGACGCAATGAAGAGGCTGTTAATTTCGGTATAGTATATAAAATAATAATAATAATTTTATTCAAATAATAAAAATGAAATTAGTGAATAGTAATAGAAAACTAGAAATAGAATTTGAAAAACTATTTAGAAACAATAATGATAAATATTATTTTACAAATAATATTATTACCTAGTATAATAACTTTATATTTTATATTTTCAGGAAGGTTACCCTGGTATTAATCAAATTCTCAAGGAAACATTATTACAAGAAAATTTTTCAGAGGAAGAGATTACCAATACTCTAAATTTATATACAAAAAGAACCCTAGATCAATATGAGAGAACAATTATGCAATGGTGGAAGTTTTGTCAAAAAGAAGAATGCTCTATTTACAAAGGCTCATCATCTACTATAACAAAGTTTTTAACGGATATCGTCAAAAATAAGAAACCAAATGGTGGTTCAATTAAATGTAGCAAGTCTGCTTTATCTGCAATTTTAGGTAAAACTTCACCATTTTGGAAGCATGTTTCGAAAAGTTTTAAAATTGAGGAAGAAAATTAAGTTTCACTATATATCAAAGTGTGTCAGAAATTTTTATTTTATTTTATTAAGATTTCATTACGAAAATCAGGATCAAAAATGTCCAATTAATTATAATTCTCATATGTTCAACGCCTTGAGAAAATGATTTTTATTAAATCTTTTTTATTATTTTTGTACTTTTTTTTATAAATTATCTATAATTAAAAAAAAAAAAAAAAAAAAAAAAATCTTTCATTGTTTTAAGAATGTCTCAATGTACTCCGAATTTTTAATTGTACACAATTTCATCGAATAAAAGTCTTTAAAAGAAATGTTACAATTGAAAATTTATAAATATTTGCGATTCCTTAAGTTTATGTTATCAGGTAATCACATAACCCAATTTCACATCTAAAGAATTAATTTCTTTTGTTGAATTTAAAAATATTGTTATTTCATCCAGAAAAGTTTATTTTTAAAAAAATATTTAAAATTGTATCATGAAAAATGCTCATATTTTCGTCTACCTATTATTAAAATTTTAATGAAACGGGAAATTAATTTTTTCTTTTATTAATAATATAATTTGTAAAGCATTTACATCGTGTCGTTATAAATTTTCTTTTTCGCTTAGAAATAACTTTTAAGTATTTTTTGAATTACAATCAAAGAATTATAAAACGAACTTTCGTTCTTAAGAAATTTTCCTTTCTATCATCACAATTGAAATTTAATAAATATATTATTAATTATTATGCATTAATTTATTAATAAATATCAAATAAATTAATGCATTAAATAAATTGAACATTAAGTAACGAATTCTTAAAATTAAGTAACAAATTTTAACTATATAATTTCGTCTAAGCGCTGGTAGATCAGCTAAAAAATTGATGAAATTTGTTTTTTTTATATTTTTAAGTACATTTTAGTATTGTATGTAAATTGACAATGATATATTTTCAAAAAGCAACCTTCTGAAATTCAAAATTAATTTTCAAAATTTTTCAACTTTAAACTTTTCTAAGTTAATTATCTTTTACATTTATTGTATTCATTTTAAACGAGAGAAAATATTTTCAGCCAATAAATATATAATTAATTCTCCTACAACAACTATTTCAGAATCCAGGAGGATTATAAAGACATCACTAGAACTTTCTTCATCACCAAAATCGCCTACAGAATAGCGTGATAAAAACACAGGCACACAAAAAAAAAAATTTTCGTGAGCCAGAGGACAGACCCTTATATTCCTATACGTTTTTGGGGCCACGAGATGTTTCCATAATATCCTGGGATATCTAATGCTATGGGGGGCTCAATAATTTTTTAACCTTTCAAACCACCAGATTTTTTGCGGACTTTCTGGAGAGACAGAAGTCTGCGAAAAATTTGCAGACGCAGACTTTTTTACTTGGAGGGGGGACCTTTTCTTGCTGCAAACCTGATTTTAATGTCAAAGTGATGACTAATAATTGGAAAGAAGAGGGAGAAGATACGAAAACCTGTAACCATGCGACCGACATGCACAATTGAAAAATGTTCTTTTTGTCAGTGACCAGCGTCAAGTGTAGATGACTTTAAAATTCGATAATGAATTCTCGAAATATTTATAAATAGTGAGTGTTTGTGAATACGTGAACCAAGGTAGGTCACACCTTCGTATTAAGAATGTAATACTTTTTAATAAATCCAATTTTTCTTTTAAATGATAATTTTGTAAATGCTATATCTGAAGTAGGGTAGATGTACCAGTTGTGGCCACTTTAAGCTGTTAGTCATCTTTTAGTAAGAAAATAAATTTATTAAAGTACTGAATTTCATTATAATTTTTTATATCATATTTATTGGAGTCAATTATATTGATTTTCAAACTCAATAACGTTTCTTTAGCTATATTTGCTATTAAAAAAAAACAAATTGCTTCAAAAAACCTGTTTTACCAGTAGTGGCCACACAAGCACCACTTGTGGCCACCATTGTCCTAGTTGTGACCACTGCTTAAAAAAGTGTTATCAGGACATTGAGGAATTATGTTTTTTTAATAAATAATTAGAATTAGTAAATCTATGGTGTACAGTAATTAAGTAAATTTATAAAAGATATGAATTAATTAATTAAATATTTCATAAATCTTTAATTTATTTGAAATCACAGTTTACTTTTTTAACATGCACTGGATTTTTTTTAAATTTTCCTTCTTCCTTTTATTAACATTTTTGCCTTTAAGAAAAAAAAAGTTTTGTTATTTTACCCACTCTTTTAATATAATAATTATAGCATAATTCAAATTAAAAAACTAATTAAATAACTATTACACAGGATAAATAATTATAAAATACAACAGCAAGAAATGTATTAGTTAAACGTAAAATTATTATTTTTATTCAGTTATTAATTCAATGGAAGTAAAATAAATACTGTCATACTTCAAATTATTTTTCGAAATGAATTCATTTATTAAGATAATTATAATATGAAAACTACTAATAATCAAAATAAAACCATGACAATTTAGCCGATAAAATATATAGTGTGGCCAAAAACGGAGTCAAAATTTAAAATGAGTTAAAAATAAAAATATATTTAAGTAGTTAACTAATAATAATTTTAATTATCATTATAAAAATAAAAAATTATTAAATGAATTTATAATTAATAAATTTGTGAAAACATATAATATATCTTGAAATAAATACTCAACATATAATTATTAGTATGTATTTATATTTTCAATATATATCAATTAAATTTTAATTAATTAAATTATTAACATTTTTGTATTGAAAAAACTAGATTCATCTAATTAACTTCTGAGTATAATTGAAGGGCTACATAAAATAAGGAGATGAACGCGAGGCTTGGAAGGGATACTACCAGTCGGGTAGCAGTGACAAGTCTTGAGCCGCTCGCTGCTGCCTGACCAGGGTTGCACAGTTGCGCGCAACTCAGAGTTTTTGACGTAAATTACATGAGTTTTTTACATTTGTAAAATACGTATTTTACCTCCCACCACAATAAAATGCATTGTGTATAAAATTATCCCTTTCAACCACACGTTCGTCCCCTTATTTTATGTAGCCCTTATTTAATTATATTGATGGGTGACTCTTCTAAAAGTGCCCCTTTTGAAATTCGATTTTTCAACTTATTTCTTTTTTTAATTACACGGTTTTTTCTATTGAATTTACTTTATTTCATACTCAAGAGTAAGAATTCCAGTTGCGCAAAATTAATTGTTGAAAATATTAAAGTTTTTCTTCTTTAAAGAAGATTGACTTTGTTGCTCCAATTATGATTACTTTTATTTGTTTCGTGAGTTTTTTATTAAATATATACACATTAATATAATTCATATAATTCATAATAAAATTACACTATTTAAAAAAAAAATAATTTGCATACTTTAATACTAAATATATTCAGTTTAATTGAAATATAGATGTATATAGTTAAAGTTAAACTATTTTTATAAGAAAACATTTTAGCAGAAATAATTATGTTATATCATATTATATCTATTTATACTATTATAATAAAAAAAATATATAAAATACTTAGAGAAAGAATAAATTACTTTAAAGATTCTCAGAGAATATTAAGGAAAGGTTGAGTCTGCGGTTTGGTCACAATGCTATAAACTATTAATGCCCATGTGAGCAGGAACGCACCCTTAAAAAAAAAGTTAATTGAGTCATCATATTTTTGTAGTAATTTTTTGCGTAGAATCGAATGGATATGTTAGTTTAAAAAACACTATTTGTTTATAACAAATTGTTTAAAAAATTTTGATGTAAACATTTTATTTAAGTAAAAAGTTATAACTAGAGCCCAGGCTAAAATGGCAATTAACATTTTTTTATAGCTACGTCCCTGCTCACTTGGGCAATAAACCGTGCAGAATATGTTCGCGAACGTGAAGAATGAGATAAAAAAATATACAAATATATTTCTGTCCTTCTCTAACTAATATTTTGCGTTCGAGAATGCCTTTTTTAGTGTCTCACTTGTACTCGTAAAGTGTCCTGTAGGTTGAGCAGTGATGCGTGAGACTTTTTTTCACGGCGCGACCGCACTGACGGGTTAACGGATTATAGTGATAAAGCTCAAAAATAGAACTTTATTTGATTGATTAGAAATGTAACGCGTTGCTTTAGCAGTCACTGGTTAGATTATCTGGCCAGTGACTGGCAAGTAACTGACCAGTAACTGGACAGTTTTCTGCTCAAAATTTAGAATAAAATATAATTTTTACTGGCTCTTTTTATTTTGTTTATAATTACATATTTATTTATATTTTTGTGTTTATTCAACTATTTAAGACTAATGAACAATTACTCAACCCAATAACACTTAAATCTAAGAATGAAAAATTCGCGCGCATGGGGGATCGATCCCTAGACCCTGGAGACACAATGCATGTGCGTTACCACTTAGCCACGGTGACTAGATAGTAACTTATATCATAACTACAAGTTTAAGAACTGAAGTTCTATTCGGATTGTGACCAGAATTTCTGGCCAGTGACTTGTCAGAAGTGTCTAGAAAGAAATTCTTATCACGATTATGATCAGATTTTCTGGTCAGTGACTTGATAAAAGTACTGTTCACGAAGGGGAATTGTTTTTATCCAGTGAAACTGGCCAGTCACTTATTCAGAACTGGCCAGATTGTCTTGGGAAGTAAAACTCGCTCTCGACTACAGTCTACAGCTACTGGATGAAAACAAGTAATACTTGACAAATTTCTACCTGGGTTTGACGGACACGAAACGTTCTAAAAACGTTTTAAGATTAGAAGAGGAGAAATTATTTGTGGATTTCGAAACGTTGGAGTAACATTAAACATCATTGTACGCTAAATGAACTTTGAAAAATTGTTATCTTAAAATTTAAATAATTTCTTAATAAAGTTTCGCTTCAATAAAAAGAAGAAATAATTATATAAAAATTGCCTTTCAATGTCAATTGTTTATTAGGTGGTTCGTTTTGAAATGGAATGTCCCATCTATATAAGAGGAAAATATGCATTCAATTTAGAAGAATCCGTATCAATTTAAGATTTCTTTTTTTAGGGTGTATAAAAATCCTTATCAAAAATAATATTTCCAGCTTGTTTCCTTTTGTTTCAGATTTTTAAAATATTTTCTACTTGGAAAAAATCTCCTACAATTTATTTGATTTCAAAAAATGGGTTCTCTAATTCAATTGGAACATATATGTGATGTTTTTAAAGAAGTTATTTGCTTTATTTCCGATGCAAGGGAACTAGTTCCTTATATTTCTAATCTAGATAAGAAAGATTGTGTCGATTTACATGTTCATATTGATGCTGATTATAATAATAAAGCAGAAAATGAGTCATTTAAAATAAAGATCAAAATAAACACATCCTCTGAAAAAATTGAAAAAAGAATTAAAACAATATCATGTTCATGTTCGGATGAAATATCGAAAAAAAATCTTTGCCTGCATGCCATAGCTACAGTCATATCAATTACAGAGTAAGATTAATGTTAATTATTATTATTAAAATTGCTTGTTAACTTACATTCATCTTTAACACGCAGTAATCATTATTTAATTAATTTTTCTCTCTTAAAACCACTGTTTAAGACCCAATAAGGATGCTGTAAACGATGTGGATGCTTCAGACGTTGAGGATCTCGGTAAGAAGAGGTTGATTAAAACAGATTAAATTGTTTACACAAAATTTCAAAAATGACATTGGTTTTGCATTAAAAGCATGGTGAATTTTAACCATATATGCAGTCATTTTAATGCATTTTATTACCTTTTCATTAAAATGAATTAAAGTGTCAGCAATATTTAAGTCATAAATGGAATTCTAATGATTACAAATTTTATGGTATTAAACAGAATAAAATTGTTTTCAATTCTAATTACCCAATAAGAAGTAAAATGCATACCGAATTAAATAGAATATAAATGTGTGCAGATGAATTATCTTTAAAGGAATTAAAACATGGAACTTCAAAAATGACATAAGTTTGGCATTGAAATGATTCAAAATTTAGCGATATTTGTATATAAGGTAAAGGTCCCAATTATGAAACGCTTTTTAAGCTAAATAAATTTCTATGATAAATTTGTTGGAAGTAGGAGTGTTAATATAAATAATTTTGGTATAGATTGAAAGGTTGGTATTTTGTGAACAGTATTTCGTCCCTAAAATGTTTATTTATCATGAAATAAAAATAATATTAATTAAATTGTGAAACCCTATGCACTAGTACCGATTATGAAACGATGGTTTCCTGAATGTACGGGTGTTTCAAAATTAATGTCCTGATTATGAAACACCTATTTTATTCAATTAATAATTAAAATTGTATTGACTTATCCCAGTAATTTTAATATTGACTATAAAAAATTAAATACAAAGAATAAATTCTAGTTAAATAGATAATTATACAATCAATTGTTTTGGTAGAAAATTAATGCGAAAATACTGAAAATATTTGAGGTTGTGTTTCCTGTATATTTTTTGTCTGTTCCATCAAGCGGGACATGCAAATAATAAGTGCACCTAATATGAAACGGTATTTTGACAAAAACCTGGCTAACCTTAATTTAAAAGCTAAAATGTAATTAAACATTTCTTTTTAAATTAAATACTATACAGAAATAATAATTCTTATATCGTGTAAAATTTATTGAAATAACTAGAATTTTTTTAACAGCAATTTTAATTGCATTTATTTTAATTTTTGTAATACTGTTCCATAATAGGGACAAAATTATGAAAGCGTTTCATAACTGGGACCTTTACCTTATATTTTAATCTATTTTAATCAACCTCTTCTTACCGGGATGCTTCAGACAATGTGAATGCTTCAGGCGATGAGGATGATTCTGACAATGAGGATGCTTCAGACAATGTGAATGCTTCAGGCGATGAGGATGATTCTGACGATGAGGATGATTCTGACGATGAGGATGCTTCAAACAATGTGAATGCTTCAGGCGATGAGGATGATTCTGACGATAAGGATGCTTCAGACAAAGTAAAGGGTGCAGATGATTGTTTATCTCCAAAGAAGAAATTATTGAAAAGAGAAAAATCTGAAATTTTGGTATAGTATATATAATAATAAAAATTAAGCAATGCACCAAAAATTTCTTGAAAGTTTAAATTACCTTGACTGCAACCTTTGGAATCTTTAGTGCAAAGCTCATGAAACTTGAAGTTTTTCTTTAAATGACCGATGTTATTCAATGTTTGACGTAAAAGTTGACTGAACATTGCATAAGAGTTGATGAAATTTTAAACTTTCATGCATTGTTCAGTTAACTTTCGCGTCAAACATTAAAAACAGTCGAAATTTAAAGAATTACTTCAACTTCAATTCTATTTGGTGAAAAAAACGCATGTTTTTTAGAAAATTTTTTTTTGTCGATACGCAGAAAATTAATTTATTTTATCGCTTTGCATATAATATTGCAACATTTGAACAATATTACTCTAAATTTTAATTAAAAAATATTAAGAACTGAGCGAGATAATGAGATTTTCCTCAGGCGCCTCCAAAAAAATTGATTGTCGTGTTCATTCTACCTCGTAACAGAATCATCCAAAACAAGAAAATCAAAGTGCATGTTTTTTTATGTAACGCTGGGAGGATTTTTTTTATTTTTCGTTGCACTTGAAAGCAGCCAAAAAGTCGATTATCGCTATAAAAAAATCGATTAATTTATCATTGTAAGATTGGTAATTTAAAAAAAAACTCCCAGCGTTATCTCAAAAAACATCTCTTTTAACAAATGCATTTTGATTTTTTGCTTTAGATGATTCTATTGCGAGTTAGAGTGAACACCGCAAATCAATGTTTTTGAGGCGCCTGAGGAAAATCTCATTATTTCGCTCAATTGTCAATTCTTAATATTTTTAAATTAAAATTTAGAGAAATATTGTTCAAATGTTGCAATATTATATGCAAAGCGATAAAATAAATTAATTTTCTGTGTATCGACAAAAAAAAATTTCTAAAAAACATGCGTTTTTTTCACCGAATAGACCTAACCCCCCAATCTTAAAGAGACACATATAACTAAAGATTCCGAACATTGAAGTCAAGGTGTTTGGGTATATATATGTTATCTTATATTTTCAGAGATGTCCTGATATTGTAGAGACTCTCAAGAAATCATTGCAGAAAGAAAAATTCTCAGAGGAAGAAATTGATAGTACTCTTGATTTATATTCAAATAGAACTATAGAGCTATACAAAAGAACAATTGAGGATTGGTGGAAGTTTTGTAAAAAAGAAAAATGTGATTTTTATAATGGTTCAGCGTCTGATATAATAAAGTTCTTAACGGAAATAGGAAAGAAGAGTAAACAAAATCTGTCCACAATTAGAAACAGCAAGTCAGCGTTATCAGCAATATTCGCCAAAACTTCACCATTTTGGAAATTTGTCTCAAAAGATTTTACTGATAAGAATAAAGCTAAAGTTCCGTTATATAAGAATGTTAAGGTGGAGAAGAAGGAATAAATTTATTTCTATTTTATGAAAAATATTATATATTAATATATATATTATATATTAATAATATAATAAATAATATAATATATATTATATATAATATATAATACACTGTAAAAAAAGGGAGTTAAATTTTAACTCCCCCGGGGGTCTATAAAAGTCGCACCCATTGGGGAGTTAATGCCAGGGGAGTTAAATAAAGAGAGTTAAAATTTAACACCCAAATGCTAACTCCCCATGGAAAAAATAACTTGCGCGGGTGTTGAATGAAGGGAGTTAGAAATTAACTCTCTTTTGGAGTTGATTTTTAACTCGAAAAATTTAACTCCCAACTCCGTTAACTCCCTAAATTTTTTACAGTGTATATAATATATAATATAATATATATATTATCTATAATATATATTATAAATATATAATATAATATATATATTATAAATATATTTTGCTTCCTCATATTTTGTCAGTCGAAAATTTTAACTCTTTGCATTTTCCTATAAAAAATTCGACGCTTCAAATTAATTTTAGATTTGCTCCATGTGAATAGTAAATTTTTAAAATTTTTTCACTTTTCAAATATAAAGAGCACGATAATTTTTTTTTACTTATTATTTAGGTTTCAAATTTCTATAAGATACAGACTTCGGCGAATGCACGTGCTCCAACATTTTGTTTATCCCTAATCTATTAAAGCTTCGACACAAAGAACTTAAAGAAACGATGTCTTAAAAATCGGTATACTAAATATTTATAAATTGCGTGTGTTAGTAAATAAAAAAAAATCTTTCATTGTTAATTAAGAATGTCTCAATGTACTCCGATTGAAAATTTTTAAATATTTGCAATTCCTTAAGTTTATATTATTAGGTAATCACATAACCCAATTTTACATCTAAAGAATTAATTTCTTTTGTTGTGTGGTAAATAAATTTAACACCTTTATTATATTTGATTAAAGTTTATTGTAAATAGTAATCATCTAAAAGTTTATACACGTCGACTCGAGTAAAGAATGTATATTCCAATAATGCGAAATATGAGACCTCTCGGTACGAGTCCCAAATGTAATCTGCCTTGGCCTGGCTCAATAGGGGCTCGTCAGCCGTCCCTATCATAAAACCCCGGAAAAGAACGAAACCCTTCGTCCTCAACATAGCAGCTCGTTCGGGTTTTCCACACTTTTTATACTTCTGGAACATTTTCTCTGCCTACCGATCCCACATGATATTTTCCATAATTTTGAAAAAAATAGTTTACCACAGTTGCATTCAAAAATATTGTTATTTCATCCAGAAAAGTTTATTTTTAAAAAAATATTTAAAATTGTATCATGAAAAATGCTCATATTTTCGTCCACCTATCATTAAAATTTTTATGAAACGGGAAATTAATTTTTTCTTTTATTAATAATATAATTCGTAAAGTATTTACATCGTGTCGTTATAAATTTTCTTTTTCGCTTAGAAATAAGTTTTAAGTATTTTTTGTATTACAATCGAAGTATTATAAAGCGAACTTTCGTTCTTAAGAAATTCTCCTTTCTATCATCACAATTGAAATTTATACATAGATTATTAAATTAATTTATTAATTTATTAATAAATTCTAATAAATTAGTAAATTAATACATTAAATAAATTGAACATTAAGTAACGAATTCGTAAAATTAAGTAACAAATTTTAAGTATATAATTTCGTCCAAGCTGATAGATCAGCTAAAAAATTAATGAACATTTTTTTTGTATTTTTAAGTACATTTTAATTTTTTTTTCTCTTTTTCTATTTAAATGCAAATTATCGTCATTTTACGAATTCACCATGAGTGGTCCAATTAGAATTTAATTCACAATTCTACACCTTTCTTGAGTTTTTTGTTCTTAATATTATTAACTAAAGCCATATAAAAATATATTATTCTTATGAAATTAAAAACTTTTTGTATTAGAATAGATAAACTTTCTGTCACTACTGATTCTTTCTTGCTTTAAAAAGACTTTTATAAAAAATACTTTTTTGAAAAGATATTTTTTTAAAAAGAATTTTTTTAAAAGATTCTTTTAAAAAAAATTTTTAAAAAAATTTTAAAAAAAGTCTTTTCAAAAATGTCTTCTTTCTTCCTTTAAAAAGACTTTTATAAAAATACTTTTTTGAAAAGACTTTTCTTAAGAAGACTTTTTTATAGAAAGATTTTTTTAAAAAAATTTATAAAAAATTAAAAAAAAATTTTTTTTTTTAATTTTTTTTTTAAATTTTTTAAAAAAATTTTTTAAGAAGACTTTTTAAAAATATTTTTTTGAAGAACAATATCTTTGTTTCTATTTTTCTTCCTGGCGATTGGTCTCCTTTTTCCGACGGGAATTCGTGTACCATGCCTCGAGCATCCAGGATATAATTGTCAAATATGTGAAGATATTGAGACAATGAAGAGTTATTGCATAGTCACCCAATGAATCACGAAGCCAACCGACAATTGGTCCAATGCAAACAAATACAATTCCACTTGTCACCAATTGAAGACCAGATGCTGCCGGTAATCTCGATAATGGAACGTGAGTTGGAATCACAAGGGCCATGAAAATTGTCCTCATTGCTTTTCCAATGCCCATTAAAATTGCCACTGCTATCGACACCCCATAAGTGTGTACGTGCGCCAAAACTGTGGAAAAATTCGTTCTTTATATTCTTTTATTGTGGGATGGGTCAAAAAAAATATTTGTCAAAAAAAAATGTTCTTAAAACCTTTTTCGAACATTTAATGTCGAAATATAGTGTTCCAAAACATTTTAAGAACCCGCGTTTTTAAAATGTTTTCGAACACTATATTTCAAATAAATGTTCGAAAACATTTTAAGAACATGGATGTTCAAATAATGTTTTTAAAATGTTTTGGAACATTATTTACCCGAAGTGAAACGTTCTAAAAATGTTTTAAGAACGTTTTAGAAAGGAACATGCTTTTCTGCCGATTGGGGTACCTCATTTGATTACTGAGATTTAAATCATGGAACTTTTAAAACAATTCAGTATTCAGAATTTTTTTTTAGATTAAGTTTCTAGGGCTGAATTCTGTTCTAGTAAATCAAAAATATACCCAATCTTCCGATGCCCAATCCACCGACGCCAATCAAGAAGAATGTTCGGTTCTCCCATCCGATGTAGGTGGCAACGAAGGGGATGATGATTCTTGTGATGACATCCACACCACCGAGTGTGGACATGAAGGTGGCGACTTCTAATTTCGTGAAACCGTACTCGCCGAGAATGAATGGAGTCAAGAGGGCGAAGTTCAATTCCGTAAAATTGGCGAATGTTATGCCGAGCATCAGATTCACGTAAATTGGATCACGAAGTAGGTCGAGATCGAAGAAGACGACTAGGACGTTGCCGATTCTCCTCAGATGGTACTTTATTGTTTTCTTCTGTAACAGGTATTTTTTTTTTATTTTTTTAGTTGTATTGGAGCTAGACGAAGAGGGTACCAGTTAACCAATGGGAGAAAAATCCAGGAGGATCAGCAAAGGAAGCTAATAAATCATTTAATGTTATCTCCTCCTACCTGAACGTCTTTTGGAATTCTTGCTTCTTCTGTTAGTGCTGAATTCTTCGCTCCTTGTTGGAGATTTGTAAGATTTGTAATCTTGTCCTGGTCTACATTCTCGTTTATCGTCTCATTGACAGCAACCAGTGGATTTTCGAGAGTATTTCGACGTTTTCGGTAGTCGAAATCACTGGACAGTCTGCAAATGGAATGATAGCAGTTAGCCTAAGATTTCGTTAGGATCCCATCAGGGATAGGTTTTCGTTAGGATCCCAGTTGGTTTTTATAAGAATCTTGGAAGGTCCCGTTAGGACCCCATCGGGAATAGGTTTTTGCAAGTTCTTCAGAAGGTTTTGTTACGATCCCAGCAGGTTTTCATAAAATTTTTAAAAGGTTCAGTAAGGATCCCATCGGGGTTGGGTTTTCGTAAGGATTTTAGAAAGTTTCGTTAGGATCTCAATAGGTTTTCATAAGATTTTTAGAAGGTTTAGAAGGTTTAGAAGGTTTAGAAGGTTTCTTTAGGGTTCTAGATTATAGTTAGGTTTATATTCACCTGTTGAGGGACTGCCGACTGCCAAGAGAAGGACGTCTACTCCTAACAGAATTTTCCCTCCTCGATGCCAAGGAAGCATTGGACGTATTTAGCTTGGAGAACCTGCGATCCGAACAATTTTATCCTTATCAACCTATAAGAGGCACGACTTTATAGTCACCCATTAACAACAAAAAAATACTTTTTTTAAAAAGTCTCTCTCTTGATTTTTTATCCTAAAAACAATCTTGTTTCCAAATGCAGTAAAAAAACTCCCAACAGAATTCGATTTTAGGAAATGAATTTATAATTTCGTCGCCCTTTAGGAGGTTGAGAACATCTGCGCGCGCAATAGACGAAGAGTGGGGAGGACGAACCGATTGGTTGTCGCGCTACCCCCACTCTCCCAAGCGCAGTGTTTCTCAACCTAGACTTGAATTTCTCGACTATTTTCTCGTTTAAATTTAAAATTTAAAATACTATAAATAGAATAAAGAAAAGAAAAAGAAAAAATAAAGAATAAAGAAAGAAAAAGGCTAATAAAGAGCAGAAGAAGAAAAGTAAAAATAGTTTCAATCAAATTATTGAAAAATTATACTTACAAACCGTCATTTGCTCTTGACATCATGGGTGTTCCTGGTCCAATGACATCAATACCAGAAGCCCCCTGCTCTTTGTCGTCGTAATATAAGTACTGACTGCCAAACATTTCCTTAGCTGAAAACTGCTCCGACCCCAGGGACATTTTTCTCGTTCGAATTATATTTTCCAGTGAAACATTGTGTTCGGTATGCAACAATTTTTCGTTCGCTTCATTCGGTGACGTTTCTGTCTAGAAATAGATTTTAAATTATAGACTTTTTCGAGGCTTTTGATTTTAATTAATTATTAAATCCTTACCTTTGGTTCGTTTTCCCCTGATTTTGCCAGTTCTGGATCGTTCGCAACTTTTTTTTTCTCATGCCATGAAACTGGTTGGAAAAATAGTGAACACGCTGTGGCATTAAAGGCCAGTCCGCCGTAAATTAAAACAGTGCCCTCCATTCCATAGAAGGCCATCAGTTGAGTTATAATCTAAACAAAAAAAGTGTTAGTCCCAAAAGTGTTAATCTTAAAAGTATTAAAAAAAAAAAAAAAAAAAATCTTGACTATTAATCTTAAAAGTGTCAATCAAAAAAGTAAATGCTAACTAAAATAAATTCGTATGAAAAAAAAATTACCAGAGGCATGACAATGGGACCCATTCCAGTGACAGTCCACGTTAGTCCAGTGGCGATTCTTCGCTTCTCCTTGAAATAGGTGTTGAGCGTCAGGGCATTAGCAGACATCGTAATGCCAATTCCAATACCTTCGAGGGGAGGTTTGCGACTACTAGATAATATTTACATTTATCCATATTTTTAATAACATAAAAAATGATCCCTCAGAAAAAAAAATGATTTAATTTTAATTTTTCTCAAATATTACAGAGCAGAATCGTCTTTTTTTCTGATTGATCAAAATTTAATGGCCACTCACCATAGAGAATAGAAAAGAATATTAGAAATCCAGTAAACGATTCCATGCGCGATAATAATGTTATTGAAATTGCGCAAACTAATCCTCCGACGATGCCAATTTTTCTAGAGCTGTACTTTCGAAACAATGGTCCATTCGCCAGACCTAAAAAATTTCAGAAAACAAAAAAATGATTTTTAACATTTTTTACATTTTTGTCGTGAGTGGCGAATTTTAAAATTAAAAAATTAACATTTTAATAATGTCAATTAATAATGTTAATGTTAATTTTAAAAAATTAACATTTTTTTTAACTAACATTCCTTTTTTTTATTTATAAAATTATTATTACTATTAACATTTTTAACTATTTTCTTTTATTCAAACTGCTTATTTTCTGAAGACTTCACACATATGTTTGTTATAATTAACAAACATAATTTTCATTATAAATAAATAATAAATCGAACTAATTATTGAACATCAGTAATGTGTCAATTAATTACATTTAATAAAAAATATTTCTAATTAAAAATAAAAATAATTACAAACGAATAAAAATCCAATTAATTAAACACGAAATTAAAAAAATCTCCATAATTACCAATGAAAAGAAAATGTAATGAAGAATTTAATTTAATGCGACAATTTTTACGTCGATAATAATTTAAAAAAAAATAATTTCTATTTAGTTGTTAATTTATTACAAATTAGATTTTTTAAGCACGTTGTAAAATTTGAATTTGCCATTTGAAAAAAACGATTAAAATTAATTGAATTAAAATTAAAACACATATAACTAATGGGATAACAATTATTCACACGCGCGGTAATTGCAGTTATAGTTTACAAATGAAAAAAAAATACTATGAATTATAATCTCTATGTAACGGTGTTAAGAAAAATTAAAATAAATCACAACCTTGCAAAAATGATTAGAACTTGTTTAACAGGACGTGTCATTTGATACATTTTTTCAAAATGGAAAATTGTAAAGTAAAGTTGAGAAAAAAAAAATCACATATTGCCTACGGTGATAGTAAAAATTGTAATTGTACATTTACTGGAAAATTAATACGCAATCGAGGACAAGCCTCCTTTTACAAAACAAATCGTTTTAAATATTAATATGTGATCGATAATAAATTTTATATTGTACATGTGTGTTTGTACGTAATCATAAGTTTTTGCTTTAATGGCAAATTATACGAGTGTCGAATAAATAATGGAATTTTTAATTAGTAGACGATTAATATCTTAATTATGAGTTTTTTTTTTAATTATTGTATCAAGTGATGACATTTTTTTTTCTTCGATTCTATCTTTGATATTGATTGTTTTGATCTATATTTTATCCAATTTTAATCCTTATAACATAAGGAATATTATTAATGATTTATTCTTTAAAAAAAAAAAAAAAAAAAAAAAAAAAAAAATCTTTAATTTATCAATGATTTACAATTTGAAAATAATGGGCTTAATTTTCAAGATATAATTGTTCGTCAAGAAAAAATATCGTACGAAACTTTTTATTTTGACAAATTTTTTTTTTATCTTATCTAAAGAAAATTATTTTTAGAAATATTTTTTTGTTTATATATATTTTTATAAATAAACGAATTAATTTTATCATTGCTTACAATTTCTTTTTTACTTTTAAATATTTTACGTAAAGTTTATGAGCTATTTTTGCTATTGTAAGAAAATTTGAAAATTTTTTCTCAATGTCAAAATGGTCTCGTGGATAAAACGCTTGCTTTCTAGTTTTCTGTATTTAGGGTTCGAATCCCGTTGGGGTTTGAAAAATTTTTCTCCAGATTTCCGCAAGTGTTTTTCTTTAGATAAACTTTGTAATAATTGTTGCAAATATGTGACTTTTATTATATTTGAATAATTACCTATAAAGGCGGTTGTCGCATTATTAATATTCATTAGTGTCGTGATTTCCGATGAACTTATTCCCATTTCTATGAATCGATCTCTGAAGATTAATCCAAACGATTGCATCAGTGGAAAAATGCAGAACTGAAAGGAAATTTTTTTTCTCATTAACGTTATAAATTTAATGAACTCAATTAATTAGCAAAAATAAATATTAATATATTAATTAATGAAAAAAATTTTAATTTAACTAATACATTAATTAGTAAATTAATTCTTAATTAATTTCTTTTGTTGCAATAAATAAAATGGATGGAATTTTTTATTATCTCATTTGACTCCAAAACAATAAGAGAAAATTAATTTTTTTATCGTTAAGGGCATTTGAACCTTGATGACGTTACAGATTGTGCAAAGCATGTGTGACGTCATCAAGGTTCAAATGCCCTTAATAAATGAAAAGAATTTGTTTATCTTATTCTCGAAAAATATTTTTCCACAATTAAAAAAACTATCAAAATAAAAATAAATTATTTTCCAAGTTGAATGACAAGAATAATAAAAAATGTTTTTCGAAGAAAAAAAATCAATAGAAAAAAAATTGAATGAAAAAACAATGAATGAGAGGAAAAAAATGCGAAAGAAGAAAAAAAAAATTTGAGAAACTAAAAAAAAATATTTTAAAAATAGATTTTTTTTTTTTGCAAACAACAAAAATAAATTGAATGACACAGTTTTATTCTTGAAAATAGAATTATTAGAAATTTCTTTCCGCAAGTAAAAGTATAAAATTGCATTATTGTAGAATTATTTCTTATCAAATAAGGAAAAAAAAACATTTATCAATGATATTTCATAATCTCTCTCTCTCTCTCTCTCTTTCTTTCTATTTCTCTCTCACTCGCTCTTTGAAATACATATATATATTTGTCTGCTAATGTTCAAGTCAATGATATGCAAAAATTTCTAATCTTATACATTTTTATTTCTTTTTCTTTTTATTTACAATTTAACTAACAAAGAGGACTTCGCCACTTATGATTGTGTTTTTTCGTGAAAAGATATCACGTGATGTGACTCACATTATGCAAGCAACAACGTGGTGGCAATTAAAAACCTTCATGAATAATAAATTGATAGGTTGCCAGAAAAATGCCCCCGCAGGAAAATTATCTCACGTTAATTTTTCTTCAATTAACTTTCATTTTATATTTTTTTATTATTTATAATATAAATGTCACATATTAAAAAAAAAAAAAAATTTAATCGAATTAAAAATTATAATTGACCACAAACAATTTTTTATTTATTTAAATTATTTACAAACTTAAAAAAATGTAATAATAACATTGTAATTGACAATTAATTATTGCCAATAAATAAATAAATACCAAAGGTAAAAACATTGAAAAAATTATTGTTAATTACAAATTTTAAAAACTTATTATTGTTATTATTATTATTATTATTATTATTAATTAGTATTTTTATTATTTTAATAGGTAATATTTTTCTTATTTTTTTATTATTTTAACAATAATAAATGATAATTTTAATATTGTTAATAATTTATTTACTATTATTATTATTATTATTATTATTATTATTATTATTATTATTATTATTATTATTATTATTATTATTATTATTATTATTATTATTATTATTATTATTATTACTATAGTTATATTATTGAAAATAATAAAAATGGTAAATTGTTAATAGAAAAATTGAGATAATTTAATATTGAAAAATTAATAGTAATTCAAATGCAAATAGAAAAATAAAATTTAAATTGAAATGACTGGAAGAATTAAATAGTCGAATTGACACGAAACGTTTAGAAAAAAATATAAATTAACACATGAAGCGTATAATCAACAAGCTAGAAGAACAAAACATTCTAATTACTAATGGAATGTGGAAGAATGAAAATAAAAAGAATTTTGTAAAATTCATAAATTTATAGTCAAGATTAAAAATAGTATAAATTTTTTTAAATTTCAACAATTTATATATAACAAGTTAATAAAAAGGGTTAAATTAAAATTTTTTTAAAATAATTTTTACACTTTAGAAAATAAATTATATTTATTTAAATAATTGCCAAAAAAAATTTTGTTGCAAAAATTATTATTTGTTGTAAATAAGTAAATAAATTATTAAATAAATGTTTCAATAAATGAATATGAAAATAAATTATATTTATTTATTTATTTATTTATTTATTTATTTATTTGAACATAAACGGGTTTCAAATTATTTAAATAATTTCCAGAAAAAACTTTTTGCAAAAATTATTATTTATTGTAAATAAATAGATTATTACATAAATATTTCAAGAAATGAATAATAAGATTATGATACTAAAATAATATAATACTAAAGTAATTTAAAACCTGTCTGTGTTCAAAATAAATAAATAAAAAATATTAAAATAAATAATAATAAATAAATTAAAATAAAAAATATAATAACAAAAATTCAAAATAAAAAAATTAAATACAAATAATAATAAATAATATAGTAAAAAAAATTCAAAATAAAAAATAGAATAGAAATAATAATAAATAAAATAATAAAATAAAAAAAATTTAAGTTTTTAAAATTTCGATGAAAAAAAAATTATAAATTAAAACATAGAGAAAATAGAATGATAAACGGTAAATTAGAGAGAAAATATTGTCAGTAAAGAAAATTACACATGTTTTGCTCGAAACCTATCTAAAAATAGTATCAATAAAAATTGCGAAGGTTAGTATTAAATTTTCCTTTTTTTTTCTCTATCTTGCCTTTAAAAATAAAATTTATAACAAAACTCACATTTGAAAATCCAGCAGCAACGACAATAATCCAACCCCAACCACCATCGGGTGGTACAAAATTATCTTTAATTTTCGGTGCTTTCTCCTTTTTTTTCTTCTCCTTTTTTGTTTTTCCATTTTCAACAATTATCACTTTATCGGTCACATTTTTTTGTTTTAATTCCTCCTTCTCCTCGTCGTCAATATTATCGTTATTTTTTCTCATTTTTATATAAAATACATAAGTGAATTTTTATTTTTTTTTGCGATAAAAAAAAAATTTTTTTTTTTTTGTTGAACGCGAATTTTTTTTCTACTTTTTTGAAATCAACGTTCGTTGCTCGAAAGGCACTTGAGTTCTACGACTACTTGAGTTCTTCTTATAGTCTCGCGAATCTCGCTTCTCGCTTCGTTCCATTTCTCATGACTAAAGTGAACTGAGAGTCAAGGCTACTATATAGCACACACATTCAACATGCTTTTAGACTTGGCTAATTGCCATTATAATGGCTCCTGTATTAATCGCCCAAAATTTAAAAAAAAATGGCAAAAAAGTATGAAAAAAAAATTATATGTATTTAAATTTTAAATAAATTAATTCTAATTATTGTAATTTAATTTTTCTTTATTTTTTTTTCTCTTTCTGCTAATTTTAGAAAAAATGTTTATTCTATTTTTATTTAATGAAAATAAAATTCAATTAAGTAGAAATTAATTATTTGTTATTATTTTGTAACAAATACGAATGTTTAAAATTTTTGTTTTTTAAATTAATTTCTGGAAGTTGTGAATTTTTCCCTGAAAATAAATTTTCTTATCGAGTTAATTTATAGGTCAATTGATAGTTAATATTTTTATTTTTCATATGGTAGTAAAATGCAATAAAGTACAAAGTATTTATTTAGAACTAACAAAAAAAATTATTTAAAAAAAAATTTATAAGACAATTTTTTTCTTGTAAAAATTAATTTCTTTTATTATAAATAAAGTGGGAAATGAAAGGAGACAAAAAGGACGAGAAAGAGAGACAAAGAAATTAAAAAACAAATCATCTACGAATTTTTACTGGATTTTTTCTTCCATACCCATAATGAGCTCCTTTATTAGAAGTGAAACAATGATTAAAAAAAAAAAAATACAAAAAAAATAGATCATGAAATATGTTCGAGTGTAATTAGACACACCCACCATTGAGACAAAAAATCGACCCTGAGAATTATTAATGAATTGACTTTCGTTAGTCAAAGGTGTGTAAATAATAATTTTTCAATTCTTCATTTGTTGTTGTTCCCTTCGCGATTTAGATTTTTTCAAATATATATCTTGGTCTTTGATTGAAAGTAAAATATATTACAATTACAATACGTAAGAATTAGTCAAATTTAATTGAAAGAAAAATTCTTTTTTTTTAAATTTAATTAAAGAATAATTTTTTTCAATATCATTTTCAATTAATTTCAATTCCATTTTCAATTAATTTTGAATTAATTTAAATTCCATTTTTAATCAATTTCAATTCCATTTTCAATTAATTTTAACTTCAATTTCAATTTCAGTTTCCATTAATCTTCAATTAATTTCAATTACCAAAAATTCGTTTTCAAAGAAGTCAATTTTCAAAGTCATTCAATATGGTTCGAAAAAAAAATTTGGGAGTAAAAAAACTTGCTTGAAATGATCAAGAAACTAGTAAAAATCGTTTCAAACTAGTTCAAAATGGTTCCAAATAAGTTTAAGAGTAAAAATATTTTCGAAATTTAAAAAAAATAAAAGAAACTTGTTTTAAATTTGTTTTAGAAGTAGTTTGAAAGATTATATTAATATAGTAATATAACCACTTAAAAACAGTTTTAAACAGGTTCAAAGTGGTTCAAAATCAGTTTGAGAGTAAAAATTTATTTGAAATTCAACAGAAACCAGTTACAAGCTGTTTTAAAGCTGTTTAAAACTAGTTCTAATTGATTGACAATAAAAACTTGTTTTAAATTAGCAAGAAAGTAATGAAAACAATTTTAAACTTGTTTCAAATGGTTCAAAACAAGTTTGGAGTTTTAAATTAATTTAAAACCGTTTAGAAAGAAATTTAAATAGTTTCAAACTGGTTAAAATTGGTTAGAAATAAGTTTGAGAGTGAAAAACTTGTTTGAGATCATCAAACAATTGGTAAAATAGTTTCAAACTGGTCCGAAATAGTTCAAAATGGTTCGAAATAATGAAATAATTCAAAATAAGTTTGAGAATAAAAATTTGGTTGAATATAAGAAAGTCAGTTAAAAATTATTTTTAGAGATATAGTATTAAAACTTATTTAAAACTAGTTGGAACTCTTTGTTCATGATCCCTGATAGTAGGCAACCGATCGTACTGCGCTGTATAACCATCTAGTTAGAATATTCATTTCCAGTTTCAATTCTAGTTGAAAAAATAAATTTACTTAAAATTGTCTTTTCCCATTCTTTCAGTTAAACTAGTTTCAAACAACTATAAAACTTGTTCAGAATAGTCTGGAAATTATTTTAAAATTCATTTATATGTTTTGTTAAATATTCAAAATTGAAAACACCTTTAAATTAGTTTTAAACTAAACTCAAAATTAGTTTTCAAATTCGTTTCAAACAAGTTTAAATATTTTACTTTTTAATTTTTAAAACACAACATTTTTTCTTCTCTTTTACGGCATTTAGTCTCCACTCTTTGGTAAAAAATCTAAAATTATCAAAAATTCGAAAAAATTCAAAAAATCGAATTTCTTAAAATTCAACATTTTTTCTTCTTTTTTATGGCTTTTAGCTTCATTTTTTTTTATCTTCAAAAACACTATTCCTCTTTTTTTTATCAATTTTTTGGTTAAAAAAAATTCCAAAATTTAGGTACGTTTAAAAAAAATTTATTTTTAATGATTATTTTAACAATTTACAAGTATAAAGATAATTTTTATTGTTTAAGGAAAATGGGGTTAGGAATAAATGGAAATTTCCCCTTCTCCTCTTCAATGACCTCCTGACAATAGGCAACCAAATATACAGTAGTGTGTTTATTTCTCCTTTTTCGCAAAAATATAAAAAGTTTATTATTACATATACATATATATAGAATGAATATTTTGAAAAAAAAAATTTCTTTTTAATCTATTGAATGAAAAAAAATGACGATAAACAGTAATTAATTGAATAAACTGTTAATTTTTTCTATGTCCGGAAAGAAATTTAATTCGATATTATATCCCAATGAGGAATATTTGCAGGTATTTAGAGTATCAATGAGACATCTTCTAAAGTCAATAATTTCCCTGTAAAAAAAAGTATTTTTTTTATATAAACAAAAAAGTATTTTTTTTATATAAACAAAAAAGTATTTTTTTATATAAACAAAAAAGTATTTTTTTTATATAAGCAAAAAAGTATTTATTTATTTTCTAAATAAATAAAAAAGTATTTTTCTAAATTACCAAAAAAGTATTGTTTTTTTAACTGAACAAAAAAATTATTACTATTTATTACTATTATTAATAATTACGATATTATTATAGTGTTAAATATTTAATAAAATTAATATTTACTGCAGATCCGTGAGAAACGATGGCTGAGCATTTGTGATCACATGATAGGGAAAATTTTTTGGTCGCACATTAGTTGTATTGAAATTTCTCAGAATCCAAACATAATTTTGAAAATAATTATTTTTCACAAAACAACGTTTCAATTTTGAGAATTTTTCCTCAAAACATTTGACGTCAATAATTTCCTTTAAAGCTATAAAAGAAAACTTTGCATTAAAATCATCAATAAATTGTTAATTTTTTTCAATAAAATTAGTATAAATTTATTTTTTATTTATTTATTTATTTACAAATTATTAAAAATTACAAAAAAGATTTTTTTTTATTTGGAAAAAATAAAATTTCTATATTTAGTTTTACTTACAATTTTTCATTCCATCACAAATTAAATCGATAATCTGATGATTTTCGGGAAAAGAAGTTGCAATTTGTGATTCACGATGAATGTAATTTGAATATTTTGTCGATGGATAATAAATTGTTTTTTCAATTAGACATGGTTTTATGGCAATAATATAATTATGCACAGCATAATCGATGTCGCATAATTCATTGAAATATTTTTTAAAAACATATTTCATTTTTAATATTTCAGTGAATGTTTTTTCTAAATTCAATTCCACTTTTGCTTTTAATTGTTTTTCTGCTTTTTCTATTATTCTTATTGCCTCGGGTCCCGAATTATATTTACATAATTTTATCAATTTATCACGAAATTCCAATGTACTTTCGTCAATTAATTTCGATGATATCGCGGAGAAATTTGTCCCTAATCCTTTTGTGAGAAAACCTAAAAAATAGAAATAGGAAAAAAAATTTCTTTATATAAAAAAAATTGGAATTTTTTATAATTTTTAATTTTATAATAAAATTACTAAGAAAATTATTATAAATTATAATAAAAATATAAAATTATATAATATAAAATATAATTTAAAAAAAAAAAAAATTACATCAAAACTATATAACAATGAAAATTTGGAATATTAATATTTTTATGTCAATGAATAAATAAACAATTTCAAAAAATGTTAAAAATTGTAAATTAAAGAAAAAATAATTTAATTAAAATTTTATCACTTCTTTCTTAAAAATATTTTATTTTGTAAAAAATCTTCCAATTGAGGGAGTAATAATAAAAAATATTATTAACATTCATGCCACTGGTGTAAAATTGAAATTGAAAAGACAACTATTGAATTTAAATGAGAAATTATCGTTAAATTAACTCACCAAGGATGAGTAGTAGAAAAAAAGTACTCGATGCCTTCATTATTATTTTTTTTTTAGTATAAAATATATAAATTTTAAGAATATTTTCACTTTAATTATAAATATAAATAAAAAAAAAAGAAAAACTTTTTTTTTATTCTCAGGAACGTCTCTTCAGTACACGAATATTTTTTAAAATGATAACAACTATTCAGTACCATTTAACACGAGCTGTTAGTTTAATTGAGCTGCTGATCAATCAATTGCCCGTTCATCCAATCGTAAACTTTAATCCACAAATAAATTTATTTTTCTTCCAACTAATTGACTCCATTGAAATGACAATATTTGTACATTTAATAATTCTTTACAAAAGGAGAGAAAGAGAGAAATGTTGAATTTATTCGAGTCGAACTGAAATTATTATTTTTAGTCAACACTGAAAAAAATTAAATAAAAAAAAGTAGAGAAAAAATTAAAATAAATAAATAAAAAGTGAAATAAAAAATAAAAAAATAAAATGAAAAAGTAAAATAAAAATAATAAAATAAAAAAATAAAATAAAAAAAAAATTAAAATTTTTTTTCTTTTCTTCTTTTTTTGTGTCTAAATGATATCTTCTCAAATAAAATAAAAAAGTAAAATAAAATAAAATAGTGTAAAAAGAATAAAATGTACTAAGAAAATAAGAAAAAAATTTTTTTTTCATTTATTTATTTGTTAGTTATTATATTTTTGATTCAAGTAACAATAATTTGTTAAAGAACAATAGAGAAGGTAGTTTTTTATATTTTTTTTTACAATAAATATTAAATATTAATAATTTTTTTTTTTTTTTTAATGTTAAATTAAATATTAATGAACATAAACAATTAACTATACAAACATTAACAATACAAAATTTATTTTTCTTCTTTTTATTAAAAAAATTTATTATTTACAATATATAATTGTAAACAAAAGTCCAACAATAGTACAAAAATTAATTTACAATATACATATAATTTGATTATTTAAAACTAAACAGTCGAATCGTAAGTCTTAATGTTTTTTTATACACAGTAGTAAAATATACAAAATAAACAATATGAAAATTTTTTTTCCATCACTGGAATGTCCTGTAATTTTTATTGTATTCAGAGAGATTTGCCTCCTTTTTCTTCATCATCAGACTTTTAATTTTTTCATAAATATATTCAACGCCCCAAATGGCAATCGCGAAAAATATTACTCCCGACATTAAATGAATGCAAATTCGATAACTACTTGTCAGGTCTCTAACGAATCCTAAACAAAAAAAAAAATAAAACGTTTAAGAAATATTTTTATTATCTTTCTTCACCAAGACATAAAATATCTTTCTTCACCTAGACATAAAATTCGAAAGAAACAAAAAAAAACGAAGAACAAACAAAACGTAAAAAAAGGAAAATTAAATATTTATTTATTTTTATTATAATTAAACATTTGTTTAAATATTTATTAGGTAAGAAAAAAATAAGTTCGTGAAATTAAATATTTGTTAAAATATTAATAAATAATGATAATAATAATAATATTAATAATAGTAATTTTTAAAAAATATTATTAAATTGAAAATTTACCGATTGCGGGACTAAAGAAGACGACAAATGTCCCTTTGAACACCATAAATATTCCATAAGCGTGGGGCAACATTTCCAATGTACACTGCTCAGAAATTGTTAAATTCATATTTACAATTGTTGACCCTCGCAAAAATCCTACAATTACTAATGTCACTATTAAAGCTGTACTGTTCGATTCTTCGGCGAATACTGAAAAGAAAAAAAAATTGAAATCAGTTTTATTCATATTTTTCTATTAATAAACATTATTTTAAGTTCATTTCGAGTTCGGCGGCTGCGCGCGCAACTTCCCTCAAGGAGAGGGGACGCGCGAACACGAATCACTGCTCGCTACCCCCACTCCAATCGGGCCGCGCTCACTACGTTCTAAATTTAATTAAATAACTCTTAGGCTACTTTGAAACCTTTGCAATTTTTATTTATAATTTTTTTTGTGTAAACAATTACACAAGTAAATAAAAATAAATATTAAATAAATTTTTGATTTCCTTATAAGTAAATATTAAATAAAAAAAATAAAAAGTAAATAAAAATAAAAGTAGAATTTAAATAAAAAAAATAAAAAGACAATAAGTATAAATAAGCAAATAATTATAAAAGTAAATAAATAAAAATGTAAATAATAAAAAATAAAGTATAAATAAAAATTTTAGGGAAAATTGAAAAAAAATAGTTTGCGATAAATAAAAATTCGTTGCACATAAATTAGTGAGTGAAATATTTTTGAAAATTTAAAATTTATCACCTGAACGTCCAATGGCAATGCATAAAGCGCAGATCCAAAAAGTAGTGCGTTTCTTGAAACCAAGTTTGTCAAAGAGGGTTGGAAGTGCGAGTCGAGCCAACACGTCCATAAAGGCGGTGAGCGAAAGGCAAAATGCAACTTCCTTCTTCGTCATTCCTAAGAATTAAAAGGGCCCACAAAGCAACCAAAAGAAGAGAATAAAAGGCCAAGAAATTTTGCCAAATAAAAGTGAAATACATATATATATATAAACTTAATATATTGTCCAAAAAAAAAAATCGAGATTTATTGCTGACAAATTGATATGTGACTTTTTCAAAAGAAAAAAAATGTCTAAAGGTCAAGAAAAAAAATTCGTCATCAATAAGAGAGGAGGGGAAAATTTTCAGCTCTAATAACTTTTATCAATGAAGAAAAGGGAAAGGAGAGGGAAAATTGACAAAATGTTAAATCGACTGTCTCGTGTCTCTTCTCTCTTTTGTTAATTATTTTCCTCTTCATATCCTCTTTTCAAAAAAAGAAAAGAAGAAAATTATTTTTTTCTCGAAAATCTGTTTCGATTTTTGACAAGTTCGAGTGGTTTTTATTTTTACCAGAGACTATAAATTGTAACTCTCAATAAGGCAAAAGAGAAAATCGACGATATAAAAAAATTCGAAATTAAGAAAATTGCAAAAATAATTTTTGAATTTAAAAAATTAAAAAAAAAATTTTTTAAATCTGTTTTTTCTGTGGTAAATAAAATTAAAATTTCAATGAAATATTTAATAGGAATTAAATAAATAATTAAATTGTTAAATTAAATATTATATTAAATATTAAATGTTATATTAAAAATATTTCGATTATAATATTAATTTTCCAGAAAAAAAAATTGGACAGAGGTGACATAATTTTTTTTTCTGTTCTAAATTCTAAAAAGTGAATAAAAATAAAAATTACTCTACTTACCGATACTGAACAAGAAGAATGGAGTAAATAATTTGAAATTTGTCTCGGCAACGTAAAACAAACTCACTCCAATCATGACATTGAGAAATTTCGTGTTTGTCAATAAATGTAAACCAAAGAAGTCCTTAATTTTTTTTAAATAAGATTTTCTCATCGTTAGACTTTCTTCTCTTCTTTGATAGTGATTTTTCGTTAAATTTTCATTTAATTTCAATGCTCCACTTTTATTTGTTGCCTCCAATGGTATTTTAATTGTCGTCTCTTTCTTATCATTACCACTCAATAGTGGATTATTTTCTCCCGACGTCTCGCCAATTTCGTCCGAAAACGAATTTTCACTCTCGAATAACTGGAAATTAGGTAATTTTTATTTTTAATTTTATATTCAGTTTCTAAATTTAAAAGAAAAGCGTCTTTTAACGGTTCAGATACGAATTGGAAGTGGAGGGGGAAGAGACGCACTGATTTTATTGGCTGGACTTTCAAGGTCACGCGCGGTGATTGGCTGGTGTCGCGTGACCTTGAGTGCTAACCAATAAAAAGCGTGGGGCGTGGACGAAATTTGAACTAAAAAAAAAACCTATTTTAAAGTAATAACGTCATTTTTTCACCTTTTCTTCCACTTTTTTTAAGGGAACTGGCGATAACAAACATGCGCCAATTAACGAGTGCAAGGAAATTCCACCAATAATTAAAGTCGTACCTCTAAATCCATAAATCTCTAGAAGAATCTGTACGATCTAGAAAGAACAAAAGATTTTTAATTTTTGAATAATATTTAGATTTTTGTGAAATTAATTATCAAAATGAATAAGAAATAAAATTATTAAAAAATAAAATAAATAAATTATTTTACTTTAAATAAATAATTATTGTTTACCTGTGGCATTAACATCATTCCCATTGTTGTTCCTGCCATTGAAAAACCCAAAGCTTGACCTCTTTTTTTAACAAAAAAACTATTTAATGCCACGAAAGACGAAGCGAGCGCTAATCCTGTACCTATACCTGTTTTTTTAAATAAATAAAAAATATTTATAATTCATTTACTACATTTATTATTTAATATTTATTTATTTAATTTTCTACAAAATAAAAAATTTTTTAATTTACTAAATTTACCAAAACTAAAAAAGAACAGATAAAAAACAAAAAAAAAAGAAATTAGAATGAAAAAAAGAGGGAAAAATCATTAATTATAATAATTATTTTTAAAAAATAAAATTTTCTTACCTCCAATAATACTATAAGTCAAAATAATATGAGTGAGACTATTGGCTTGCGAGGTCAAAATAAGACCCGTACTATTTAATAACGCACCAAAAAATGCAACTTTTCGGTACGAATATTTAGTCAATAGATAGCCAACAAAAAGTCCTGTAAAAATTGTAATAAAAAAAAAGAAACAACAGAAGAAAATATTATTAAAAAGCAAATTCTTGTAAATAACCAAAAAAAATTTTTTTGAATTAAACAATAATATACCTTTGAATAAATTAACCTAAAAAAAATACCTGTAATTAAAAACACATTTTATTTAATGAGAAAAATCATATAATACATTTATATACTATATAAATAATTGTGAATGTGATATAAAGTGTGTAATATCTCGATTTAAACAAACTATTTTCTTTTTCTTTTTTAATATTTACACCTATATGTCAGGAAGCATTTCTTATCATAACAATAGACTTTTGATGATTTATCTTATCAGAATTTTTTTTTTTTTTAAAGAGAAAAAAAACATTGGAATTTAAAGTAGAGAGAAAACATTGACCGTTGAAAAGTGTTATTATGTTTGTGTTATTCTGAAAATTTTATTCAAAAAATGTTTTTTTATACTGAAAAATTAATTAAAAATTAAAAATTATTTATGAATTATTAAGAAAAATTTTTTTAAATTATAAAAAAAAATTATTTGAATATTTTTTTACCTGAAAAATTAATATTAGCGTCAAGAACACTCATTATTAAGGAAGTTCTTGTTGAATCGATTTTTAGGTCTCTTAGTAAATCGCCAAATAGAAGACCAAATGATGGATCCAGAGACCTTAGGGATAACTAGAGATGCATTTTTCAGAGTAACTTAATTACTAATTAGATCGATAGTGGTAAAAATTTTTTTTTTCTTAATTGTTATTAATTATATTTTAAAATTTATTATTTTTTTTCGTATTTAGATAATGAGTTAGTAATTGCTTTTCACAATAGCCAGTGGAAATTTCTCATTGAGGTCAGTGTGTTTATTTATAAAATGATGATTGATATTGGAAGAATAATGGAATATAAATTTTTTTTAGTTAATATTGCAATTGGAGGTATAGATAATAAATAATTGAGGATTATTTTATAAGCAGTGGAGAACCAAAAAGAAACCAAAAAAAAAAGAATCGATGAGATACTGATGAGAAAAATAATAAGAAAACCATTAAAATACCAATAAAAATGCAGTTTGGAAAATTGTGAGAAACCAAAAAGAAACCAATAAGAAATCAATAAAAAATTAATAAGAAACAAAAAAGAAACCAATAAGAAACCAATGAGGAAAGCAAAAAGAAACCAATGACGTAACATTGAAATATTAATAAGAAAGCAGATAAAAAAATAGAAACCAAGAAGAAATCAAAAAAACCAATAAGAAACCAAAATGAAACCATTAAGAAACCAATGACGAAACATTGAAATACTAATAAAAAAGCAGATAAGAAAATAGAAATCAATAAGAAACCAAAAAGAAACCAATGAGAAAACATTGCAATACTAATAAGTAAACAGATAAAAAAATAAAAACCATTAAAAAATATTAAGAAATGAATAATTCAATAAGAAAATATATATAAACCAATAAAAAAACCATTAAAATACCAGTAGATAAGCCAATAAGAAAACATTAAAATATCAATAAAAAAAGTAAATAAGAAAGTACTTAGAAACCAATATAAAACCATTAAGAATAGCAGAAAATCAATGATTAGGAAATAAAACAAAATGAGTAAAAACCAATACTAAACCATTACGATAACAATAGAAAATAATAAGAATATAATGAAGAAAACCATTAAGATAAAAAAGCCAATCGGGAAACAATAAAAACCAATACTTTGAAGGCAATGTCAATAAGAAAATATTAAGAAAATAATCAAAACAACCAATAAGATACCAATAAAAAACCATTTAGACACACACAAGAAAACAATAGGAAAATAATTAAAAAAAACTATTAAAGAAACCAATAATAAACCATTACGAAAGCAAATTTATTTAATTGAATCAATATTCCATTGGTTTTTGTCAATTGTTTTCTCATTTCTGAACTAGTGTCGTAAAAAATATTGAATCAATTTGAAACCAAACAGAAAACCAATAATAAACCAATAGAAAATAATTTTTATTTTACTAGAAAACATAAATAGTTAAATGTAATTAGTTGAGCTAAATTTTGTTGAAGCTTTATTGTTTTTTAATTTTTCAACTGGTATCAAAAAAATAGTGAACCAATTTGAAACCAAAAAACCAATAAAAAATTAATTTCATTTTATTGCTCAATTAATATTGTGTTGATTTTTATTCGTTGTTTCAATATTTCTGCCAACTAGTGTCGAAACATTTCTAAACCAATTTTAGAACCAAAACAAATAAAACCAATAATAAAACAATAAAAATATTTCCATTTATCTAATTTCCAATTAATACTGCACTAATTTTTATATTAATTTTTTCGTAATTTCTGAACTCGTGTCGAAATAATATGGAAATAATTTAAAACCAAATGAGAAACCATTAATAAACCATTGCGAAATTAGTTTTATCTTACTATTTTATCAATATTGCATTAATTTTTATCAAATGTTTCCCAATTCTAGACTAGTGTTGTAAAAATATTAAACCAATTTGCGAACCAAACGAGAAACCAATAATAAACCAATAATAAACTATTAAATTTTTTATTATTTTTTAAGTGAATTAATGTTGAGCTAAAATTTGAAGAATAAATGTTATGTAACTTCTTAACTGGTATAAAAAAAATACTGAACCAATTTGAAACCAATAATAAACCATTTCGAAAATTAAAGGAAAAGTAAAAGTTTTATTTTAATGTTGAAATCGCTGTTTATTTTTTTCACTTGTTTCGTCATTTTGAACTGTCGGAAAATTATTAAAAACCAAAAACGAAACCAATAGTAAACCAATACTAGAAAAAGTTAATTTTATCATTGAATCAATATTGCATTTATTTTTTTTAACTAATAGATTTTAAAATAATAACGATATTATAATTACTAAACTAGTATCGAAACAATACTAAACCAATTTAAGAACCAAAACAATAGAACCAAAAATAAACCAATATTTACAATATTAAATCTAAATATGTTTATTAAAATCGTTTTAAATTTCCATTGGCTATTAAAAAAAAAATAGTCGATATATAATTAAAAGGAAGAAATTTAAATAAAAATAGTAAATAATTGATTGTTTTACGATTTAGAATAATTAATTATAAACACACGTATTTAGCGTTAATTAAATGATTGTTTTACCGTAATTAAACTGCAACCGATGCAAATTACCCATCCCCATCCGCCATCTGGTGGCAATGGTTTTTTAACAAAATTTTGCGTCATAATTTTTTTTTCTTTTTTCTAATTTTAAAATAATGTATTTCTTTTCTTTATTTATTCTTTTTTTACGATGTATTTTATTTTTCTCTTTAGAAAAATCAATTAAAAATAATATTGGATTTTCAAAATTTAAAGTGTTGATGAATATTTTTTTGATCATTAAATTTCTATGATCAGTTGTTTATTATGGCTCAACAAAGACTGCACCTTTTACAAAATGAAACTTTACTTTTGATATATTTCTTTTACGTTTTATCATTCTTGAACAATGGATAAAAAAATTATGACTCGTTTTCTTAGAGATATGTAATCTTTTCAGGTTTCTTTTCTCTCACTTTTACTCTTATTCTCAAATCTTTTTTTTTATCTCACTCTCTCCTACACGTCATTGTACCTGCTGAGGAAAATTTGGTAAGATTTCAAATAGGATCTTTCTGGATATCAGATAAAAATTTTCACCTTCTTGCGATAACATTAACAAATTGAATTTTAAAAAAAAATTGTTAGGATTCTTTGCATGTTAAACAAAATTTTTAATTTTTAAATTAATTTAATTTATTTTATATAATATCTAATAGTTATTAAAAAAATAAATTAATATTAAATAAATAAATTAATTAGTAAATAAATTAATAATAATAATTATTATTATTATTATTAAAGGTGGAAGAATTTTATTATTATTTTTTATTATTATTTTTATGATTTATTATTTTATTTTTCTTTATTATTAATTTTATTATTATTATTATTATTGTTATTAGGTGTTAATATTATTCTGTAATTATTATTAAATAATTTAATTAATATTTAACATTAATTTAGTTATCATAAATTTTAATAAATTTTTTATGCAATAAATAAATAAAAATAAAAAATAATATACAAAATACCTATTTGACTTTAGTTTCCGGGATTTTTTCTTATCATCAACTTTTCTCTTCTTCTCTTTTTTTGATTTCTTTTTTATTTTGAAGTCACATTTTTTTGTTATCAATAAATAAAGGAAAGGTTAAAAAAAATATTACGATAATTTATTGTCAAGGTCAATGATTGCTACTGTGTCGAAATAAAAAAGAATACATAATTATACAAATATGTTGAATTTTTTGTCAGATTAGAAATTCATAAGAAAAAGATTATTTTAATTTAATTTAATGACAATAACCTTAATTTCTGGAGATGAATTTATTTTCAATTGATATTCTCCAGAAATATTTTTTATAATAAATTTTAATTATGCATTATTAATTTTTCTTGTTTATAAATGTTTGCTAAAAAAATTATTTGTAATTTTTATTTATGACAATTATTTATTTACAGATTTTTAAATTTTTTTAAAACTGATTTTATTCTTTTTCTTTTTTCAGTTTTTTTATTTATAATTTTTATATAATTTTTCTTATTTATAATTTTTTTTTACAGTTTCTATAGTTAATAATTTTTAAAATTTTTATAGTTTGTAATTTTTTTTACATTTTTTCAACCAATTAAAATGAAAAAAAAAATTTCATTTTTTTAATTCATAAAAAAAAAATTTCTAAAACTATAAAAACGGCAAAACAAAAATATATTCACTATTTTAAATCGCGAAAAGAATTTTATTTTTAAATAATAATAATAATAATTTTTTTTGGCGCCTGCTGTACTTGTAAAGTAAAATATTTCAATACACCAATGCAGTCGTGGTTGCATATTTTCAGGGGGCGTTTATCTCATTTTTATAAATAACAGCAAATTATCTATTATTTACAAAATAAAGAGGAAAATTAGATTAGGTAAATTCAATGAGAGATTTTTTAATTCATTACTGTTTTTGTTTTAATATCAGTATATAATTGACTTTTGTTTTCAGCTGTTAATTAAATATAAAAAATTATCATTTTTCCTGGAAAAAAGAAACTGAATTAAAAAAGATTTGAGAGTTGCGAGTTTATTATTAGATACGCGTTTATCTATTTATTTAATTGAACAAATTATGTTAAAATATTATGAAATGAGAGAAAAATGAAATAGGTATTTTCGCAATGCAATCTTTATTATTATTGTTACTCTCTAAATTACTGTTAATTATAATTATTTATTATTTTCACTTTTAATTATTATTATAATTATTATTATTTTTTTTATTATTAAATAATTTTTACTTTTTTGATTGTTATTATTCTCATAATTATTATATTGTAATTTTTAACATACTACAATATTATTAAACCTTATTACAATTATTATTAGTATTAAATAGTAGGATTAAATAAATATTATATTTTTCATTAATTTTGTTATTTATCAATTTAAATATTTTTAAAATAATTCAAAATAAAATATAAATTATGTAAATTACAGAGATATTGATTTTAATAATGAAAAAACTATTCCACTTGCGGGGGATCGAACGCAGGACGCTTCGTGCGTCAAGCAAGAGCGCTAACCACGCTGCCATGCCACGTATCCAACTATTTACAGTTTTTTTTAGTTTTTTATGTCTTTTTTTTATAGAAAATTAGTTTTTAATAATTTTTCACAACAATTATAGTAAAATGCGAGGCGAATTTCTACTTTTTGAAACTTAAAAAAAAACCTTTTCTTTTATAAAAAATAAATTATTTGTAATATTAAATAAATAAAATAAAATAAAATAGAAACAAAAAATGAAATAATGAAATAGAAACGGAAATAAAAATACAAATTAAATAATAAAATAAAAATAAAATAGAAACGGCAATGGAAATGAAACAATAAAATAAATAAAATAAAAAATAAAATAAAATGTTTGGAATAAATTCGTAAGTTCGTAAGAATGTAAAAAACGGAACAACAAAGAAAACACTTTGAAATATTGTTTCATTAAAATTCTGTCAAATAAAACTCGATTTTTTTGAAACTGACATCATTTTCTCTAAAATTTTCCAAAATAGGTTTTCAAATCTCAGAAATAGAAGGTATGTATATTAATTGCCTAGCTTTTAATCGCTCTGCAAATAATTTTTACACAATCAGGAACTCATTTAAAGACAGTTGGTTGCTTCCCATTTATATGTGAGACGCAATGTCTATAAATTTTCCGTTTTGTAATATAAAGAGCGATGAAAACATTGAAATGTCAAAATTTTAATACCATTTTAAACAAAAAATTTTTTTTTATTTGTTACATTTCATTACTTAACAACACGATAGTTTAATAATGCCAATATTTATTTTCCCCTCTCTTTCACTCTATATATCTCTCTCTTTTTTTTAGTTTATTTTCTCTATCGGATCATTGAATTTTTTTTTTCTTTTTTTTTGTCATCTTCTTTGCTTTTCTTCTCTTTTAAACGTGCAAAGAGATGCGCAGCAGTGAAAATATTTCAATTTTTTTAATAGAATTGTCGCTTTTATTTGTTAGTGCATTGACAAGATTTCTCCTGATAAGGTGTTAAATGCTACTAATTGTTTTCAACATTAATATCTATTAGTTACAATCATTAAGTGTGCATTTGATCTCTGACTTGTCCAAAAAAAAGTAGTCGCGACTGGTGGTTTTTAAATACAAAAAAAAATAAAAGACAAGAGGAAAAATGTTTTAAATTCCTTAAGAACGATCGGAAAAAAATTATTTTTGAAAATTGGTGTTAAATTTTTCTTTTATTCGGTTTAAAACTTTGATAATTTTTGAAGAAAATGGAAATTTAATGGAAATTTTTTTCTCATTGTGAAAAAACTGTGCAGTTCGGAAAAATATACATAATGATATCGTTAAATTAATCAAGTGAATAAATTTCATTAATTGCAATTTTTTTTCTAGTTTTTTTTGGAAAACTTTTTTTCTTACAAAAGAAAGTAAAAAATAACATGTTTCCTAAAAATTAAAGTTAATTTTAGTTAGTGGGAAAATTTTCATTGTGTTTTTCGTTCGTCAACATTTTTTTTATTTTTATTGAAAATTATTTTGTTTTACAAATTTTTTTATTAAAAATTATTTGGTATTACAATTTTTTTTATTGAATATTAATTTTTTTTATAGAAAATTAATTTTTTTTTACCAAAAATCAGTTTGTATTAAAAATTATTATTTATTGAGAATTATTTTGTTTTACAATTTTTTTTATTAAAACTTATTTGGTATTACAATTTTTTTATTGAAAATTAATTTTATTGCAAATCATTTTTTATTGAAAATTCCTATTTTTGAAAATTATTTTTTATTGAAATTTACTTTTGTTGAAAATCACTTTTTATTGCAAATTCCTTTTTTTGAAAATCATTTTTCATTGACAATTAAAACGTAATTTAACTTAAAAATCATTTTTTATTGAGAAAATAATTATAATGGCGGGATTTAAATTGAAAAAATAAAACTTTTTTCTGAATATAACTAAAAAATAATAAAAAAAAAATATTATGCGCACTATTTCCGGTTCCGCCAACGGGGCGACAAAAATTGTATCCGAAGAAACAAGGGTGGGGGGAGTGGAAAAAGAAAATGTCACCGAAATGCAAAAAACAATTATGGAAGAGAAAGATGAGGACGAAGAAGAAACTTTTGATGACGAAGAAATTGCACCAGACGGTGGCTGGGGTTGGATGGTTGCCCTAGGATTAATTTTAGTTTTTGTGCGTAATTTTCATTAATTAAGAACAAAAAAAATTTTTTGTTATTTTTCACATTCGTTTTTTAATTATTTATTTAATTTATTTAATTAATTAGTCATTTAGTTAATTAGTTAACAATTTTAAAAAATTGAAATGTTAATTGTCTAATTAGTTAATTTTTGTGCTAATTAGTAGGTTAATTTTTTAATTAGTCAGCTTTTTAGTTAAGTAGTTAATTAATTAGTTTGTTAATTAGCTTTTTAGTTTCAATAATTAATTAGATAGATAATTAGTAAATTAATTATTAGTTAATTAATAAAACTAATTATTAATTAATTCATTGATTAATTAGCTGGTCAATGAATTAGTTAATTATTTAGTAAAATAGTTAATTAATTTTTTTTTTAATTCAAATTTGGTGAATTTTTAACTTGAATAGTTAATTATTTAATTAAGTAATTTATGAATCAATGAGTTAGTCAATTTGTTAATTAATTACTTATTTAATTAACTAGTTAATTAGTTACATGATTAGTTAATAAATTAGTATTTTTAGTTAGCTACTTATTTAGTTACTTAATTAGCTAAAAATTAATTTTTTAATTAATTAGTTATTTAATTAACTAGTTAATTAGTATTTTTAATTAACTATTTATTTAGTTACTTAATTAGCTAAAAAATTAGTTTTTTAATTAGCTATTCAATTGCTTATTAAATTAGTTAGTTAATCAATTTATTAAATTAGCAAAAAACATCAAAATAAATATTAATAAAATAAAAAATTCAAATAGAAAAATGAAAAAAAACTTGAAATTTAAAAAATTGTGAAAGAAAAAAAAATACGAGGAAGAAAAAAATTAACAATTAAAGAAAAATGATGTAATTAAATTGGATAATATATTTTTTTTAATTGCAAAAGATTGTAATAAGTTGCTACACAAAAAAATTCCAAAACGTTAATACAATGAAGATAAGGGACAATTACCTCTATGACCTATATAAATATATAACAAAAAACTAATAGTCATTGTGAGTTAAAATGAATTTTAAAATAAGAAAATAATAATAACAATAATAATTCTCGTTGGAATCAGATTAATTTATTTTGATTTCAATCTCTTCCAAATGATAAATATAGAAGTTTATATTCGCCATTTTTTCTTCTTCTTTTTACATAGTCATTAAAAATGACACTATACATCATTGACGTTACAAATACGCGTCAACTTATCTCTTTATATCTAATATTATTATTATTGTTAATCCATAACAAAAAAATAACATATGACAATTTGATCATTATTTACAAATATAAATAATTTGTTGATATTTTTAAATAATTTTTCCTAAAATATTTTACTCTACTATTTGTTAGTTAATTAACTAATTAACTAACTTTAGTTAACTAATTATGTTAACTAAAAATATTTGTTATTAAGTAATTATACTAACTATTTCTTTACAAACCAATTATAATAAATAACTATTTGTTCCATCTATAAATAAATATAAATGCAAATATGTTTTTTAAACAAAATTTTTTTTCTTAAGATAATTAATTTTTTAATAATAATTAATTATTAATTAAATTAATCAAAATTTATGTAATTAATTTTTATTTATTATATACGGTTTTACAAAAAAAAGAATAGATGTATAATAATTATAAACTAATTACTTTTGTGTAAAAGATAATTATATAATTAATAGTGTAAAATAATTTGAGAATAGACATTGTTAATAATTAATTTTTGCAATTTTGAATTAACAGATAACGGCCTTTGGACCGGCAGCATCATTTACGATATTATTTGGAGATTTTTTGAATCAAACGGGCAATGCTGGCTCGGCTACAACAATTCTCAATTCTGTTTTTAATATTAGTTTCTCAATTGCAGGTAAATTATATAAAAAAATAATAATAAATTCTGTCATAATAATATTTGTAATTATTATAATTTTTTGATTTACAGGAGTGGGAACGAGTCCACTATTAAAAGTATTTTCAGCAAGAACATTAGGCGTATTTGGAGCCGTGATATTTGCCGTTCCAAATATTTTGATAGCTTTTGTGAATCACGTCATGGAATTGGCAATAATATTTTTTCTCCAGGGCATTGGCTGCGGTTTGTTCTTCACTGTTTGTAATACAAATTTCAACGCCTACTTTGTACGGCGAAGAGCAACCGTATGTAGAAATTAATCTCTTTCTTTCTTTCTCTTTCATTTTTTTTTCTTTCTTTTTTTGCTTTTCCTTCTCTCTTCCTCATTTGTTTCTCAAAATTGTATTCATAATCCTATTTACATTTTGTTCTTCCTGGACAGGTCATGAGCGCCTGTCAGACGATTGTCGGTCTTGGTTGCATTGTTTATCCAATCTGGATTGAAAAGATGATGAAAGCTTATGGGTTCCGAGGTACTTTTTTTGCACTCGCCCTTCAGGTTTCAGAAACAAAAATTCTTTTTTCGATTTTTATTTTCCAATTAATTTCCAAAAAATTTGAATATATTTAAAAATATTCAAAAATTTTTTTTTTAAATTTTATTCTTTTCATCATTTTTAATTATTATAATAATATTTATTTTTTGTATTTCTATTATTTATTTTTCATTATTATAATAATGTATATTTTTTGTATTTATATTATTTATAATTACTATTATTGATAATTTTTTACTGTAAACTTTTTATTACAAACTTATTGCATTAAATTACAATTTGTGCCTCTGCAATTAAATTAGAAGAAAGAATACAAAATCAAATTGAATTGAGAAAATAGAATCGAATTTTTACTAATAGCTGAAAGTTCGGCTACGCGGAGAAGAGTGGGGGTAGCGAACACTGATTGGCGAGCGCGTTCCCCCCACTCCTGCCGCGTAGTGTTTCTCAAACAAAAGCCGCATTAAACGATAGAAATTTGCCGAATAAAATTGTAATTTAAAGAAAAAAATTATTTATTTCATTATTATTATTATTTATAATAATAATAATAATTTCTTAAAGTTTATTTCAATTAATAAAAAAATTTTATTAAAATTTAATTTTTTTATGAAATAAACTTTAAGAAAAAAAAATTCAATCTCTTAATAAAAAATTCGTTGATAATTTTAATTTAAATTCGAATAGGAACTTCGGCGCTAATTGGAGCATTGAGTTTAAATTGCATTGTGGGAATGGCCCTGATGCACCCAGTCGAATGGCACTATAAGCGACAGAAAAAAACAGTGAATGGTGAAAAAATGATTTTAATAAAAAGAGAATCCATTGGTAATAATAGATTTTCTGGAGAGTTTCGATTTATTCACGATAAATTGACACGACGCTCGACAATTGACACAATTCATCCTCCAATGATGAGTAGCATGTGGAACAGTCTCAGGAACCTGAGAGAAGACGACGATGGAAATAATGTTAATAAATAATTTTATAAAAAGAAACTGAAAAAAAAATTTATTTTTAATAATTAATAAAAAAAATATTATTATTATCATGTTTTGAATTTAAATAAATTTTTTTCAGACATCATTATCGCGACGAGGATCCGTGTCGAATATGGAATCGGGAAATATTCGCCGAAGAGCAAATACGGTTTCGCATAAAAATGGCAGCGTCGCTAAATTGGTGACCGAAACATTGTCATCGTCGAGTTTGGCAAATTTACGTATGCCCGTTGGTTTTGATAATTTAAATAATGCCGAGGCTATTGTAAAAACGAAATTTTACGAGAAACCAAAAATTATTGAATTAATGTCAATGGAAAAGTCGAAGGAGGCGGAAAAATTGAAGGAGAAGGAAATGCTTAAGGAGAAGGAAGTGTTTCAATCGAGAGACAATTTGGCCAGTCATTTGGAGAAAAAGAAGAAAAAACGGTAGAATAATAATAATAATTGAAAAAATAATTTTCAATTTATTTTTTCAATTTATAAATGGAATTTATAATTTTTTTTTTTTTTTTTTTTTTTTTTTTATTTATAAATGGAAAAATTGTTGATTTTAAGATGGAGTTTATCGGATGTAATTGACATGGAACTAATGAGTGATAAAACATTCATTACCACGTGTTTGGGAATGAGTTTTGTTTTCACAAGTGATTTCACGTTCAGTTCTCTATTGCCATTAATGATGGCTAAAAACAAATACACACAAAGCGACGCGGCACTGGCAATAACTGTTGGAGCAACCGCTGAACTTGTCTCCAAAATTCTTCTCTCCATCTTCACATTGGTCGTTGACGCGAGGCCAAAAAAATTATTTTTCATTGCCATGATTTGCATGGCTATGGCGAAAATTGGTAAAAAAAATGGCACCATAATTATTGTCCATAATAAATTAATTATGTACCATAACTATTGTCTATAATGAATTAATTGTACCATAATTATTGACCATAATAAATTAATTATGTACCATAACTATTGTCCATGATAAATTAATTGTGTAACATAATTATTGTCCATAAAAAAATTAATGGAACCATAATTATTGTCCATGATAAATTAATTGTGTACCATAATTATTGTCCATAATTAGTGAATAAATGATAAAATAATTTCCGAATAAAATAAGGCAGATATTTTTTCCTCAAATTTAAAATTTAAATTTTTTTCAGGATTTCTCTACTTGGAGCACACGATGATGGGATTAATTTGTATGGTGGCTGTGATTGGTATGGTGAGATCGTGGTTGATAGTACCGCAGGCATTAGTGGTGGTGGAAAATTTGACTGTCGATAAATTTGCAGCGGCCTATGGAGTTTTTGCTATAATTAGCGGAGGAATATCAATTGTATTTGGACCAGCTGTTGGTAAGAATGACAAAAAATGAAACAACAACAAAAATGTTATAATATACAATTTATAAAATTCAACATTCAGTTAAAAATATTGTTTCCCATTTTTCTTCATTTTCCCCTCCTTTTTTGCTTCTTTCTTTCTTTGTCCTCTTTTTTGTTTTTTTCTGGTCGAGAAAATAATCGATTTTTTTTTTTTTTTGTTATTTAGGTCTCATCAAAGATTGGACTAACAGTTATGACCTCTGTCAGTTGGTACTCTTGGGTTTAAACGTGTTGTTCATCGTGCCTTGGGGAATGGAATTCCTCTCCGAATATATAGTCATGAAGAAAGATAAAAAAAGGCCACTCAATGAATTGAGAACAGTATAAAGTATATGTATATAGCGAATCTTTTTATTTATTTGATAAGAACAAAATGATAATAACACAGACATGTGTCTGGAAAAAATTTAAACGACACATTTTAAATTTATAATTATACTAGAAAATAAAGATCAGTATTTTTTCTTCTTTTTTTTTAATTAAATAGTCAATTTCATTAAATATGGAAAGAAAAGCAAAACGAGTCAATAATAATAATAAATGTAAAATAATATTTTTGGAAAAATAATTTTTACTTTATTTATAAAATAATAAGAACAATAATAATAATATAATTATTATATTAATATAATTAGCGGTATCAATAAATTTTATTAATTTAATTAATATATTACAATTAACACACTGTATACCTATCGTTAATTCTAAAATGTTAATTTGTTAAAAAGAGAAAAAAGAAAAAAATTTTAAATGATTTCGACTGAAGTTTTGTAAAATTGTGATTTTTATTTATTTGTTTTCGAAAAAACTTAATGCCATAAATATACAATATATGTTTTATATGAATAATAATAATAATAATAATATTATAATAAAATGTAAGATAATAATTTAAATTATAATCTATGCACTGGCTTTGACTCGTGGTTCGAGAGATACTTTAAATCCATCTGACCTTTTGAGAATGATGTCAACTTGTAATTTAAAGTCCTTTTCGGAAAAGTTTGATTTAATTTTATAATTCCGCAAAATTGTTGAGAGCAATACTTTCAATTTTAGCATTGCGAATTTCCTTCCAACGCAGGATCTTTATTAAAAAATTGTTTTTTTTTAAATTTTAATTTTCATAGTTTGTAATTTTAAATAATTATATAATAATTAATTAATAATATATAATTATTAATTTTCAAAAAAATATTGCTAATGAAATTTTCTACAAACCTGGGACCAGCGCTGAATGGAATATAGGAATAATAATGACGATTTTGCATTTTTTCGGGCAAAAAATTGTCCGGATTGAATTCTTCAGGATTTGGATAATATTCTTCTAAACGATGTATTTTATATTGTGCAATAACAACTGTACATCCCTTTGGTACTGTATAATCTCCAGAAGCTGAAAATTAATTAAAATAAATTAAGTTTTAAAAATAATTAATTAAAAAAAATTTTTTTAGTTAATAATTATATTAAAATAAGATTAAAAAATATTTTCTCTAATATTACGATTATATTTATATATAAGAAATAAATTATTTCACAATTATTACTTACAAATTTACGCAATTATTGAAAAAAGAAAATTATATGCGAATTTTTATAAAAAAATTTAAGCAAATTACTAATTAATTAATTAATTACCAAGTTTTACGTCTTGATTGAGTTGTCTTGCAATTGCAGGTACAGGTGGATATAATCGGAGAGTTTCTAAAATTACTCTTTCCAAATATTTCATTTCAATTGTGTCCTGGAAGGTGCACGGTCTATCAGACCCATTGAAGATCTCATTTATTTCCTCATAAACTTTGTCCTGAAAATAAAATCCAATTTTTTATGAATAATATTTTATTACATTTTTAATTAACGGAAACAAAAATAAACGAAATTAATTAACAATATTTTTTTAACAAAAAATAAAGAAATTAATTAACAATCTTTTATAAAAAAAAAAATTAATTAACAATCTTTTTTAGCAAAAAAGAAGGTTAATTATTAACAATTTCATTAAATAATAATATTAATTTTTCTTATTTTTATCCATTTTTTTTTTAATATTATAGGTATTATTATAACAATATAAAAATGTATTACATTGTAATGCACATCGTATAAAATGACAGTAATATTAAATATTACAAAGTACTTTAATGTATGTAATTTTATTTTGAGATATATTTAACAATTTCCGGTTAGGTTGAGTTGCGTGTACAATGGGAAGAATTAAATTTAGGATGATTTGTACTTTCGGAGTATATACATCAAAATAAACTTACTTGAATATCCTGACGAGCTGCGAGGACACAAAGGGCAAAACTGGACCCAGACGCTGTTGTATCGTGACCCTAAATAAAAAACCCCAGAAAAAAAAATTATTTTCATTTTTTTTTGCAAAATTCAAAATTTTTCAAGTTTAAAAAAAAATAATTTTTTTACTAATTTCTATAATGTTATTTATACCTCAAACATAATTGTGTTCACTTCCTCTTCCACTTCCGCCTCACTTAATTTTGGACCATCACCTCTTGACACTTCCAGCAGGCAGTCCAAGAAGGCTAATCTTTTTTTCTCACCTAGTGTCAAAAGAAAGCATTTTTTACCCTTTTATGTAATAAATTTAAAAATAAAAATTTAAACTAAATTAAAATATAACTTCTATTTATAAATAACATATTCTTAATTAAAATAGAAATGAGAAACAATTTTAAAAAATAAAAAAATTAATAGTAGTTGCGGAAAAAGAAAGAAAGTAACGTACCAACGTCATTTTCGTCAATTTCATCCAAATCATCACGCACATAATGCAAATTTGTGTAAGTCGATTTTTTCTCATCTGCCTTAACATTTTCGATAATTTTCTTGAGTTCCTCCTCCTTTTGCTTCTCCTTCTCGGCAAGTGAGAGTTGTCCTTTGGCGGCGTATTCGGCTTTACGTTTACGAATAACACGTGAAGTGAGGCCATGAATTGTATTCAATAATTTCACCTCTTGTTTGGCGAAATTTGTAAATTGAAATAGTGCATCGAGCCTCAATAATACATCATAATGTCGTTGATGAATAATTTGACACAATCTAGGTTGCGAGAAAAAAAAATGAAGAAAAGGAAAAATGAAAAACAAAAATTTTAATTTTTAATGCGCCTCAGCGTGTATAGAATATCATTAATAATTAATTAATTTTATGAATATTATGAATCCAGAAAAAAGAATAAAAGAAAACAGAAAGAAAAAGAAAAATTGACATTCATGACGTTTCTATAAATGGCACGACCTCTTATCATATCATTAAAATAGAATTAAAATCCATATTTAATTTTACGAAATCATCATTTTCGTGAGAAATTTTTTTTTTTCTTAATTAATTTTCAGTTTCTTTCCTTAAGAATAATTTTAAAAAAAAAACAAAGAAGAGAAATTCATTACTGAAGTAACTTTTGCTGATAAATTAACTAATTTAAATTTAACTAAATTAACAGTCCCAAAATCATTGAAAACTACCGAGAATTGTCACAATTGCTACAGAACCAGTTCGAAATAGTTCGTAATAAATTTGAAGTGATTTTAAACATTTTAAAAAAGAATTAAAATAATTGTTCAAAATCATTTTCAATTAGACTCAATTCGATTAAAATCAATTCAACGTGATTAAAAATAAGTTCGAAACTCATTTAGAAATGAATTTAAAATAAGTTTTAATAAGTTATAATTCCATTAATATAAAACTAGTTTTAATTGATTTCGAACTATTTAGAATTAGTTCAAAACTAGTTTAAAGTGGTTCAAAATAAGGAATTGTTCTAAACAAGTTTCAATTGTTCTGAACTAGTTCAAAACTAGTTTAATTTGGTTCTAAACTAGTTTAAATTCGTTCTAAACTAGTTTTAATTAGTTCCAAACTAGTTTAAAGGGGTTTAAAACTATTTTAAAGTGATTCGAAACTAAATTAAATTGGTTCTAGTTTAAAGTGGTTCAAAACTAGTTTAAATTGGTTCAAAACCAGTTGAAAGTGGTGAACAAATTTTTTTTAACCATTTATTAGTTCTAAACTAGTTTAAAGTGGTTCAAAAGTAGTTTAAATTCGTTCTAAACTAGTTTTAATTGGTTCTAAACTAGTTTAAAGTTGTTCAAAATCAGTTTAAAGTGGTGAAGAAAATTTTTTAAACCATTTAGAACAAGTTAATTATTTCAAATGCAGTTCATTAAAAATTTTTTTTTAAATCAGAATTTTGAAGGTTTTTTTTAAAAATAAGTTGAAATTAATTGTAACTCACTTCATAACTGCCATGGCGTAATCGAAACCACTTTTTTCCTTATTTTCACCTCGAAGACCCATTGCAGTCTCCAATAGAATATCAACAGTGATACTTGACATATAATCATGAACATCAAATTCATTTCCAGCCTCTTTCTTCAATCTCATAACAAGATCACGACTATTTTCATAGAAATAGGGGACAAATGATCGCAGAACATTCAAATGAAATGCGGGGGCAATTATTTTTCTGTGCGTCCTCCATTTTTCTCCTGTACTTATCAATAGACCCTCGCCTAACCAGGGCTTGAAGAATCTTTGTGAATAATTTTAAAAATATTATTATTATTATTATATTATTATTACTATTATTGTTATTATTATTGTTATTATAATTATTGTAGTGACTAAAAAAAAATTCTTTATAACCCAGTGGTCAATAAGTTGCCCATTATTACCCTAGGGCAATAATTGACACTTTATTTGACCACTTGCTGGAAAATAAATTGACCATTATTACACTAGGGCAATAATAAACACTTTATTGACCGATCACAGGTCAATAAATAACTCATTATTGACCTAGGGCAATAATAGTTCCTTTATTGACCTCTTTAGTTATATATGAAGGAATTTAACATCCACTGGAACGATATATAAAAAATAATGAAAATTAACAAAAACAAATATAATAAATAAATAATATGAAAATTTATAATAAATAATAATTAATTTCAAAGAAATTAAAATTATTAATTTAATTAAAGTTAAATTAAAATTACCTGTACTCCGGTGATTTGTCAATATGAACATGACTGCCGAGTATAAGTTCAACATCCCTTGGATCTGAGAGGAAAACAACAAGTTTTGGTCCTAAAAATGCTCGAACCACATTTCCATAAATATCGAGCTCGAGAATTTTACTCAAAACATCTTTTGGTTTTACATTAACAGCTATTAGGGCATTGCCAAGAAATGGTACCGTTGGGGGTCCTAAAAATTTAATAAAAAATATTCTTCAATTTTATTTCATTTTTAAAAATTAGTTTGTTACTTTAAACCCCCCCCCCCATCTAAAAAAAAAAAATTTTATTTAGTTTTTGTAATTTATTAATTTTAACTTTACTGTATTTCATTTATTTATTTACAAAAGTAAAGAATAATAAGAAACGAAGAAAAAATTAATAGATCAAATAAATATTAAATAATAATAAAAAATAGTTGATAATACAAATTAACAATAAATAATAATAATAATAAAAAAATAATTAACAATAAAAATTTTTTTTTTTTTGCTTAGGAAATTTTAACACTTACAAAATGTTAATAAAAAAACAACAATTATTTTTCCAAAAATTACATACCAGGCAATTTTTTTCCAAGTTTAACTAAACGCGTTGATTCAGTGTAATAATAAAGGGCAAATAAAACTGTCACTATTGTCAATAAGGGATATAAAAGTGGCGATGAAAAAAATGAACTTTCCATAGGCACCGCCTCCATTATTATTGTTTAAAAAAAAAAAAAAAATCCAATACAAAAAAAATTCTTCTTTCCTTTTTTTTATTTCAACTTTTCATCAACGACTAAAAACTTAAATAGCTATAGTGCAATTTTTTCACCTCCTATATATATAGAGAGAGACTTTTTATTCCCCCTCCACCAGCGCACCTCACTGTCTCTTTCTTATCAATTTTCAATTCGAATCAAATATTATGACGAAAAAAAGAAAAAAGTGGGGGATTATCGTCTCGTGAGTGACCGCATTTACAAGAAAAAAAAGCGAGAAATTATTCCATTTTATTTGCTTTATGCACTGACCTTATATACATTCCTTGACATTAAGAATCACAAATTTTCACTCAATATGACAATAAAAGAAAAAGAAACGACTATTACGTTCTTTAATATTTATTTTAATTTTCCAATAATTATTTTCTAATCAAAGATAGTGATTTTTTGATAGTTTTTTTTTTGAATTTTTCTCTTTAAATAAATTAATAATTTAAATAATAAACTTTAATTTTAATTTTTTAAAAATATTTTATATCAATAACATGCTTTTATTTATTATTTTAACTCCTCTTCTCTTTATTATTTTTGTCAATTTTTTCTAGTCTTGACAAAAGTTAAAAAAAAAATTTTTTTTTAACGGTTCTGAACTGGTTTAAAGTGGTAAGAAACAAGTTTCAAATAGTCCAAAAGAAGTTTAAAATATGCAACCATGAAATATGTTTAAAAGAAAATTTTTTTATTATAGTATTTCAAAATTTATTCAAAACGGTTTTAAACTAGATCAAAGTGGTTCAAAAACAGTTTTAAACTAGTTCAAAGTGATTCAAAGCAAGTTTTAAATAGTCCGAAAGAAGATTAAAATACAAAAGTATGAAATATGTTTAAAAAGATTTTTTTTTGACTTATAAGCTTTTTTTATTTTTGTCTTATTTCTTTATAATTTATCCAAAACGGTTTTGAACTAGTTCAAAGTGATTCACAACAAGTCTTAAATAGTCTGAAAGAAGTTTAAAATACGATACTATGAAATATGTTTTTAAACAGAATATTTTTTTTTATTTTTTTCTTATAAGAGTATTTTATAATTTATTCAAAACGGTTTTTCACTAGTTCAAAGTGGTTCTAAAACTGTTTTAAACTAGTTCAAAGTGGTTCAAAATAAGTTTTAAATGGTCTTAAAGAAGTTTAAAATACGAAAATAGATTTTTTTGGTTTATTTTTGTCTTATTTCTTTATAATTTATTCAAAATGGTTTTGAACTAGTTCAAAGTGGTTCAAATCAAGTTTTAAATGGTCCAAATAAAGTTTAAAATACAAAACTATGAAATATGTTTAAATAGATTTTTTGTTGTTTATTTTTGTCTTATTTCTTTATAATTTATTCAAAGCGGTTTTAAACTATTTCAAAGGGGTTTAAAACTAGTTCTAAATAGTCCAAAATAAGTTAAAAATGCGTAACTATGAAATATGTTTAAAAAAATATTATTTTTTGATTTTTTCTTGCAGTACTTTAAAAATTTACTGAAAACAGTTTCGAACTAGTTTCTAACTAGTTTTAAATAGTCCGAAAGAAGTTTAAAAATCTGAAAAAATAATTTATATTTGCATATTTTCATTATTATTTTGTTTAAGTCAGATTTTTTTCAGATTTATTTTCGTCTAAATTTTTTTTACTTAATAGAAAATTGTAAACACAAAAATTGAAAGAAAAATATATTTAGGCATTATCGGTAAATATTTTGATTTTAGACGATAATAAAGAGATAACTTTGATTTTACAATGGAATTTTGATTAAGAAAGAAAAAAATTTTAATATATTGTTATAATTATTTATATTTATTATTTTTTTTTTAATTAATATTGTTAATGTAGTTTTTAGTATTTTTATTATTTTTTCCATTTTTAAAAATTTTTTTAATATAAAAATATATTGAAGCTATTAGGCCAAACAAATAAATCTAAGATCTTTATTATTATTTATTATTATTATTATTAATAATTAATTATTTAAAGTATAATTTTCAACTAATTAATTACATGATTATGTTTTTTTTTAAATTTGTTCGAAATAATTAATTTCTGGTTTAGCATTGTAATTAAATAATGCAGAATTTAAATTTTTTTCTTGGAAATGTGACCCATTTTTTCTTAAATTTTCCGTTAAAAATTTACAATTACTTATTTTTGTAAAAAAATAACTTTTATTTTGTTAATATTAAAAATATTTTTAAGAAAGTATAAAAATAAAAAGTTTCTATTAAAAAAATTGGAAGAAAAGTTAAAAGTAATAGAAACAATAGTATATTAAAAGTATAATAATATAATAACTATGATAATAATAAAATAATAACAATGATAATGATAATAATAATAATAATAATAAAAATAAATTTTTCCATGAATTTAATTAGAAAATAAATTCTTGATTTAGAATTCAGGTGATTTTCCTACTGTTCTTATTATCGGAAATATTGAACTAAAAGCGTGCGTGTATAATCAATCAGTAATTTGGGGGGGAGAGAGTGGGGAAAAATAAATTGACTTTACCGCATGTGTAATTCAATCATGAAAAGTGATATGATATACATATGTTAATTATACAATATTACATTTATACTATGCAATTGTTTCTAAAATAAATTTAGTTAATCGCACACTATACGCACAGAGACACGCAAATTAATTCATAATTTTTTCCAGTACGACAATCGTTTAACAACTTCCGTTTCCATTTTTTCTTTTTTTCATTTAACTATTCACACATAGTAATTAAAATTACAATTCTCACCTTTAGTCCCTTTTTTTTTTTAATTTAAAATGTCAAAATTCTACAAAATTATACAAAAATTTTTTTTTCTAAACAATTTTCAACATTTAAATACATTTTAATTTTGATTGAACAAATTATTATTTATTATTTATTTTTACAATTATAAATTATTAAATTTAACAAATTCTTTTTCACTTTTCTAAAAAAAATTATTTTATTTCAATATTTAAATAATGTAATAATAATAATGATAATAATTACAATAATAATAGTAATAATAATAATAAGAATAACAATTGTCATTGTAACAATAATAATACGAAAATAAAATTAATAAAAAATAATAAATGGAATAGATACAAAAAAATATAATAATATAATAAAAAAAAAATTAAATAATAAAATAAAAAAAAATTATAATAATAATAGTACAATAATATTTCATTTCAATAATTAAAAATTCGAAGGGTTGATACTAAATGGTCAAGGGGTGGGGGGGGGTTGATAGAAACAATTCGGAGAGTAAAAAAGGAGAGGGGGGGATAAAGATGAGTGCTTGGGTCATAAAAATTATAACCGGAAATGATAACGTCCGCCGGAAATGACGTAGTCGAGTCCACTCACCTCTTCAACCCCTTCCCCCACTTCTTTTTTTTCTAAAATCCCCTTCCTCATAAACCGGAAGTCAACACCCCCCTTTACATGATCACGAATTAACCCTAAAGGAAAAAAAATGAAAAAAAAAAATACTCGCCCCCTAACCAGACAGGAACAATTTAATAAATTACTAAATTATCGATAGACAGGTACTTTGCTCATTCTAATTATGAATCTCCCTTCTTCCCCCTCTTCTCTTTTTTTTGGTATTGTTTTTTTATTTTTCCAAAAACCTCTCAATTTATTAACTTTTTTTACTTTCTTTTCTTTGACTCTGTAATTATTTATCTTTTTGTTATTTCCTTTGTATTACTTTCTCATGAAAGCATTGTTTATAGGACAATGTGAAATTTTTAAATTACTCTTAAAAAAGCTATCAGTTTTTTTATTAATTTTTTTTTTTATTATAAAAAATGATAATTTTTTAATGTATGGAAATATTATTGAATAATATTGGTCATTAATTGTGTTTTTTGAAGTAAAAGTATATAGAAAAAGAAGGTGGAAAATATTATCACTTAGTGGTCCAGTGGTTAGCGTTCCTGTCTCGTGGGCACAAATTCGTTGGTTCGAGTCCTGGCAGCGGTAGATTTTTTTCTGCTTTATAGGAATTTAGTTTAGAATTTAATTTAAAATTATGAAACAGGTGTTGAAAAATATCGAAATGTCAAAAAATAGAAAAATAATAATAATAATAATAATAATAATAATAAATAAAATAAAATAAAAATAACTAAAAAAATGAATAATTAAAAATAATAAAAAGAAAGTAAGCAAATGAAATAATAAACAATAATGAAAAATGTATTTAGAAAAAAAATAATAAAACAAAAATACATTAAATAAAATAAATGATTCGAGAAAAAATATTAATATATGAAATAATTATAAAATTCTAATAAATAAACAAATGAAATAAATAAAAAATCTAATAAATAAACAAATGAAATAATAAAGAAACCTAATAAATAAACAAATGAAACAATAAAGAAACCTAATAAATAAACAAAGGAAATAATAAAAGACCTAATAAATAGATAAAAAAAATAATACAGCAAACTAATAAATAAACAAATATTTAAATACATAAAACATTTATTATTATTTAAACAAATAAAAATAAATTTAAATATTATTATAATTCAATTTATTTTTATTTGTTTTAATAATAATAAATGTAAAGTGAAAATTAAAAAAAAATTAACATTCGAATTATTTCTATATTTACACAAAAGGATAAGGAAAAGAAATAATAAGATTTCAAATTAATTTTATAAATAGTAAAATACGTTTAATTATAAATATTTTCATAAAAATGTATAAAGTACAAAATATAGTTTGCCTATACAATACAATAATTAATAACTATAGGGTATCCGATTATAATTAAGGCACATTTATTTACAAAAAAAAAGATGATGATTCAGAAAAAATTATTTTTATTCGAGTCATTGTAGGCAATGAATAAAGATTATTGAATAAATAAGGCAGCAATCATCACTTTTATAAACAATGTCAAGAGTCTCTCATTATACATATTGATATACATATATAATAATATGTATATATTTCCTATACACAAGCTCGTCAATTTTCAACATTTTCCTCGATTTTCACGACAATATTTTCTTTCGAAAAATAGTTTATTTTCATTCTTTTCCTTCATGAATGATTTCCTTTCAAACAATTTTCATTCATTTACTTAATTCCCAGAAATATTTTTCTCTAAAAACTAAATTGGCATTTATCGTTATTTATTATAAATATAAATATATATTTTTTTTTATTATAGTTAAATTTATTTATAATTATTGATCCAAAATAATAATCATAAATAATTAAAAGTAATTAAAAATAATTATAAAGAATTATAAATAATTAAATATAATTAAATATAATAATTATTAGTAATGACATTTATAATAATTATTTATTATATTATAATTATAATGAAAAATATATACTTATATTTATATTAACATATTTAAATACTACATACATTATTTTGATTTTCTTTGTCCATTGAGATAAAGTTAATTTTAATTCAGTTGAAAATCGACTAAAATTTCCTTTGGATTTATAATAAAAGAATCAAATTCTCAATTCGATTATATTTCATTTTATATAAAATAAATAATTCTACAATAATATTATTTTCAACTGAGTTAAAATTAAATTAGGTCAATTGTATACTTAAAAATTAATTTATAAAAATTATTAATTTTGATTGAATTGAATCATCTTAATTAATGAATTCTAAATATAATTAATCTTTGATTAATTTTAAAAATTGCATACATAAATATCAAACAGTATAAAAGAAAAAAATTCTAAGTTGTAAAAATATTTATATTAAAGTCTTTTTTATTGAACAAATTAAAATTGTCATTTTGCACACACAAAATTTTTATACAAATTCGATATAAAAAATTGTTTCTTCTTCTTCTTCTTCTTCTTTTTACAATCTTAAATTTATAAATGCGGAGAAAAAATTGTAATTTAATACAAAGTCAATATTATTAAAAAAAAAAAATTGTAGAAAATAAGTTAAAAAATATATTTACAATAGATATAAATTGTTTTGTGGTTATTATTGCTATTTTTCTGTCTTTCTCACTTTTTTCTTTCTTTTTTCTTTCTTACTTTCTTTCTTTCATTCTTTTTCACTCTTTCTTTTTTCTATCTTTTTCTCTCCTTTTCTATATTTGTTTCTCTTTCTTTATCTCTTTTCTCTATTTATTTCTTTCATTCTCAAAAACCTTGAATGTACATTGAAATTTTCTCGCTTCGAAGAAATGGTTTTCGAGAAATTATATTTATAAATTGACACATTCATTTTTAGTGACATTATTTTTCTTGAAATCCTGCCAAAAAGTTTCTCTCAGATCAAATTTTTCGCTATTCACGTAAAAATAAAGAAATAATGGAATAAAAAATATAAATAAATTTTTTTAATATATACGAAATATATATTTGTATATTGTAAATAAATTTTTATTTATTTACTTTTAATTATTTATTTACTTTTAGTTATTTATTTCCATTTATTTATTTCCTTTTATTTATTTATTTACTTTGTTTTTTTCTTTACTACTATTTATTTATTTACTTTTGATTATTTATTCATTTCTATTTATTTATTTACATTGTTTATTTATTCACTTCTATTCATTTATTTACCTTGTTTTATTTTGTTTATTTTTTTATTTTTCAAGAATTGCGAGAAATATTTGAAAAAATTTATTTTTTTTTAATAATGAATTTTGTTTATTTTAAAAAACCGGTATTTTATAATTAAATTAAAAATACACTCTAATAAATTATTAAATATTTTTAGAAAATAGATTTCTTTTTTTACGTCATTTTTTATTTTATTCTATATAATGCCCGCTTTTTATCTTCCTTATTTATAATTTTGAAAAAAAATTGAGCACCAAAAAGAACAATAGGACTAGTTCACAGAAATATTTGTCCCTTTTTCTTATTTACGATGATACGTTAAAATAATTAATTATTAATATTTATTATTATAATTGTAGCAAATAATTATTATTTTCATTGAAATGAATAGATAAATAATAATAAATAGTTATTTATTTATTATTTATTTATTATTTACTTATTATTAATTATAAATAATTATTAGGCATAATTAATAGTTATAATAATAAAATAATAATAATTCTTATTTTTAGTAACATTATAGAAATATTGTTATTAACATAATTATTTTATCATTGTTAGTATCTATAATAGTTATTTTACTGTTATTATGACTATTTTAACTGTGATTTTTATAAACAATTTATTTTTTTGCTGTACAATAATAGGACGAATTTTCACATGGTAAAAAATGGAAAATTTCTACCGTGTGAAAATTTTTTGTACAACTAAATTACAGGAACTGTTTTTTTCTTTCTTTCTTTTTCTTTTTTTTTTGTAAAAAAGTTATTCGAGAAAAATGCGCCTTGAAAAAAATATTTTTAAGGCACCTTCTTAAAGACACTTCTGGACTCGTCGATCACTTTATTATTAGAATATTACATATATTTTTATCACTTATCGATTTCACGGGCGGTTTTTAATAAAAAATTTGCGCTTTTTGTGTTTTGTTAAAAAAGAAGGAATAAATATAGAAAATTAAAAACGATTTTTTAAAAATTTTAAAGTAGAAAACTGACTTTTTAATGTAAAAAATTAAAAACTTTGTTTTTAATTTAAAAGTATTTTTTAATTTAAAAGTAGAAAAAAACTGGCATTTCAATTAGAAAATAAAAAGAAAAAATAGAAAAAGTAAAAATCAGGAGAAATTAATTTTTAATTAGAAAATATTTTACATTCAAAATGTAAAACTAACGCGTTTATTTTCATGCAAATTTTATAAACTTTTTCATAATTTTCATTTTTTGTTTTTATATTCAAAAATATAAAAAATTCAAAAATTAGGTTTTCATAAAGTTTTAAGTTAATTTTTTTTTGAAAAACTTGTCAATCCTTCTTTTTTATCACACTGAAAGTCTTATGAAATACTGTTTTAAATTATACTTATTACATTTTCTTTACATTCATATCGCATGCACATTCGATTTCATCGTCTAATTTTTTTCTTAAAAATCAAAATATAAAAAAATTTAATAAATAAATATTACAAGTATAATATAAATTAATTATTGTGTCAATGAATTTTAAATTAAATTAAATAATTTACAATTTACAAATTACAGACGCTTTGGATATTTTCCCCCCACCTTCTCATCTCTATCTCCTTGAGGAAGAATAATATCTGCAACAAAAAAGAAATTTACAAAAATTAATATATATTAATAATAATATTTTTTTCTTCTGTCATTAATAATAATAATATAAAATAAATAATAAATTTATAAAATATAGAAATAACAGTTTGTTGAGTATATTAATAAATTTACATACTTGTTTTACGTTTCTAAATTCAGGTTTTATTCGATTGCAAATTATTATGATACTTATACAAGAAGTTTCGTTTTCAACGCGATACGCATAGAAGGTGGAGCGAAATGCTGCGCACGAGTCAATTTTCAGTTTGTGCGCATCGTTCTGAGCGTGAGCGTTTTCTTGCAAAAAATGTTGAAAATTTTTCTTTCATTAATTAATAATTATTAATAAGAAAAATTATAAGAATAATTATAAGAATAATTATAATATAAAAATAATTAGGAATAAGAAAATAAAATTAATAATAAAAATCAATAACTAATTAATTTGAAAAGAAGACCACTTTCAAAAAACGTTCCTTTTTTGGGGAAAAAAACAATTAATCTAAATTTAAAGGGTCCAACGGACAATATAAAAATCAGGCAAAAAAAAAATATGTCTGATTTCTACTTTTTCGCCAGATAGTGAAAAGCCGTTGAGATATTTAATGTTGGACGTCGCCTGAGAAATATTGTTTGGCAAAAGAAATACTTTCTCGGTTGATTCGTGTATACTATATATATATATGTGGAGATCGAATATGCCCCTTAGGTCTTTAGGAGGGAAGAGAGGATATACTTTTTGTAAGCACCCAGGAGCCCATTGTTGCTCGTCCCATTGTCAAAAAATTCCCGTACGCACGATACACACTAAGATCCCCATATATATATAGCTATAAGATTCGTACCTGGATCGAGGAAAATTAAATTCGGGATGCCCCGTCGAATTCGCAGGTTTTACCATCACGTATATACATATAGTGTGTATCGTGGGAAAAAAGACGTTGCTATCATCTCCCCCTGATTTTTAAAAGGACGCCCTTTAAATATGGGGAATCTCTCTCTCTCTCTCTCTCTTTATTTTAAAATACCCTCGGCGTTATTAGTTTGTTATTTTCCATTTCGGTAAATCTTTCGGTTCTTAATTTATTGAAATATTTTTTTACTTGACTTACACTATATTTAATTTCTGTATTTAATTTCTCACTATATTTTATTTCTTACTATATTTTTCTATTGAATTTTACATTTCATTTAGAAATTATATAATTTTCGTTCTTTAAAATGAGAGAGAAACGGTTTTTTTGAGGTTATGTTATCCACTAGCAAACCTTAAAGTTAAAATTCTTAATCGATTCCGATTCCGGTTATGTTCCCAAATAAGAATATTAGACCAAAGAAGGCGGGGCCAAATGCTGCGCAAATATCTATTTTCAGTTCGTGCGCATCGTCGCAGTGCGCGCGCATCCTAAAGGCCTCTCTTCAATAGGATCCCAAGAGGACATTTCGCAAACACACTGCGAAACTATAACCTCAAAAATTTGTCTTCGTTTTTGTCTTATAACTCAAAAATTAACTTATTTCTTAATAATTAATGCTTAATTATAAAAAAATTACACGAGAGAAAAAACCAGGGGAAAAAATGAAACTATATATAGAAAAATACAAAATAGGAGAACAAATATGATTCGAAAAAAATATACAATGTGAAAATGGCAAAGAAGAAGAGTTGAGAAGTCGCAAAGGGACCAAAGGAGAGAGAGTAAGAGAGAGAAGAAGGGAGGGGGAGAAAGAGAGAACGTTCAGTAATTTACGACAATTACAAAGTGAGGTCATCTACGAAGTTTACGAGATGCGTCGACGCGGCAAATTAATTCAATAAATTCCTCCCTGGACTGCCATTCGCTTATCGCGAACTCGACGTCAAGCCTCTTATATGACCGAGCCGCGCAGTGAAAATGAATCCTTGACTTAAACTATAATACTCTCGGAGACTAATTTTTTTAATAGCCACCTAGAAGTGTGAAAACTTGTCTCTAAGCCGTAATTTATTCCTCTTTATTTTTTTATTTATTTACCCCAGGAAGAAACCTTTTTATCTTTCGATTTCAAAACAGAAAATATTTAGAAGAGACCAGCAAATTTTTTGTTTATAATAAAAATTTGTTTGAACCATATATAGAAACGAGGGATTTATTGTAGAAGTACCATAAGAGACTCAATTTTCCAGAAAGGGCGGGAGATGATTGAATCTATTATGGTACTTCTGCAATAAATTTATTTGCAGAAGTACCATAAGAGACTCTACCTTCCAGAGGGGGGGGGGGAAGATTTTGTCTATTATGGTACTTCTGCAATAAATTCCTTGATACAACCTTCTGGAGGGGATGAGGGGAAGGTTGAGTCTATTATGGTACTTCTGCAATAAAATCTCCTACTGGGAATTTAAATCATCTTTAATTTTTTTTAAAATCCTTATCGCAGCTGGCTTTATATTTTCGTACGACAATATATTTATCGCAGGATTTTCGTAGGGGACAAGGAAAAAAAAAGAACTTTCGTATGGTGCCTCAACTCTCAATGATAGTCCATTATTATTCTTGCAAATTATGCCGGTGGCACCCGCATGTTTCATGAAACATGCGTATCAATCTTATCGACGCACTTTTCTCGTGTCCTCGCTTTTAAAAACGGTCGATCGTGACCCTGGTCGATGTGACACTCAAACACACCTTCCAGGAATTATATTTCCCAATTGGTAAAAAGAAAAAATGATCATCAAATACTCGAGAAATTTTTAAAGGGACAAAAATTAATTAATTTGGTATCATCAAGAAAATAGTGTAATTATTATGATTATATTGATAATATAAATAAAAATTAGGTAAAATATAGCATATACTGATAATATAATTATAATACTAAATTAATTAAAAAGAGTTATTGAGTTCTCCAGACATGACTATATCTTCTTATGTTCAGCTATCACCTCTTTAATAATTGATCCATCCGAAGGTCAAGGGGATTTTTTTTTAAAGGAACCATTTCTCGTCGTGCGACTAAAAACACAAGACCTATGTCTACATTTCTTCCTTTTTGGGTTTTATATATATATATATATATTTTCTGTTTAAGGTTCTCTTTGAGAAGCATATGGTATCCATACTGTGGCCGACATCTCGATCGTTTTGCTGTCCATATGGCACGCTAGTAAGTTTCCAGCGCCGTTTCGTGGCTTTAAGAGTTTTTGAGAGTCGATTTTATACACATAGAGAGACACGAACGTTCATATATATATATGTAAATATATGATCACGTATGGCGCACGTTCTTCTTTCTCCCTTTCTCAGGAAACATCGCATATTCTATATTTGTAGCTGGATAATGTCTCCAGACCACTGACAGAGTCAGTGTGTACATGGTATTATAGGGTCTCTCACAAACAATTTCCAGACTAAACACATCAGGAATATTTCATAAACGATGAAGTCAAATTTTGTTTTTTTTAGAATTTGCGGATTTTTAAAGTTTTGGGTTTTAGGGAATCTATGAGGGTTTTTTTTTTAACGAATTGTGAAGAATTTTTAGGAAACTCTTTTAAATCTTGAAGAATTTTTAAGGGATGTTCGAGAATTTTAAATGACCTAAAAGAATTTTAAAAAATTCTTAAAAATCTTAAGGAACTTTAAAGAATTTTTTAAAATCTTAAGGAATTTTAATGAATTTTTCAAAATTTTAAGGACTTTTGAAGAAAATTAAGAATTTTTTTTAAATCTAAAAGAAACTTTAACGAAATATTAGGAATCTAAAGACATTTTTAAGAATTTTAAGGAATCATAAAGAATTTTAGAGAATCTTAAAGAATATTAAGAAATATCTTAAAGAATCTTAAGGAATTTTAAAGAACATTAAGAAACTCTTTGAAATCTTATTAAATTTTAAAACATTTTAAAGAATTTTAAGAAACTTTAGACATTCTTAAAAATCTGAAAGAATCCTAAGGAATTTTAAAGAATTTTAAGGAAATTTAAAGAACATTAAGAAACTTTTAGGGTATCTTAAAGAATATTAAGAAATAATCTTAAAGAATTTTAAGGAATTTCAAAGAACATTATGAAACTCTTTGAAATCTTATTAAATTTTAAAACATTTTAAAGAATTTCAAGAAACTTTGGACATTCTTAAAGATCTTAAAGAATCCTAAGGACTTTTAAAGAATCTTTAGGAATTTTAAAGAACATTAAGGAAATTTTTTGAAATCTTATAAAATCTGAAAACATTTAGAAAAGTTTTAAGGAACTTTAAAGAATTTTAAAGAATGCTAAGGAATTTTAAAGAATCTTAAGGAATTTTTTAAAAAATTAAGAAAATCTTTGGAATTTTATAAAATCTAAAAATATTTTGAAGAATTTTAAGGAATTTTAAAGAATCTTAAAGTATTTTAAAGAACCTTAAGCGAATCTTGAGTTATTCTTCAGTAATTTTAGAGGCATCTTATGAAACTTTAATGAATTTATAAATAATCTTAAAGAATTCAAAGAAATTTAAAACAAATTTTAATAAATCTTAAGTATAATCTTGAAGCATCTTTGAGAAGTTCTTTGAATTTACAAGAAATTTTTAAGACTCTTATGAAAATCTTAAGGTATCTTCAAAAATTTTTAAGGAACCCAAAACAATTCTAAGGTATTTTTAAAGAGTTTAAAGAATTTAAACGAATTTTAAGGAACCTAAATCCTAATTTAACTTTAAGAAATCTTGACTAAATTATAGTACATTTTAAAAAAATTATGTGGAATTTTGAAGAATCTTAAGAAATTCTTTAAAATCTTAATAAATTCTAAATGACATCTTAGAGAATATTAAGGATTTCTTAAAACATTTTAAGGGAATATTTAAGTATTCTTAAGAAATCTGAAAAAAGTTTAACGCCTCTTGAAATATGTTGAGAAATTCTTTAAAATCTTATGCAATTCTGAACGAATTCTAAATAATTTTTAAAAAATGTTAGATTCTTAAGAAATTCTTAAGGAATTTTAAAAGAATTTTAAGGAATTCTGAAGAATCTTGAGAAATTTTAATAGATCTTATAACGAATCTAAAAATTATTTGTCAATTTAAAATGACAAACGTCTTCGGAAAATTATACCAATTTCTTCGAATTCTATACTTACAAAATTATAGTCAGCAAAAATAATTTTTGGCATTTCCGGTTTACAGGGTACGATTTTAAAAAAGTGTACAGTACAACATGTGTAGTTATAACAAGTTTCTCATATGTATGAAGTATGACGTCGTACTGTAAAGAATTATTATTTTCATCGGGAGGCAAAGTGGTTCTTTAGAAAAGGAGAGTCGCGTCTGTTATATTTTTGGATGACAACCACGTGCGTCTTCAAAATACACGAGTTTCTACTTGCAACCCGCACATCCTCTCTTTCTCACTGTCTCCACATCGTCACCACGTGCATTCGAAAAGACGACGTGCCAAGTGAACGAGCTGCCTGCGTTCTAACAAGAAATGAACGCACGTGGTCTCCCACGTGGATATACAAGACATCCGTGTTTGAAACACGGTAAGTACTTTACTACTCTTTCATCAATAACCAAGAACAATTTCCTTCTCCAATTCCCGAGACACGAAACGGAAATATTTTTGTTAATTGAACTGTTAATTTCCCTTTTTGAACTTTAACGGAAATTATAAAAAAAAAATATGCAAAAGAAGGAAAAATTTGGTTCTGTTTTATGGAATTTTGTATATTTCCGAATTCGGACTGATGAAGTTAGAGCGTGCGCAGAAGTTTTCTAGGTCCTTTAGTCATGCGCAGTAATTAACCGCAAACGCCCGATTGGGTACCGAAAGGTATTACACCCACTGCGCATGTTTTGAGTTCGTAGAATTCTTTTGCGCATGCTCCGAACTCGTACTTGTCTAAACTTGCGTGAAATAACTAAAATTTAGTTATTTGGATTAGAAATTACCTTCAAGGAGTAATCGCGTGAAGCTAAAATTCACGGTAGCTACTCAAGGATAGAAAAAATAATAATTTCTCCAAATACCTCCAAGGGATATTTAGTATACCTAAGATAATTTAAAATTTCGAACTGAATTTCATTTCCGATTGTTTTTTTTTAAACAGACACCCTGAGATTATAAACTCACCGTATGTGCGGTTAGACGTGCGTCAGTCGTTGAGCGTGAGTTTGAGTATGGTGAACCAGTCGTCCCTGTTCCTGTTCCCACCAGCTGACGACGTCCATAAATTCGCCAGACTCGGAAGGTTCATGCTTATAGTACAAAGCGCCCGAAAATGGTTCGGGACTTGTGGTATAGATAACCGTTGTTCCCGCCTCGTCTTCCGGATGAAGGACCTCAACAATCTCGGTACTCCCACTGTATGGCGAGAGAATGACTCTGGTTTGCAGATTCTCCTCATTTTGAACCGGGCAAAATTCATTTTTCACCACTACTGGCGACGCCACTGATGTTGGCGAAAAACGTGCGTACGTCCCTCGTGATTCGTTTGGTTCCACATTTTCCTCGTCGCCAATGGTTTGTCCATAGTAGTCACTAAGGGAAGTTCGTTTTCTCTTTGCTGTTGTGGTGGCAGTTCGGAGATTTGGTGATAATCTGAAATTTAAAGGATTGTTATAGCGAATGCTGATCAAAGCTAGTAAAAATCCACTAAAAGGCATTTGCCCTTATGGACAACATTTGTTAACAGTTTTTTATTAACAGAAGATGATTACCTGATAGCTAGGGAATTCCTCTGCCCACGTCGTTCGTCATCATCATCCTCCTCCTCAAGAAGATAATCCCCATCCTCCTCTTCCGGTTGGGGTACCTCATCCTCCAAGGACAATCTCTCCCCCGAACCATTGTGCGTACTACTCGAAAGTACACTCCCACTAGGTGATGGTGTAGCAATTCCCTGATCAACAACACTACTAAAATCATAATCCACCCCATCAGCTTCGGACAACAATTTCTTCAGACCCCTAATGTACTCCACAGCCATTCGGAGTGTTTCGACTTTTGAGAGTTTTTTCCCCCGATCGCCATAGCCGGCGGCTACATGATTGGGTATGTAGGATCTAAGTTTAGTGAAACCGTCATTAACCTGCTTCACTCGGTTCCTCTCCCTGGCATTGCGTCTAGCAACTGCCATCGGTGGCGGTTGACCATTCTTACCGTGTTTCTTGAGTCTTGTCGAATCGTACGCAGGTAGAACAGTCACTTGCTGCTGGACACTTATAGCACTGGTTGGATTTGCATTTACTAATGGGACACTTTGATTTGACACTAGGACACTTTTTGGCGCTATTATTTGTTGACGAGAATTGCCGAGAATGTTGCTCTCATTGTCCTGTAGTGTGCGCAGCAACATCATTTGTTCGCGATCGCTGTTTGGTATTTGGACTCTGTTGCAGAAGACTGTTACTCCCATTGTCGTCATTTTTGATCCAGATGGAGCGAAGGGGTCCCAGGGAAGAGAATTTTAACCAAGGGTACAAATTGTAACTAAGAATTGTAACCAAGAATAGTAAAGTGTACGAAAGTTAACCACAGGTAAGAAAAGCAAAAGATTAACAACTCACTAAATGGTTAACAAACATTCAAGATGCTTCTTTATTTTAACGGAAAGATAAAGTTACTAATTGAAAAGATACGAAATTTGGTTCAAATGACAAATATGTTTTGGAAAACACTAAAAGAGTTTCGCTTAGTAACGGAACGAAAAGAACAAATTGGCAAATAGGACTAACCTTCCGGAAAAGTTTGCGAATTTCTCTCTCATATTAGCGGACATCCAAGAACTATTATTCGGAATATTTGGCTAAATTCGGATTCAATATTAATGCAGACTTCATTTGCAAAGCAATAATTTGAAGCTTAGTTGCTATTTACTACGAGCAATGCAGCAAACAGTATGCAGAACGTATATATAGCAAATCCTCTGCTAGAAACTAAAAACCCTTTGTAACTTTCAGTACAAAAGGGGTACTTCCGAAAAACCACTTTCCTTAAACCACAGAATTTAGAAAATTGTACAAATCACTTAAAACATCATTACCGTTTTTCAAAATGGAGGTACACTAACGGCTTTTTAACCGCGCACTATTTCTGCTAGTGAACACTCTTTGGAAGGCACAAACTATTCCCAAAACACTGTTACTTTAAAATCAATTAATACTTAATTGCAATTACATTATATGGTAAAAACAATAATAATTAATTGAAATTCGCGTTAATCGTACCGCGTGCTATGCTCGGCATGGCGTCTACATTGAGAATGAGCGCGGACATCCGATAGATGGGTTGGGTTTCAGCGTTTACAGAACACCCGAGGGAGAGAGTATATGTATGTATGTGCGAGAGCAAGGGGGATGCAATAATGTAAAAACGAATTCGAGCGAGAAGGACGAGAACTTATTTGAAGGGGGGAAAAAAAGAGGTGTAATGGTGGGGATTTTGAGCACGCGCCGCAGTAGTAGTAGTAGTAGTAGTAGCAGCCCTCACGTTTTTCTTTACTCGACCCTTGTTGTATACGCTCCCCCGGAACTTGAGAGAGAGAGGGAGACAAAAAGAGAGAAGGAAGGAGAGAGAGAGAGGAGAGAAAGCACCATATGCCAGGAAAAGAATCGGGCGCGTGTACCATGTACCCATAAGAACGAATTTTCAACTTCTAGAAAACTATTGTAGTGGATAAGGATATGATGACGATGACGACAATTGATGATTATCATGGTCCTCACGACGTGAATATATGGTCACGATGGTGAAGATACTTAAAATAATAATGATAATAAAAATAATAATAATGATGATGATCATGATGATGATGATATTAATAATGATGGTACTAACAATGATGATAATAACAATGATATTAATAATGATGGTACTAGTAATGATGGTAATAGTGATAGTAATACTAATAATGATGATACTAACAATGATGATGATAATAATAATGATGATAATAATGATGATATTAATAATGATCTTGGACCATAACAAACTAGATAGTGAAAAACAAAAGAGAAAGAATTTGGGGAAAAATTTTGCTAACAAGCATTTCAGAGAAACAAAGTATTGCTACACATATAAAGGTACTAAAAAAATGCTATACATGTTATATATTCACGTCAAGTTGATACGCAAACTATTCATCAGTATAACAGTGATTACCATACGTGAGTAGGATGATAGCCCAGAAGACATTTGGTTGTTATAAATGCCCTGAGGGCATGATAAAAAAATCAGCAGCGATCCCACTGACCGATCTTTGTCGAATAAATTTATTTGGTCATTTGCATTTTTTCAAAGCACACCACCATCAGCCCTTTTTCTCCTAGGCTTATATGATAGGCATCTTTTTAAAAAGGGCCCCATACGAAAAAACGCTCGCGAGCGCGCGCGCTCTGAATATTATAATTGGGTTATACTTTTCAAACTACCCATATAGGCCATTTTTGAACATCATCACGTGCAGGGATCTTGGAATGTTTATTTCATCTTTTTGTCTTTTTTGTCGATTTGAATTTCTTTTTGTATTATGTGCGCGTGATGGCAAAAAGAATTAGAATATTAGACTCCGGTAGAGGATTACTTAAACTATTGTTTTATTTTGGTATACCATCATTTTTTCGACCATTTGAAAGACAATACCGCGATGATAATGATTTAGAGTGGAGGAGGATCGGTTTACTGGTTAATAAGTGGGAAAACGTCGGGAAATGTGAAACCGAAACAAAGGACAAAAGTGGAGATATAGAATCTAAAGAAGCTGGAGAGTTAAGGATTACGTTGTTAGAAAAAATCTTTTGACGTTCTTTTCTTTTTCATATATATATAGAAAATATTCTAATTTGTTCTTTTGAGCCTGTCTTAGGATAATTTTAAAAAAAATTTCCATCCATTGTGTATAAGGAACAAAAAAAGTAATAAGAAATGCTAATTTTTACAATTTTTATTTTTGTTTGAGGTTTTTGATAAAATTTTAAGCAATAATTCAATTATTTTCATAAATAATAAAACTCATCAAAGAATTTTTAATTATTTTTAATACTATTTTTAATTAATTAATCGAAAATTCAATTATTTTTACATATATAATAAGTTTTCCACAAGAATTCAATTCTTGTGGAATTCAATAATAATTCAATTATTCTTTTAGATTTTAATAAAATTTTTCCCAAGAATTTAATTTTATTTACATAATTAATTCTTCGAAAGAATTCAATATTATGTCGATAAATATCAAAATTATTCCCGAAAATTCAATTATTTTGAGACATTTGAATAAAATTTTTTGCAACATTCAATTATTTTCAAAAATAACAAAAATTTTTACAGAAATTCATTATTCTTTTTAAGCATTTTAATCAAATTTTTTTGCAATAATTAAATTATTTTCATAAATAATAAAATTCTTCTCAGGAATTCAATTATTTTTGAAAATTTGAATAAAATTCTTATAGCAACTATTCAATTATTGTCATAAATAATAAAATTTAGCGCAGGATTTCAATTTTTTTTTAAATTTTACAGTAATAATTGATAGAAAAATGTAATTATTCGTAAAAATTTAATTTCAATTCCTTAAAAAAATATCTATTATTTAGAAAAATGTTTTTCTGAAATTCTTTGGAAGAATTCAATTATATTTACAAAAATATTTTAGAATTTTTTACAGGAATTTAATTATTTTCAAATATTTTAATAAAATTCTTCCAAGAATTTAATTATTTACATAAATAATTCTTCGAAAGAATTCAATTATTAAAGATAAATAACAAAATTATTCCCGAAGATTCAATAATTATTATTTTGAGGCATTCTAATAAAATTCTTTATAAAATTCAATTATTTTCATAATAAACAATATTCATCATAAAAATTCAATTATTTATAAAATTCATAAACTTCTTTAAAATTAAATTATTTTAAAAAATCCTAATAAAATCGTTCGCAAGAATTAAATTATTTTCATAAATAATAAAATGCTTTTTAGGAATTTAATTATTTTCAAAAAAATTGAATAAAATATGCCACATAGACATATTCAATTATTTTAAAAAATTTTTCGCAATTCAATGAGATTTTCAATATCTATACTATTTTCATAAAATTTCCAAGCAAAATTCAATTATTTAGAAACTTTATTGTAAAAATTAAAAATCTTCATCAGAATTCAATTCTTTTCATATTAATAATAAAATTTTCTCATGAATTCAATTATTTAATTTAGAATTTGCATAAAATTAGTCGAAAGAAATGAATCTATATAAAATTTTTTATAAAATTCTTCGCAAGAATTAAATTATTTTTATAAATATTTGAATTCTTTCATAAATATAATAAAATTTGTTGCAGGAATTTAATTATTAATTTAATATTAATATTTGAATTCTTTCATAAATATAATAAAATTCGTTGCAGGAATTTAATTTATTAGCAGGATAAGAAAGAAGTAAATATTTTTGATGAAAATTAGGAAAAAGTTAGGAAAATAAAATGTAGAATGGAAATTTCATCAGAATTGTGAAGTGTCAAAAATGAGTTTTTTTTATCGCATGTTTAATTTTTTGTTATCTACTTTTTTACTACTTTTCTTAGTTTGAAACTAACTTTTTGCTACTTTTTTAAAATTAATTATCGAGTGCGAAGTCTGAGTTTAAAATTTAGTTTTTTACATATTATTCACGTAATTTGTAATTTAATGTTACTTTTATTTAATTTATTTTTATTTAATGTTATTTTTACTTAATTTATTTTAATTTAATGTTATTCTTCCACCCTGAGTGCATGTGTATAAAGCATATACACTGTAAAAAAAGGGAGTTAAATTTTAACTCCCCCGGGGGGTCTATAAAAGTCGCACCCATTGGGGAGTTAATGCCAGGGGACTTAAATAAAGAGAGTTAAAATTTCACACCCAAATGCTAACTCCCCAAGGAAAAAATAACTCGCGCGGGTGTTGAATGAAAGGAGTTAGAAATTAACTCTCTTTTGGAGTTGATTTTTAACTCGAAAAATTTAACTCCCAACTCTCGAGTCCGTTAACTCCCTAAATTTTTTACAGTGTAGAATATATATATAGTTAGTGAAAATTGTGGTAGGGATTTTTTTTTCAAATAGGGATCGGGAAATTAGAGTACTAGAGAGTAAAAGACACAAGGGCTCAAAAGGGAAGTGTTCTCGAAAATTGATACATTTCCTTGTTCACTTTTACTCTGTATACTCCAGCCAATATTTCCCTGATCGACAATAATGGACAAAAGTGGTGTGCTGGGTTAGATGATAGATATGACTATGCGCGCTGCGTTTTTTGGTAGCAGCACCCGAGAGGGTAAGGGAGAAAAGGAGAGAGGGGGATAAATGAAAAGACAAAAAATAGAAAGAAAGAGAAAATAAGAGACAAAAAAAGAGAGAAAAAGACCAAAAAAGAGAGAGAAGCGGAAAAAAGAGTACCAGAGAGAGAGAGAGAGAAAAAGAAAAAAAAGAGAAAATTAAGGGAGAAAAAGAGAGAGTCAAAGAGTAAAAGAGAGCTAGGGGGCAGTTTTTCGAGAGTGAACGAGTAGCCAAAGGTGTGTGCACTGATCAGTAAAAGTGCGAGTGAGAAATATACTATTAAAATAAAAAAAAAGAGAGAGAGGGGGATGAGAGGGTGCGCGTATAGGCATTGGTCGTGCACACGTGCACAGGCACGCGTCGTTCCTTTTTGAACAAAGGGCCCGCACCGGCGACGTTGAACCCGCTTTCCTATGTTCCCCCTCGATTCGAACGATACCCGATGCTTAACTGTGCGCGCAACACGTTTTCAAGCACGAACCACGCGTTGAAATTCGCCAACATTATATATATACGCACACTTCGATTAATATAAACCCCAATCCCCCCCCCCTTTCCTCATTGCCCCTTTTATACACATTATCAGGTGTTTCATGTCGTCAAGATGTGATTTTCATGTCACACTTTGTCAAAAACAATTATTCACTCTATATATAAATGTATGAACGAGAAAATTAAAACTTTTTGCGATTTTTTCAATTGAAGGATAGAAGGTCTTCTTTACTTCTTGTACTTTTCGTTTTTTAGGGCCTTATTTTTATAGTTTTAAAAATTTTTTCTGTTCGTTTATTATAAAATAAGTTTATTTCGTTTTAGTCGAATATAGCTTTTTAAATAAGCGCGCCTTTTCCTACCAATGGGAGAGTTATAGCGGCGCATGCGTATGGGCCATAAAGTAAAATTGTCAAGGTCAACTAAGAATAGATTCGCGAACGAAGTGCGTGGGATAGAAAAGAACGGGAATATATATCAGTCCTTTTCTAACTCATAAGCTTCGCGTTATTCGCGAAT